TGGGATCCAGTTCAAGCGTATGTCAGGAAATACGTGGCAGTACAAGAACATGGCAGACCAGATTCTGAAGGAGTTGCGCCTATGATTCGAAGACGTTACTGCGAGTATCTTGCTGAGTCAATAATTCTTTGGATTTGCCGGAGGTGGCCGCTAGCAGAAGGTGATCGAAAGGGCCAGGGCGCATGAATTCCTCTTATAATGCGATTATCCTCTATATGCGGCCCCCCCTATAAAACAAGGGCCGTATATTAGTGTTGGGATACATCTTGATTCTCGATTCATTCCTCTTGAAGACTTGAAGAGTGGGTTGTGTTGCTGTCGATAGGGGCTCTTCGAAGACATGCGCTGTACCTAGAGCCCGTTGTAAGGATATGATGGAATTGGCAGGTTTGGCGAATGGACTTCACGACGATTGATGTTTTCCTAATAGCAGATACAGGTAGTAATGTAGACAGTACATCTTCGGCGACGGGTAGATAAATGGGATAGTGGCAGCAGCCGTTTGGGCTGACGTACGGTGTTTAATCACATTATTGTTATCCGCAATGGACGTAATGTAGTAATATTTTTCTTAAAATGGGCATCATTTGTTTGTTTTTGATACTACTCGGTAGCCTTTTATGCTGACTATCAAAATTAGAGATAGTCATTTTATTTTGTAAGACTAATTTGTACATTGTTTGCCTATACTAATACTTGAGCAAGACTGACTCAATGGCGTTTTTGTTTCTCCATTCGATAATTAGCTGTGTCGAGTGAGTTTGCACATAGGTACTCTGTTAGGAGATGATGTTTGCGTGTTGACGTCAGCTACCCAAGCAACATGGAAGAATCTAGGTTAGGTTACAGACTTTCTAAACATGAAATCCTTAGGTGGGGAGTACCGAAAACGATGTTAATAGGTGGGATGACCTGAGGGGGAATAGGGAATAGGGCCTAATGCATCACATATTATGCATCAATACGGCATAGATATCATTGAATGCATTATCTATGTACCTACCTATACATAGTTTATCTGTGGTCCGTGCACAACCCCGCTGCCACGCAACCTTGGAACCTACCACCTGCAAGCTAGGGCTGAGAAGGTACGTACAATACCTATGTACATGGCCAGTGCTTCCTTATAGACCCCCATTCCGTTCGGCAAATTACGACGCGGTGCTTCGTCGCTGGGAACAGCAAAGCCCTGCAACCACTTCAACTTTCTTCAACATTTATCGATATCCAGATCTGAACCTACGACCCATACCACCATATCCTCTCTTCATAGTGCAACACACGCCCTCTCACGTACGGCACCAACCTACTTGATTTTTTAATTCGTGCGGGAACGTTCGTCTACTTGTCCGAAAAGAGGCCATTAACCGTTGCCCAAGCATACCTGACCGTCAGGTTTCTAACCTGGTAGGTAGTCAACTGTCATTCCAAGTTCTAAACGACTTAACGACACCCTAACGACACCCGAATCAGTTAGCCAACGAATTACAGGTTTACCCTCGTCATACAGCAGTTAAGACGAGCTGGTATCTCTAGACGCGAGACAAGCGCGATCAACCCATACCAACCCATACCCATTCGGTTTATTGATTCTGGATCCGGCCAAGAGCGCAGAGAGCCTGACGCAGCAGGAGTTAAGCAAGGAGATAATACTCAAGAACTAGTTACGCCGTACTCAAAGTGATTTGAGCGATCGCGATCGCGATCATCAACCGCCACCATGTTGCCAAACCCGAACCTCTACAGCCATCACCAATACAACCCACACGCCGACCAGTCATGGATGCACCAACAGCAAAGCCACCAGCACCAGGCCCAACAGGCTGCCGCCGCCGCCGCCGCAGCTCAGCAGCAGCATTATAATCGATTAGCAGGTGCTCATAATAATGTGTCTACGAACATCGGCGCGTCAGTTGGTGGTCATGTTCAGGATAACGGCCTAGAAAATGTATCAGAGGATAACCGCCGCACGTTGACCTTCGTCGCCGACCTGCTTAATGAAAGTACGCGCGAGGCAGCTCTCCTTGAACTGAGCAAGAAGCGAGAACAAGTGCCTGAGCTTGCTCTTATATTGTGGCATTCGTTTGGTTCGTGGCTCTCTACATTAAACCTGATTCCAAGGGCTAATTCTAACCCGAATTTGCAGGTGTGATGACTTCTCTTATGCAAGAGATTATCTCGGTCTACAACCTACTTAACCCATCGCAATTGACCGCTGCTGCTTCCAACCGAGTCTGCAATGCGCTTGCACTCCTGCAATGCGTAGCATCGCATAATGATACCAGAACCTTGTTCTTGAATGGTACGTTGATCTTCAGGCAAGATAAGTATATAACGCACTAACAAGATGAAATATAGCCCATATCCCTCTTTTCTTATACCCTTTCCTGAATACTACATCCAAGTCTCGTCCGTTTGAGTATCTCCGTCTAACATCGCTAGGCGTGATTGGAGCCTTGGTTAAGAATGACTCTAGTGAGGTGATCAACTTTCTCCTCACGACCGAGATCATCCCCCTTTGCCTCAGAATCATGGAGACTGGATCTGAACTTAGTAAGACAGTTGCCATTTTCATCGTACAGAAAATCCTACTGGATGATAATGGTCTGAACTATATCTGCGCCACGTATGAGCGCTTCTACGCCGTCGGAACAGTGTTGAGCAACATGGTTGCTCAGCTTGTCGAACAGCAAACCGCTCGCCTCCTTAAGCACGTTGTGCGCTGCTTCCTCCGCTTGAGCGATAACGCACGCGCTCGCGAGGCTCTCCGCCAGTGCCTCCCAGAACCACTTCGCGATGCCACCTTCAGCTCCGTCCTCCGTGACGATGCGGCGACCAAACGTTGTCTCGCCCAGTTATTGATTAACCTCTCTGATAATGTCGTGGAGTCCAATAGCAACCATGGGCTATAAAGCGTGTTTGGGCCTACCGCAGAGTTACATTGTTCAACAGATACCCCCCCCCCCCCCAACGACAACCACTTCCAGGTCTTTGAAAGCTTGGGTCTCCTATTATCTATTCATAATTAATAAGAGTATGAGAATCACGTGGAATGATGTTCTTCCTGACGACACGGCACTTGTCCCGAATCTTTCAAACCGATCACGAAATTCTACTTGGTTTTTTATCGTTGATATTCAACATCGGCACCTCGACTTAGGACTACCATTTGTTTTGCTAATACCGAGACTTTTCACGGAGTTTGCGCGGAGTCGACCGTCTCACATAGCATATCAATTCTCCAGAAGCCTACTCTACCGATATTATCCCAATCTTGAACCATCCACGTAGTCTCGAGGGGGTATTACATATCTTTCCTGATACAATGCCAATATATCAGGCTGTTGTTTTAGGACAATTTTAACTCCCATGAGCCTTGTCCGGTCTGATTTGAAAAATTTATCCCAGTACACGACTCGGAACCTTTCATTCTCAGCACTCATCGGCAAACGTCTAATAATCTGTCGCCACCCATGCGCAGACTGCCGAAATTTGTATTATGCGCCTCCCAGCCCACAATACTATCCCTGGGTAGGCATTCTCTTTCTAGTAACAGATATCCCCTCGCAATAAAGGTTATCATTTCCACCTCTACTTTAACCTAGTAATATACTCATCAAGGGCCAGGGGGTATCCAGAGTTTTATATCGGCTTTTGACAAGAGTTACATCCATATACAACACGGAAAACTACAATGTCGGTGTAGTTACACTATCCATCTAGGACTATTTCCGGAAATGCAGCACAAATCACGGCGATGACTCGGTTTTTATGTACATGTTTACGCAAGGTTGAGCAAGCGATCCAAGCCTCGGTTCAGTGCGGTGCGATATGAGTCTTCTTTCGGATTTTGGACCCCGTCCCCGGTTGTACGTGTATGGATTTCAAATAGGCGGGCGCGGCGGTGTTATACGGCGAATATGGCAATGAAAAGGACTGGCGGCTTGTTACCAATAGATTCTGTAGAGCTCACGTCTAGTAGCTAATGAATTTTGTTAAAACAAGCATTTTTTGTAAAGCATTGTCTCTTCTACTTGTACTTGTACTTGTAATCTTGAGCTCTTGGGCTATCCTTCTATTTTATGTTTCCTTGTATTTGAATGTTGTTGGTGTTTAATCGGGAGTTTGTTGTTTATTGTATGTCGTGGTGTGAAGTTGGGCTTGTGTTGGAAGTTTAGGATTATACATACTTCCAATGGAAATATGTTCAAGTTAGCAGACTAGTGGAGACTTCAGACTTTAAAGTCAGTCAACGAATAGAAATAGTTGTAGAATGCTTGAAAAATGGGTTAGGTTTGTTATATCTCAAATACCTACCGTTACTATTACCAGACATCCTTAAGCAGACGAAAGTATTATTTTCTTGCATTATCTTTTTTGAAGTTTATAAAAGTGCTTAAGATAAATATATAGACTTGTTGTTATCAATGCGTAGGTAATTAAGTTATGCTGTTAACTTATTTGATTCATAGGCAGCTTGGAAGCTTGGTCAGCTCCCCTTTTCCAGCTTTTTGTCACTTTCTGGAGAAGGGGGGCGAAAAGCGGGAGTGTAGTATGTATGAATTTAGAGATACTATTCAACAGCTAAACTTTAGTAGTGGATGTATTTTACTAGTTGGGTTGTTACTGAGTTTTAATATTGTTAATGTATTAATACTTGTGTGGTTGCGCTTGCTGCTATAGTAATTATAGATATCGGATATATTGCAAGCGGCAGTATTGTAATCGTATTAAGAATATGAGTGTAGCTGGTGAATGACCTCTGTTCTCGGGCCGTATACTATCCTAGTATTATTGGAAGATACGATTGTCTCTGGTATCTAATCACTTTGTAGAAATCGCTGTGTTGTGAGTGGTGCTACAAAAGGGGGGTGATTCAAGCATATACCTCTCAATGTAGATACGTAGACGACCGACCAGTCAAGTTACTATATAAGCTGCTGGTGCCTAACCAATGCCTAACCGAGTACTTGGATGTGTCGTAGTGGCGTTTGCGTCTTTTTCCTTTCAAGAGCAAGCCATCTTGTTGTCCTGATACACATAGAATTCATCAACATCAGCAACAGCAACAGCAACAGCACGATGTTGGAAACACCCACAGATGTAACTTTGACAGAACTGGCGGAAGTTCTTCAAGTACTTTTGGATTTAAACATTCCTGTAAGTGCAATACAATTGCTCGTTTACCCAGCTTATGTACTAATGGGTATAGCAAACCACCATAGATAACTTCGGACTGACTTGGCTACGAAGTTACCTACAGGCACAGCGACCATCAACTGAATACCCAAAAAAACCGCCGAAATGTTTCAGGTGCCTCGAAACTGCTACTAGATACACCACAAGTAAGACAAACACTAAGGGCAACGGAGGTCGCCCATACTTCAAATGCGACCCCTGTAATAAATTCCTCGTGTTCGCTGACTACCGTGGCAACTACCCCCGACACGATCCCCAGCGCGGCCCCGAGGACAACATCTGCCATTGCAGTGTTTCCACCAAACGGTTAATAGCAGGACGCGATAAAAATAACCCCGGACAGGTATTCTACGTTTGTAGACAAGGTACATGTGATGCTTATATTCCATGTGTGGAACTGGGTACGAATAGGGCTATCAAGATCGCGCTGGGACTTCAAAGCGAGCTGGCAGAGTTATGTATAATTTGACGATTATATAACAGACCTATAATGGACTTTCGGGTTCAAGAAAGAGCCGGAATGAAAGAAGATGGAGGGGCGACGTTGGATATGCTCAGAGAATGCTTCTACTCTCGAAGATTGTCTATGCTTCTTTTATAAAGAACGAAACGGTACAGATTGTTATTCAGATATGGGAACTCTACGCCGGTGTCATTTCCTTCAGCAGTTGTCGAGGCGTTGATTTGCTATCTTGATCATGGAAACACTCATTGGAGATATGATGGTATCGTCGGTGAAGAAAGGGGGAGCAAGGAAGAGAGGCAAATTGTCCCAAACTGTCTACCTAAAGGTAGCTTGAAATCCGAATATTGCTATTGGAACAGTACGCCTTCTTAGTTATATTATTCTTAACATATTATACTGTTACTTTTCTTATACCAGATAGACAAATGCTATACTGCTCAAAAGAGAATATCATAATATAGAACCTAAGTAGAACGTGAAGTTAGGAACCTACTATAAATAATGTTAGTACCTACCTTAGGTAGGTAGCCTCTGTTTCCAGCCTCGTCATATTTTATCCTAGGACTACAGGGCCTAGTTTTATCTAGAACTAAATTGAATTCTGGAATATTGTTGTACTTGATGGGATTGAGACCAATTACTTACCTAGATATTCGAATAAAGTGTAAAAAGGCTTTGAAGTACCTGAGATACACAAATAATAGGCCAATCAAATCGCTTTGTTGGTTGCGAGCAGCTACCCGGAGGTAGGCTCAGGTATCCAATGGATTTATTACATTAATCCATGCTATAATAGATAGCCTGGCATCTCATTCGTTTGTAACTGTTTGATTGAGAGAAACCTATCCTAGTTACTATTACCATACACAAACAGTATCATCCAGAAACATCGGCAACTATGCATTTAAATACTCTGGAAGACGTTGTTGAATTCCTCTGCGGGCGAGATACAGGTGTAAGTGTATATCTTAGCCATATAATAGCTTATGACGGCTCTGGTTTGCCTCCTTTATGTTCTAATCGGGTACTATCCTATATAGGATTCCGCTTTAGATGCCCGTGAGAGTCAGGCGCCAAACTGGTCTGACCTGCAATATGTCTTGCGAACAATACGCCCTTCAGCTTCATACCCGAGATCACCGATACCATGTCGTCACTGCGGCTTAACTTCTTCCAAGGCCATCACGTCGTCGTCGAATACAAACGGCAACGCGGGACGCCCGTATTTCAAATGTCCAACGATGGGCAAGTTCTTAGTGTTCGCCGACGCGCGCGGAAACGACCTGACAAACCCAGTCTGTAGATGTGGATTGTCAAGCAAGCGGATAATGTCAGGACTCTATACCAAAAATCCGGGAAAGCTGTTCTACGTCTGCAGAAGCGGTATGTGCGAATACAACCGCGAATGCAGGGATGCGCAAGGAGAACATGTCATAGTCGGCTGGGAGATTGTAGACTACCTGGCATGGCTTGAGATAATCTGATGGCTGTACGTTGGACTGACGATGGCGCTCGGATTTGAGAAGGAGCTGAGAAACCGGAGGGAACAGGCACATGGCACATGGAGGGACGGCGTTGGATATGTTCAGAAAAGGCTCTTGCTTTCAGGGGTGGTTTGGCACTTCTCAAGTTCTCTTATGAGTCACGAATTATGAAATGGCGCAGATTGTGTATCATGAAGCAGGAATTTCGCATGGATATCCTTTTCTTTAGTTGTTGATGTTCAAAAAGCAAATAGGCTATCGCATACTCGAAGTTGACTCTCGATATATGAATTCTATGTCGATCGCCCAGCCTAGTTATTATTGATAAGTACCTCCTAAACAAGCTATATCGTATTTTTGACTCACCGACACAAGCTTCAGTGGCTACTCCTTTTGACCGCTTTACTATTTTTCAGCGAGACAAAGAAAGACAGCGTAGGGTGGGTGTGGATGCTTAAGAGATATATAGCTGACAGCTCAGTGTAATAACTGATACTTATATTTTGCTAGTTTCGTTGTTCCTGGGACGATGGTGTTAAAGTTCCTTTTCTGTAATCCGGAACTTCTTACCCCTTTTTGGGGAAGAAAGGGGGGGGGGGATAGAAAACAATCTGATTCGATCAACAAGTTATTTGAACGAGTCATATATGGTTAATATATACTATTATCCGCCTATATGATAGAGCAGCTCTTGGTTTGCGAGATGTAGACGGGTGGTTGAATGACGTCTGGAAAAGGGGGGATGTGAGGGGACTAAGAGGTAATTTGAATTTGTACCTTTGAAGTAAAAGCATACCTCAGACTTCCACCGTAAAGTTTAGAGCTCCCCTAGAATAACGAAGCTGGTTTCACGCTTCTTGCTCTACCTCATGAGAACATTGTCCCGTTCCTACTATACGCAGATAATCCTATATCGAGAACATCATCCAGTATGAGTACCAAGTATAGGCACCTGACTACCGTAGATGAAGTTCTTGAATTATTTCCGGGTATATATAAACAAGTGAGTGTCGGATAACGGCCTGGTCTACTTTATTCTAATTAGGCATATACAGAGAACCACAGATTTTCCGACATATGCGCCGCTATGTCGTCGCTGCAACAAGCGCGCTACTTCTAAGGACACCAAGAAGGACAATCCTAACGGAAATGCTGGACGTCAATACTACGAATGCCTACCTTGCAACAATTATCTCGGGTTCGCTGATGCTCGTGGGAACGATCGTGCGAACTCAGACTGCAAGTGTGAACCTCCCATTTCAAGAAAGCGGCTATTGGTAGGACATTGGGACGAGTCTAATAAAAACTCAAGAGCTGGGCAGGTATTCTACGTCTGCAGGCATGGAAAATCTGGTTTCCATAAGTTTCATGAAACTACAGAAAAGGAATTCGTCGTAATTGACGGTGAGGAACTTATAGCCGAGTTGGGAAGATAGAATATAATCTAACAGTTATCTAATGAACAAAAGATGGAGTTCGAGAAAGAGCTGAGATTAGAGGGATTGGGCGGGTGGAGGGGCGGTGTTGAATACGTCTGACAAGTGCTTTTATTTCCAAGGATCGTATGGGTTTCTCTTGCGGTACAGGTTGTCTATTGAGATGTTGGAAATACCCACCGAAGTCATTCACTTTAGCAGTTGGCGAGGTACTACTTTGTTATATTGTACAGGAAACCGCTCGTCAGATACATGAAGATGTTCTTGGTAAAGGAGACATGGAGCGAGTTAAGTTGTCATTCATTACCTAGGTATCTTGATAACTCTACATAACTTATAACATTGTCATTGAAATGCCATGGTATTCTACTTAGGTTGTAAGCTTTTTCACATTAGCAAGTGAATTTGCACTCTCCAAAAGACGATACTAGATATAATATAGAGCTTTAACCCGAGCACGCTTGGTTGTAGAGTAGACAATGTCAGGATTCTAGAAGAGACATCTAGAACAAAGAACATGTTCAGTATATAGCTGTAGGCTCCAGTAGTTAGGCTAGAACTCCTCTCGGAACAACAAAGTTGTTTCCTAGGTTTTTGGTCTACCTCGTGACACACTGGTCATGTCCTGAGTGTTGTAGAGATACTTGAAACTTATACCTAACTTATACTTAACTTAGTTATACTTGACTTATACATAACTTACACATAAGTTATACCTAACTCATAGTTGCTTAACTGAGTTATACCTAACTTGTGCCTAACTTATAGTTACTTAACTTAGTTAGACTTCACTAACTTGTATTCGAAGGCTAAGCTGAAGACTATGGTAACAGCACAACTTCGAAATTTGGCCATGGACTGAGAGAAACTTACAGAAGAGCGAACGACTTGAATTTATAATTGACATCGCAACGAGTTTACCAACCAGCGTCGAGTTTCAAGTAGCTTGCGTACCCGAATAGACACTTACGCGAACCTCGACAACTCGAGACGTATCATCTCCGCCAAGTCTTAAACGCCCATAAAAATAGAACCTATCTCGTACGATCATACTTATCAATCTACCTGCTTTATCAATCTACATGCACAAAAGAAAAAAGAAAAAAGACCCTGCCTCCTCGGAAATACCTTCCTCGCATCGTCCTTGGCAGCATTATGGCATGCATTTCAGAACCCGTTTCCACCCGCATCTTTCCTACATAGTACCGCCGGAAGCATGAAACCTAACCTACATGCATGCATAGGCAGTTACCTACCTACCTACATACGTACTTACAAGCGCAGTGCAGTGTAGTATGTATGAAGTAATAGCCAAACTACCTAGACAATACGGCACGTGCCCACATCCCCCATACCACCTTGTCTTGGTAGTCGACCTAAGGTTCTGGGCGTTGCAGTTCTGGGCGTTGTATCACGGCGCGCGGCTCCACGAACTTCTCGTTTCAGGAAAGCCCGGGGCCGGGGGGGGGGGGGAGAAGGGCGGAGGGGGGTTAGCTTCGCTGCACTCTGCAGAACCCTGCGGATCTGGTTCCGGGCTGACTACGTGCATGCTCCCGTGCCACTATGCTACTATGCAATGCAAGATTTCGGAGATAGAATTTCTTTACCCAACTTAGCAGTTCGTTGTGGTCTTTGCGGAATATCAGATGACAAAAAGAAGAGAGGAAAAAAATTATATCGAGTTTAACTTGATCTTGGTATTCTTCCTATGCTATCGTGACCATGTAAATGGCGCACTATAATCACAGAGTAACCTCCGAATTCGCTCTGGTAGTACATTTTTCGCTCCAATGAGAATCGTTAATGTGTTCTGTAGACTCCTCATCACTTGAATTAATCCTCCGACTCGGCCTTGCATTGTCGTCGTCTCTGGAATTTCTTTTTGGCAGCATTTCCCCATCTCCTCGACTCGAAGTCTCGCGGACGTCGGTCGTTCTACCTAATTTGAGGGCATCTCTTTAAAGAGATCAAACCCTCAGATGTTCCTATGCTCAAACCAACCAAACGCTGCATAGATGACGGTGCTAAGACAGGTACATGCGGTAAGGACTGTGTTGTAAAAATTACTCTCCATGTACGGAAACAACTTGTGAGAATTTGACAGGGGAGACCTTTTATAACAACGACTTCCAATATCCTAGCTTCCTGCCATGGCCCGTCACCCTATTATTTTCTACCCGCTTGATGGCTCACTTTATGCCATTCTGTTGAAGTAGCGCAACTTAAGTAGCATAATAATACTACTATGATATCGTGGCTTCATGTTTTCGTTTCCCCGGCTCTTCTCGCGACTCTCGAGGTTGGTTCTTCAAGCAAAGGCACCGACAATAGACATGCCGATAGCTATTTCAAGTTAGCTAGGAATAATTGAAGTAGGCTGTGAAAATTTACCTCCTAATATGACAAACATAAAAGCAACCTTCTTCTGCTTCATCGTCAACACTTTGCTGGATTCCTCGGAGAGGAAGTCTTCAGCGAGCAGGTCAACCAGAGCGGCGTAGATCAAAAGACCAGAAGAGCTGCGATATGTTAGCGTTAAAATCTTAACTGACTGGCACAAGAGTTAACATACATGGAGTTGAAGACACCGACGATAATCAAGCCGAAGGCGCTGTTAGGGTCGTAGCTGTTACGCGCAGCCAAGCCGATGGCCTGTCCAATAGGGGCGGTCGTTCCGAAAGCGAACACTAATAGCCAGGGTCGGATACTGCCCTTAGGGTACGGAACAGCGGCGATACGAGAACCAAGACCAAGGCCTTCGAACATTTGGTGGAAAAGGATAGCGATCAGGAGAACGACAAAGCCCTCGATGGTGATAGAAACAGTCATTCCGACGAAGACGGAGTGGAAAAGGATACCACCCTCAAGCAGTGTAATGTTCATGGACATCCTCCGGTAGATCATGGGGTCAACCGGCTGGCCCTCCTCGTCAAACATGCTCTTTTCGGTGACCACTACGTCCTGCTTGGGATCCGACTGTACTGGAAAGTTGCCACCAGATGCCTTGATCATGTTGACGAGCTCGAGACGCTGGCGGACATATTGCTCGTAGAAAACGACGAACCACGGAGGCATTTCAGATCGGGGAAGGTCCAGGTCGTTCTCGCGGTATGAGTATGGGTTGTTCTCGTACATCTCCTTGGCCATCCTCTTCTCGTATTCTGTGTCTTCGACGTCAAAGCCCACCATAGTCGCATCAGATGGCTGCGCACGGTGCTGCGGCTGGGACTGGGGCTGAGGAACCATAACTGGGGGGGGTGCGTGCTCGAAGCCTGCGGCACCGCCGTGGGAATGTCCGCCCATCTTGTTGTTCATCCACATCTCAATCATAAATAGACAAAAGAGGGAACCCATCATGATGACACCAGGAAGCGGGGGGTATTGCTCAGTAAAGAGATCTGGAAGGCATGGGTCTGAAAGACTGAACCAGGCTGTAGGGAGAAGCTGAGATACAGGTTAGATAGAAATATAAAGATGTTGCTTGGCAAGACATACATGGACAAAAGCAGTTGCTATTAGGACACCCGTTCCGAAATGTTTGCAGGCGAAGAACACCTTATCTGGTACCTTCAGCCAGCTGATCTTCTTCGCGGCTACGGGAAAGCCAGCCCCTAAAAATGACTTGTCAATATTGCGCCACGGATTATGAACATCTGAAGTATTGCATACCGAAGATTGATGCAGCTAGGACAAGGACTAAGAGACTGTTAGCTTATTACGATTTAGATTATATCGAATTCAGCACTTACACAGTCCAACCGTGTGTAGAGGAAGATCGTATTCTCCAGCTTCCTTACCACCGCCACAAACGGGCTTTGCATTTCCCATATCTTCCGACATGGTGTTCAAATACCCAAGTTACTCAGTTAACTACCTAAAACAGAGTATACAAAAAGTGAAAGTATAAAAGTCGAAAATCCGGCGACTATAAACCTGTTGAAGAAAAAGGTATAAAAAAGGGATAATATGAAGCCGTCCGGCGACTCCTGGGGGAATATAAATAACATACGAGAGGCTTCAATCCTCACGCCAAGAGAAGAGAATGTAAAAAAAAAAAAGAAGTAGAAGAGAATGGGAAAGATAACGAAGACCCCAACACTCGACCAGGACACTGCAGAAAAGGATGAATATCGATCAAAAGTCTTGGAAGATTCGGCCGGGCCTTTGCTTTAATATGCATTACTACGACAATACTCCGCCCGGACGATCTCGCCTATGTAAGGACAGGACGAACATCCATGGTACTCGATGTTGAAATTGCATGCATCTGCAGTGTCATGGACCCAGAATAGAAATCCTCGCTCGACTATTCTTGACGTTTTTGCTCGCACATACGTACGGTAGCAACCAACTCCTTGAATCCCTTGTCTTAGTCGACTTCATTATCTGTATTGGATGAGAGATCGGCTTGGTCAATGCCGCCAGGGTTGTTTCACAGCAATTGTCTGTATCGTGCAGAAACCCAATAATAGTGCAATCTCTACTGTATGTAGTGGGCATTCAGATGTTGAAGATCACGCCTGTGCTTGTGAGAGCTTGGCATGAGCCTCACCCCGGAGACTCCACCTATAACTTTAGTCTCATTACTTAATAAATTACTGCTATGTATGCTTCCATGGTTACTACATCGCCCCATTGCTGTTAGCTTCGTCCGGATACTCCAAAAAACTAACCAAACTTCGCGATTAAGGCCAAGATGATGTCAAAAATAGTGTGAATAGTGAATGTTGTAGGATTGAAACGAGGCCTACTACTTACTCCAAGATATTTATATTTTATATTGATATATTAGCAATATATCAGTATGTTCATAGTAAGCTTCGTAGTTACATACATACGAGAGCCGGCTTCCCCGATTAACTCTATAGTATGTGTGTGCGGATGCGGAAGAGACGTCGATGGCTGCGGCTGTTATGACTTCAGCGGGTCGGGGGTTTTGTCTGATAGTCGACATTACCTTGTTAGGAATAAGACTCCTTGAGTCGTATATGTATGGAGGAAACAATTAAGACTCTTGGCAGTATCAATAATTGTGGGTTTACTTTAATGCGGCTTGTGTAGTTATCACGGTAAGCTGGAAGGTTGAACGTTGCCTAAAACAGTATGCGGCTTGGCAGACAAGAGTCCGGGGTAAGAATGGCTGGATGGCTGGTCTCCGGCTATGCTATTTGGTGAGCGAGGAGTGTTTGCCATCTAAGCTGTGACAGATAAGACGTGATAGTCACGGCAAAGGTGAAGTCCGTCTGAATCGAAACAAAATTGGGCCAATGGGGCATTGCCGTATTTGATAGTGATCAGCTGTTTACCGATGCGAGAAATCCCTTGCCAAGAGCGTCGTTGTTTGAGACAGGCAAAAATTGCGGTCTAAGCGGAGCATTTGACAAACCGGGGCCGGCATATCGAATCCCTGTTTGGTTTTTCTTTCGCTTTCTGCGCGGGGGTTTGCTGAGGAGAAACCAGCAAAGCTTTCTTGGCAGACGAAATAACCAGGAAGAGTGTTGTATTTCGTCCAGGTGTCAGTGGGGTCTGATGGAGTGCAATGCAACCTATGACCACGGTTGGCTCCCTCACATTTGTATTCGAGCCAGGTCGGATATAATTATGAGCCGGCTTGCAGCGATCGCCCTCTCCCACTGTTATTCAGAAACATTTTCTGTATTGTATCCTAAAGGCTTTTCAGTGCACAAATTTGAAGATGGCGAATCAGGAAGCAGGAAACACCGCTCAGCCATCAGGTCAGTCGTTTTCTTATTATTATCCTCGTCTGATTTTGTTATGAGGCTCCATGGAAACATCCACATCCGAACGCGCAAGCGTTTTGAATCCTTTTATCCCCAATTGGGAATGCGGCGGAGGACTTGAGACAAGCACACCTACTGACATAGAGGTGAAGACAACATTGCTCCAGCAAGCGCCGGTCCCGTTGTTACTCCGTCTGCAGCTGCAGCTGCAGCTGCAATGCCCAAGGAGGCAAGTGACTTCGAGAAGGACGACGGCTTGCCTTCAACATCGGTCGAGGATTCGTCAGCTACGCAGGCCAGTGGGGCGGGAACGTCTTCCGCAGCCGAAGTCAACGCAACTGACCCCTTGAATTTTGGTCGCCATCGACGTGAAAATGTCAGTCGACGCCAGATGAAAATCGACCACCCCAATGGAAATAAGAAAGAGCTTAAGAAGTTCTACACCCGACAGAATGAGCTTATCGATCAATTCCTGGGTGCCGACGATGAGGAGCAGTTGCAGGTGGAGGAAGACGCCCGAGTGGCTCCGAAGATCAAGTTCGCCGTTAATGCCTCGTTTGTGGCGAACTTTTGCCTTTTCGTAATTCAGTTATACGCTGCCGTCTCGACTGGGTCGCTATCGGTAAATGACCCTGGGTGCGAATTGTCCTTTCATGTGAACTTAGTTGATCGTCTGAATAGCTTTTCGCCACTGCTGCTGATGCTTTTGTTCGTAACCCTCTTAAACTGCTAATGAAGTGCTGCTGGTTGACTATAGAGATAGATGGACCTCGTCTCATCTTTTGTAATGCTGATAACTTCACGTATGGCGGCCAGAGCCAGCATCTATAAATACCCAGTAGTGAGTACTCATCAACAGTATGGCCATCAAGGTTGTAAGCTCATAGCCACGTAGGGCCGCACGAGGATCGAGACCATCGGAATTATCCTTTTTTGTGCGCTGATGACTACTGTTGCAATCCAACTTATCGTGAGTTTACTGCCCCCATGGTGTTTCAGCCCGTCGGGATCTGTGGTTCTAATTCATGACCTATAGATCGAGTCGGCACGTACCCTCGGAGGAGGGCCATCCGAATCGAGTGAGCTGCATATCATTCCCATCGTATTCGTGGGTATTGCCAGTAAGGGAATCTATCCAGATGCTTGTATCTTGTAGCTAACAAGGATTTAGTCTTTGCAAAGGGCAGTCTGATGTTTTACTGCCTTACGTACCGCAAATATCCATCAGTCCATGTCTTCTTCGTATGTAGCCCCTTGCTGATTATTAAAGCAATGTTACCATGTTACTGATTAGGTGTAGATCGACCATCGCAACGATATCGTTGTCAATATATTCGGTCTGGTCATGTCAATAGTCGGTGACCGGTTCGTCTGGTATCTAGACCCTATTGGTGCTATATGCATCGCGCTCCTAATTCTTTTCTCCTGGGTTTCCAACGCCTTCGAGCAAGTATGGCTACTTGTGGGCAAGTCGGCTCCAAAGGAGTTCGTGTCTAAGCTCATCTACATAAGCATGACTCACGACCCCCTGGTACAGAAGGTGGACACGGTAAGCCAATGTCGGCCTCAACCTAGTGGAGATAATAATACTAATAAAAGTTTCAGTGCCGGGCATACCATGCCGGACAAAAGTATTATGTCGAGGTTGATATTGTTATGGATCAAAATATCCCGCTGAAGATCTCACACGATGTGAGCCAGTCTTTGCAGAGAAAGCTTGAGGGTACGTATTCGGAGCCGGGCTAATATTAAGTATATAATATGCTGAGAATTTTCTAGGCTTAGGTGATGTTGAACGGGCATTCGTCCATGTTGACTACAACGACGACCACAGCATCCACGAAGAGCACAAGCCCCTCTACGAAGAGAAAAAGCAAGGTCGAACTTTGAAAGATATACTGCTCTTCCGAAAGAAAGAAGGGGAAGAGGAACTTAGGAGACAAGAGATGTCAGGATAAGGCACCTTCGTCAACCACTTTCATTAACCTTTTTACGCTTTGAATCTCGGGAAATGGGTAAAGGGGGGGAAGGGGGAAAGAGGGGGAGGGGAGGGGAGGGATAAGAGGGTTATGAGGGCCATGAGGGACGAAAAAGAAAATAGAGAAGAGCCGCGGTTTACACCACCAAGTAAAGGCGTGGTGAGGCTATTCAGACAGTGCGAACACCGGTACACGATTAGAACTAGTGCAATGATTTCAGTTTCTGTATAATAGAGCGACAAGCGATGAGCGTTTCATATAAACATATACACCATAAATGTAGTAAGAGAATAATAAAACATGCTAATTACGCAAGATCTCAGCCGCGTGGCGCACTCAAAATGAAAAGAGGAATTGAAAAAGTTGAGAAGTGGAAATTGGGTTTAGTTGATACCCAATTACTCATACTGACGTCGTACAAATTGAAGTTACACTAGCATCAATTGAATCTTTTAGCGGGAAGCTAAACGTCTGGTTACATAATACAACACCTAACCTAGTTATGTATCTCGGTATCGTATGATTGGAAATGAAAACCTTCCCATTTGCGTCTTCAACACTGCTCTCTCCGAGGGGAACAATCCTCACAACACCCCCAAAATGTCGCTTCTTCTCCCGGGGATACGCAGGGCGACGGCTAAGCTGACACCTGGTTGCTTCGTCTGCCGCCAATGCCTCCGCCAGCAGCCTCGCGCAGCTGCTTCGTCGCGGGTCTTCCGGGCCCTCCAGGTGCGACAGGCTAGTACCGGTGCTGTCGGCGAGTCGAAAGCTCGGTTTGCTCGGTATTTTACGTCGGCGGCTGTCTCGAGCGAAGCAACGCAAGCTGCGAAGAGGATGTTCCCTGAGACGAGTTCCAAGGGCGTGGCGTATTGGCTGATTGGGAGTGCTGCGAGTGTCTTTGGTATCGTGGTTTTTGGTGGGCTTACACGGTTAACGGAGTCTGGGTATAAACTGCCCCTGCCCCTCTCCTCCTCCTCTTACCACTTTACTATAGATATTGGGATCTGAGACCGTGGGACTGATTGCGCAAAAACAGGCTCAGCATAACAGAATGGAAGCCCGTAACCGGGTCCCGGCCGCCCCTTACCCAGGCCGACTGGGAAGCCGAGTTCGAGAAGTATCGGGCGTCGCCCGAGTTCCGCATGCTGAACTCGCAAATGGACCTCGACGAGTTCAAGAAGATCTACTTCATGGAGTGGACACACCGGCTATGGGGACGCATCATCGGGTTGACCTTCGCGGTGCCGACCGTGTATCTGGTTGCCCGGCGCCGTGTATCCGCCCGCGTCGCCGCCCATCTCGTTGGTATCTCTGCGCTTATCGGTTTCCAGGGGTTTATTGGGTGGTGGATGGTGAAGTCCGGGCTTAAAGACGATTTGTTTGCGCCGGGATCGCATCCTCGTGTATCGCAGTACCGTCTTGCTACGCATTTGGCTATGGCTTTCGTCTGCTACTCCTGGATGCTGCTCACAGGCCTAAGCATCCTGCGCACCCGCCGTCTCCTCGCCGACCCCGCCTCCGCCAGCAAAGTTATCTCCGCCCTGAAGAATCCTGCCATCGCCCCCTTCCGACGCTACGTATCAGCCCTCACCGTACTAGTTTTCACAACCGTGCTCTCAGGCGCCCTGGTTGCTGGCCTCGACGCTGGACTTATCTACAACGAATTCCCCATGATGGGCTTGGGCTTAACCCCGCCAAAGTCTGAGCTCTGGGACAAGTTCTACTCGCGAAAGGAGGATAACTCCGATTTATGGTGGCGCAACATATTAGAGAACCCGAGTCTAGTACAGCTAGACCACCGGATCCTCGCCACAACTACCTTCTGCGCCGTTCTCGCACTATTTGCGTACTCGCGGTCTGGCCGACTTGCCACCATACTGCCTAAGAAAGTAAAGAATGGCACAACGGGCATTGTACATCTCGTATGTCTACAGGTCGCTCTTGGTATCAGCACGCTTATATACATGGTTCCTATTTCGCTTGCCGCCGCGCACCAAGCGGGAAGTCTGGCGTTATTAACCGGAGTCCTCGTCCTTGGCCATCGCCTACGGGTACCAAAAGCGACGATCGCGCAGGTTCAGAAGAGGTTGGCGTCGGCAGCTCAGCCGCGGTAACCCAGCCATATTCTATGCTAGGCTAACGAATGTACGATGCTTAAGACGTTGTTTATTTACTAGACATATACCATGTATTATACGTAGAGTCTCAACTTTTTTTTTCATTCATTTCCACCCTATGGTGTGCCGATCATAGCATTGATGTTGCCTGGAATATCTAGTTAAGTACTTAACTGTACAAACACCGAAGACGGTATACTTTCCAAGCCAATACCTGCATAAACGGGATTTGTCCTTCAACAATATCGAAGGTTCCTCATTATTTGTGAGCTAGAGGTTGTGGTTAGTTACGATATATCAATAGGTGGAGGACTAAGACGAGCAACACATACGAATTCCTTCGACCTTAACATGGGGTTCCTCCGCACCTGCCTCTTCGATATCGGCAGGGAGCTTCTCCTTCTTCTGTTCGGGGTTCATGAAGGGGAACAGCAACACCTCCTTGATAGTGTAGTTGTTGGTGAGGAACATGGTAAGTCGGTCAATACCCATACCCCAGCCGGCGGTCGGAGGCAGACCGTATTCAAGAGCGTTCAGGAAGGTCTCGTCGATCATTTGGGCCTCATCGTCTCCTTGAGCCTTTTGGTTGGCCTGCTCTTCAAAGCGCAGTCTCTGCTCGAACGGCTGGTTTAACTCGGTGTAGGCATTGGCGATTTCCTTCTTGCAGACGAAGGCCTCGAATCGCTCGGTCAGACCAGGCTTGGTGCGGTGGTCCTTGGCCAATGGCGACATAATCTTGGGGTGCTCTGTGATGAAGGTCGGGTTGACTGCGGTCTCCTCGATGAACTCTCCAGTCAATCTATCGAGCATCCTAGCAGTAGTCTGGGGTTCGGGGCAGACAACGTTGACCTTCTTCAAAACTCCCTTGAGCCACTCCCTTGTCTCGTCTGTGTGTAGTTGGTCGCCAGGAGGGAACTTTTCTCCGGTTGCTTCCTCGAGGGCAGGAATCATCTCCACTCTTCGCCACGGGGCCTCCCAGTTAACTGTGTACGTCTCGCCGTGTTGTGTGGTGAATGAGGTTGTGTAGCTTCCGGTAAGATGCTTCACCATACCAGAGACAAGCTCTTCAGTTCTATTCATGAGATCGTTAAAGTCGGCATAGGCCTCGTAGAACTCACAAGTCGTAAACTCCGGGTTGTGGGTCAGATCGGCGCCTTCATTTCTGAATAGACGACCAATCTCGTAAACCTTATCATACTCTCCAACAATCAGCATCTTGAGGGGCAACTCGGGCGCTATTCTCAAGAAGATATCCATGTTATAGTCGTTAAGGTGAGACTGGAAGGGTTTGGCTGTGGCACCACCGGCGATCTGATTTAGGATGGGGGTTTCGACCTCTTCGAAACCGGCATTGTCGAGGTAATTGCGGATGTACTTGATAATCTTCGTACGGGTGCGGTAGGTTTGAGCAGTCTTGGGGTTCATGATGAGATCGAGGTAGCGCTTGCGGTAACGCTGCTCTTGGTCCTTGAAGCCGTAGTACTCGTCGGGCAGTTGGTGCAGACAGGGGGATAAAAGGATCACCTCTGTAGCAAAGACGGAGAGCTCGCCCTCTTCGCCCTTCTCGAGCTTGGTCTTAGGAGCAGTTCTACCGGCGTAACCAACGACTCCAATGATATCACCACGTCTTATGTGGTCATGTTGCTTCTCGAAGGCAGGTGCTCCTTCGCGGATTTCTTGAGCCTGGCACATGATCTGCACCTTGACGCCATTGTTGCCGCGGATATCGTAGAAGAGCAGCTTGCTACCGGAAGCGCGCTTGTTGTATATCCGTCCAGCTACGCGCAGGGTCTTGGACTTGTCATGCTCTCCAGACTTGAGGTGACCGTACTCCTTGACTAGATGGTTCAGGTCATAGTCGCGATGGAACTTGTGAGGGTAGGGATAGGGTTCCTTGGATTCGATAAGCTTGGAGATGGCGCGGGATCGAATTTCGAAGTATTGCTAATTCCAATTAATTAGTAACAGTACTGTGACGGTGCCAATTGACTAACGTTAGGAGTCAACTCCTTCTCATCAGCTTCAGCATTCGTCTTCTTTGCAGATGCAGGCTTAGGCGGCGCAGCTGCGGCCTTCTCTTGCTTCTTAGCGTCTCGCTCGCGCTGCTTTTGTCTCTTCTTCAACTCCGACTTAGACACCTTCTCTCCGGTGACTTCATCTAGATGCAGGTTAGCAACCTCTGCGGTAGGTGCTTGATCCGCCATGGTGACTGAATGTGGTTGTGATATTGTGATATTGTGATATTGTGATATTGCGATATCGTGTAAGTTGGTAGAATTATTCTAAGTCGGCCCCACGTAGATTTTTTTGAGTTGATGGCGGGGTAAATTTTTGCGAATTGAAATTGAGTCACCGCACCGATTTCGCCAATTGCTATTCGCGTCTAAACGCGGGGCATATTGTATATCACGTGGAAGTCACGTGGCATACATTTTTTATCTTTCGCTATTAATTAACGTTTTTCTCTAGGTTGAATTCAACCAAGCGCGAACCTAATTCTGTAATACCTATCATATCCCTGTTCGTATCTTCAATGGATGATCATTTATTTATTTATCTACCTTACCTAACCCTACCCTATCTTCTCCCAGATCTACCTCTAGGATCACATACAAGGGTGCAATTCTAAACTGTAAACTGCAGTCAGAAAACTAGCGTCCGTATCGAATACGTCTTAATGGAACCCAGTCCGAACTGGTTACTGACTTCTTCACAAAAAGTCCTAATCTCCCTTTGGCGTGCCGCGCCGCGCCCAGGGTGTGATCCTTCGGCTCTCAGGCTTCATCATTACCATGTACGGTCCCACCCAGCTGAATATCCTAGCAGCCAGTCAACGGCCAAGAAAATGCCGTGTAGCTTGGGGTAACAGGATGCTCGAGCGGGAATTTGATAAACTCCAGCTGCCAAGACCCAAGCGTTTGGTTCTAGTGCAAGGCTCATCGTCGTCACCATGGAGCACAGTGCAATAGGAATTTAGCGGTCTGATTGAATTACATTTATTTGTCCTCGTACCTAACTCAAGTTCCCATAACTAATAGCAGCTCTAGTGCACCGTGTTTATCAATCTCAAGACAGATGCGATATCTGGCAGTAGGATACTTAGGTAGCTATTCGTAACCTATCCTCATCTTCGTGGCCGATGCTAGACGTAGACGAGAATGCCTTATCCTTTATTGGTCAGCCTAGACTAGCAGATTGATCGGCAAGTGTTGGCGTTTTCTGTAGGAATAGGTATGTATATTCCTTGAAGTCGAGTGCCACAGCGGTAAGCTGGCCACCACCAAATGCAAGAGCTTTGGGTGTGATAACTTTGAGTGCCTTGTATTGTCTATTCCTGCCCTGTCCTGCCCTGCCCTGCCCTCATGGATTGCTAAGTAGTTCCGAGTTGAGGTTAGCCTTACTCTCGAAGCGAGTAAAGCTGATAACTTTGAATGATCTATGGTATTATCGCGTACCAGCCAGTGTGATAAATATTGGCGGATATGCATGACCTACATCTGGGAAACTTGCGCAAAATGTGTGCCTATTATCATATTATCTGCTTCTCAGACCAGTCTCAACCTTAAGACAGCTTTTAGGCCGTCAAAACCAATATGAGTTTTGGTGTAGGCTTCGGTGATTTGGTGCTCGCTTCCAAACTGGCCTGGAATGTATACAAAGCATGTAAAGATTCGGGCGAAAATTTCAAACGTTTGTCAAACGAAGTGGCCTCCTTACACGTCGTACTCAAAGAGACCGAGGACTATATCGATGAATTTCCGGAGCTGGGCACTTCTCGAAAGAATCGTTTAAACATTTTGACCGATGGTTGCAACGCGACGTTAGAGGATCTGCAGAAGCTGCTCAAGTCATATGAGCGACTTGGGACGCAAGCCCAAAGGACTTGGGACCGGATGCGCTTCGGGCTAGAAGACCTTGCTGATATTAGATCTCGCTTGGTGAGCAATGCAACACTCTTGACAGCCTTTAATAGCACTCTGGTCAAGTCCGTAATGCCAAAACGCGCACACGTTTAAATAGCACTAACACTGGTCAAAAGCTCATCGACGACGAGGATCGAAAAGAAGCTAAATAAGTTCATCTGCGAAGTACGTGCCGGATATCGGGAAGGATCCGTTGTTACCACCCCGGACGTTGTCGAGACGATCGAATCTCCCGATGTATGGGCCCAACTGCGGCGTGAACTTGAGGACATCGGCATCTCGCCGGCCATCATGGAAGAAAATCACGAATATATATCGAACTGGATGAAGTCGGTTCTAGCACAGGGGCTCGTTAATGAGGATCCCGTCGCAGAATTAAACAAGACAGTCTCTCCCGACTCTGGCTATGGCGGTAGTATCATCTCGTCGTCTGCTGATATTATTACAGCGAACGAACAGTTTGAGTTGGACATGCGAAAGAAGCAGGCCGGAAGGCCTCTAGACGAGGTTTTCAAACCACTCACCGTCGAATCCACCGCCCCGTCGGTCAGGAAGAAGTCAATCACAGACCCTACCAGACTTATCCGAAAGCTCTTTGTGAAGGATGATGCACTTGTACAAGCGGCCAGTGATGGCGACATCGATAAAGTTGCAAAGTTGCTCAGCATCGGGTGCAACGTGAATGCAAAAGATCGATGGGGGTGAGTGAACCCCGAAGGTGCTGTTTTGAGACACACTGACGTGTATCATGTAGTTGGTCAGCACTCAGCATGTGTGCGTACGGGGGACATCTCGCCATAGCCCGGCTCCTCCTTGAGCACGGGGCTGACCTGTACAACGTCGATGTCGACGGTGACACACCGATGCAGATAGCTACAACCCGCGGTCACTCGGAAGTGGCTATCCTGTTCGATGAAGCACAGGCCGAGAGAGATCGCCTAGCTCGGGAACTAGATACTGAGCCAACAGCGAAATGAACCAGCCACACCTCAGTAGCGCGGCGAAGGATTTATTCGTGATGTAGCTCGGATGATTCGCATACCCGCTAACACTCGAACATAGTTGAGACATTAGGTATAACTTGAGCTTGTTTGTTCAAAGAACAATTCTTTATATGATCATTATTATTGCTTTATTCATGCGTTCCTTCGTATTTCTTACATTCTTCTTTCGGTTGCCACTTTTCAGTCTAAACGGGGGTCACCGTGGTGGCATGATGTATGATTTATGATTTGTCAAGAGTCCGAGAGTTGGCATTGTGTTATTAATGGAACCATGTCTCAGTCACTACATTAGGTCTTATTTTTGTCAAAAAATAACCGCTGCCTAATGTACACACTGTCTAATATGCGAAGCCTGACGTAGCACCTCCATTTATAGGACCCACGAGCTCAACACCGCCAAGCTATTGCAGAGTTGCATCGCCGCATAGGAGCCGCTAAAGATATGCTAGGGAGAAGCAAAGAAGTAGGGAGTTGGTAAGGCTGACAGTTGTAGTTTTGTATGTAATTTACACAGCTGCAGGGGTCTAGAGCTTCAAGAAACATTCCTTCGCCGTCGATCCTTTCAACTTCATCGCCATGCGCAGCCACGATGGGTCATTTCCCGATCAGCATGACTTTCCGCAGGTTAAAGGACCCGTATCATATACAGGATTGGCATACCGGCTCCTTATGTAGAATGTCGTGGCCGTATATTCCACCTTCTACGGCTTTTAGGATTAGTTACCAAAATGTCAGACTCTCTGTCGAGGAGTTGTCTCGGGCAAACCGCGCTCGTCGAGTAACATTATCCAGGCTCTCACTTCCATACTGTTACTCAAGTACAGTATAACATTTTCGAATTCGACTTAGACTAACTAAATGGTGTTTAACTTGTCTTGTACTACCGACTGGCGATGAATAGGTCTATCACATAAGAGTTGATTTGACACAGATATTACACCGACTATTTCCTAGAGGCGGATCTCGCTAAGGTGGACGCAACGCGAAATTGTCATAATGTCGATTCTCGCCATTCCGCAAGACCCCTTCTTACCTCGAGAGCCATCTAGAGGGCCGCTTTTCCTCGACACGCAAGCATGTCTCTGCGCTCTACGGGGAACAACGAATTCAGACAATAATATAGCATGGCAGTGTATAGGAAACCAGACGCAGGGTGTTTATAATGTGACGACTGGGAAGTGGTTTAACAGTATAGGGCCTTCTAAAATACCCGAGGAGCTTCTCATATCAGATGCAACGAATCATCCCGACACTAGCAAGGCTTTCATGGTAGATAACTCTACCCATGCCTTAATCGATCTCAACTCTAGCAAACTTAGCATCTGGGATCGAGCATGCACGGGCGAGAACCGCACGTCTTTCTCTACTTCTTACTATAGGGCTGCGGCGGAACTCGAAAGAGATGACCCACCTGTCGATGCTGCTCCTTGTTGGCGACCCGGAGCTCTTCCGATCACGATCCAGAATGCGTCGAGCTGGGAGACGAGCGGGTGTAATGAGGGTTTTCTATGTAAGTTGGGGGTCCAAATAGTTTTAAGGCATAAGGCAGGCTGATGAGTGAACTAGGCACTAACAACACCGTAAACTCGTTACCACAATTCTGCCCTCCTATAACAGAGTGCCAGATAGCGAGACTGGCGGGTTTCACTTGCAATTACAATGGCAAAAACTTCGGGATGGGCCCTTTCGAGCCCGTTGTTTGCCAACAGGGGTATTACTGTCCGCCCGGGCGTAACGAAATGATTACCTGTCCAGCCGGCTCGTATTGTCAGCCCGGTGCTCCCTCGCCTACACCGTGCAGTGTTGGAAGTAGATGTCCCGAAGGGTCGTCATTCGAAACATTCCTAATCCCGATCCTCGTCTTAATCCTCGTCGACACCATCGTAGCTATACTGCTCGTTTTATATTACATCCGCAAGCGCTTCTGGAGGGCCCGCGAACAGTCCATCGGCAACAAGTTGAAAAGGAGAACTACCTTCGTGGGAAAGGTCACAGGCTATAGGGAGATCTCCGGCGACATAGACAATGACCACGAGATGGTACCGATGCAGGCGACATACATGCCGGGTCAGGATGCGTGGACCGGTTTCGAAGCTGCGCTGGAATTCCCAACGCCGCAGAGTTCTACATTGAACATTACCGAAAGCGGATTCTCGCCGCAGCTGCGAGCATTTGTTGAGTCCATGCGGAGAGCAACCGACGGTGCTCGTTTCGGTCTATCGTTCGCGTATTCCGACCTCAGTTTTCACCCCAAGGGTAACCCAAAGCCAATTCTGCAAAACGTTACGGGGTCTATCGACCGCGGTTCTTTAACGGCAGTCATGGGTGGTTCAGGCGCCGGAAAGAGTACATTTGTAAACGTTCTTATGGGGAAAACCACCAACACCGGCGGTTCGGTTATGATTAACAACGTGCCTGGGAAGATCAAGAGATATAAGAAGCTCATCGGTTATGTGCCACAAGATGATATCGTATTGCCTGAACTGACCGTCTACGAAAATATTCTCCACTCGGCAAGGATACGTTTACCTCAAACTTGGAAGGACGTCGACATAAAAGCTCACGTCAACTCGGTTATCGACTGTTTGGAACTATCTCATGTCCGTGACTCGCTAGTCGGCAGCGTTGGAAAGCCTGTTATTAGTGGTGGTCAAAGGAAACGAGTTAGTATTGGAATGGAACTCGCCGCAGCCCCCATGGCCATCTTCCTCGACGAACCTACCAGCGGTCTTGACGCCACGGCTGCGTCCTCTATTATGCGAACACTTAAAGCGATCGCACGACTAGGTATTTCCGTTATTGTGATCATCCACCAACCGCGCATGGAAATTTTCGAAATGCTCGACGACCTCATCTTGCTAGCAAACGGCCAAATCATCTACGAGGGACCAGAGGCCGGTGTGCAGGAATTCTTCGAAACTGTCGGATTCAGCTTCCCCCCGCACAGCAACTTCGGCGACGTTGTTACGGACATTATTACCGGAAATGGCAGGATATATAAGCGGACTGGAGACATATCGAAGGAAGCACTGATTGCAAATTGGGCGCAATCGAGTAGAAACGCGTCGATTAAGGAAAAGCATGCTTCGGTCAGGTACTCGAGGACGTCTATCGCGGAGAATAATTCAAAAGGCAGAGAACTGCTAAGGAAGCGAGGTGCGCCGCGTTGGAAACAACTCTGGTTATGTCTGTCGCGCGCTATGCTCCAGCAATGGCGAACAAAGTCGGCATTCTGCTTCGAGATGGGACTGGCTACTGTGGCAGGGTTACTCCTTGGATTGGCCGAGAGCTCGAAAAAGGGGGTGCTATTCACTGGGATCTACAATGAGCCGTATGATGTCCTATCCCTAGCAACGGATATCAAGTCGGTTCCCGAGCTCGCGCTTCTGATGGCCATTGCCATTGGTCTCGTGGCCGCTGCACCCGGCGTCAAGGTCTTTTCCGAAGAGATGCTGCTATACCGCCGAGAATCCGAAGCAGGCCACTCGCGCATCGCATATTACCTCGCGAAGAACATCTCCGTTATACCTCGTATGGTGTTCGGTTGCATGCACTTCTCGACGGTGATCCTTCTGCTCTCCGTACCTATTATCCCGTGGGGCACGGCCTTCCTCGCAAACCTCGTGTACTTCTACTGCATCTACGGCCTGGCTAGCTGCATCAGCATGATAGTCCGACGGGAAGACGCGCCTCTAATAGCGACCATGATCAGCCTGATCGTCGGTATCTTATCAGGCGCAGCGCCGCCTTTATCCAGCGCGAAGGATTGGCACCTGGAGTGGTTATGGCGAGCGTCACCGGGTACGTGGCTTGCCGAGCTGTATTTCGGCCAGCTCGTCAACCCATTTCGGTACCTCTACAATGTGGAGTTGGCTGCGCAGCAGGTGGGTTTCCATCTGGACTGGCATTGGCTTAATTTGGTCTATTTACTTGCTATCGGGTCTATATACCGTGTCCTTGCGTATCTTGGTTTACTTGTGGGAAGCCGGTTGCGCGTATAGAAAGGGTATAGAAAGGTAGAAAGGGGTGGATTAATCACATACTGGGTAGGTACTTATATATAGACGGCACGTGGTATAAAGGGAGCATGTTACTGGAAAAGGCCATAAAACTTGGTGATATTTATATATATTACTCCTCCCTAGTCCATAGATTATCATAGATTATCTTGCATCATAGGTAGGTATTTAGCATATTAGTCCAGCGTTTTATAAAGAAGCGTTTCGTTGTTTATATTTACGTATCTCTCCGTTATTGCAGTGGTCGGATGGGCTATAGCGTCTGATCTAAAATAAGGGAGCTGAATCCTAGCCGAGAATTGGTGGCGTTCACGACCTACGGCAGAATTCAAATAAGCGCCAGCGTTTTAGTCCTATAGGCTATAGGCCCGATGGTCTTATAGGCCCCGAGCCACGCGTAGAATAGGCATAATCTGCCTTGCAAGCTGCCTTGGTGATTCTCCATGTTTAATACTCCCCTTTTCTATCTACGATTAAGAATACTTTATATAGTGGGCAGTAACCCTCAAGATTTATATTTCAGTTTAGGCCGGCAGATAATAAGTTAGTAGACCACGCTCGGCCATGGAAAGCCAAAAAAGCGATAAACCGCACATAGGTATCGTAGGTGCAGGTGTCTCCGGACTTCGATGCGCAGATATCCTCTTATCTCACGGCTTCAAGGTAACCATTCTCGAGGCCAGGAATAGGATCGGCGGGAGAGTGAGTGAACCCCTTATCCCTTACAGCTACTAGAGTAAAAACTAAACGAGTCTATTTAGATATGCCAATCAGACGGGTTGGGCTACACTGTTGACATGTGATTAAACTACGCATCCTCGTGTCTTTTAAAAATACGTTTACTGAACCGATTTTCTCGTTGTCTAAGTATAGTGGCCCAAATTGGATTCACACCTGGGACAGCGGCGACGTACACCCAATCCTAAAGCTTGCGGCCGAGACTCAGACGCCTCTTCACCGTTGGAACGGGAAGCAACTCATATATGACTCGTCAGGCAACAAAGTGCCAGAAGAGAAGTCTGAGAGGCTTTCAACTCTCTTGTGGGAGATAATCGAAAAGGCTTTCAAGACTAGTGAGGCAGCTCGGGAGAAGGATAAGGGTAAGAGCATTCCACGAGAAGAGTCTCTGTATGATTTCGTCAGCAAGAGAGCAGCAGAGGAGCTGGAAGATGAGGAAGACCGACAAGTCCTCACCCAAATGAGTGAGATGTGGGGTGCCTACGTTGGCGAGCCTGTCTGGAAGCAGAGTCTGAGATTTGCTTGGATGGAGGAGTGCTGTGGCGGTGGTAAGATTACGCAAAAGGCGCGCATAGTCCCCAAAATCTAACATGATAATAGAAGAAGTCTTCGTCGAGTCGAACTACTCGGCGATTTTAAACAGAATTGCGAAGGCATCAACCGAACAGGCTGAGGTCATACTCAATGCCAAAGTTATATCAGTTAATACTTCGCATCACGATAAGTCTCAGAAGGTTATCCTGGGAATAGAGCACGGGAATGAGCACAAATTTGATCAGGTTGTGATGACGACGCCGCTAGGATGGCTCCAGAAGAACATGAGCTGCTTCGAACCCGCTTTGCCGTCGAGGTTGAGTTCTGCCTTTCACAATCTAAAGCTCTCGCAACTCGAGAAAGTCTTCATTACGTTTCCTTCCGCGTTCTGGATCTCAGATACAACGACTGACTCATTCCCTGCCTACACAAACTGGCTTACACCATCGTATGCGCAGAATACCAATCCACACGGCTGGCCCCAGGAGATCTGGAACCTTGCCGCTTTCGCTGCGCCTAACAAACACCCTACTATCCTCTTCTACCTATACGGCGACTGCTCACGACACATTGTCAACACAATCTATGGCCGACCGAGCGCTGAGAAGTTTGCCTTCCTGAGGGACTTCTTCCAGCCATACTACTCACGGCTTCCCGGCTACGACATTGCAAGCGAGGTCTGCGTTCCAAAAGCAATCCTGGCTACCGAATGGTTTAAGGACGACCTGTGCGGCAACGCGAGCTACTGCAACTTTCAGGTCGGCGTTGAAGAAGCGGATCAAGATATCCTCGCGATCCGGCAAGGATGTGTTGACCGCGGACTGTGGTTCTGTGGCGAACACGCAGCCCCTTTCGAGGAATCTGGTACTGTTGCTGGCGCGTATCTCTCCGGGGAATCTGTTGGCAAGAGGATTGTGGAATTGTATAAAGGTGAACCAAATACGGCAGAGTAAATATTATAGACTCAAAGAGAGCACGATCTTAGTAAGTTAGGATATCTATATATATATATACACGGACTAAACAGGGACAATGGCAAAGTGCCCTAGATCTTGTGACATCTAACCCAGCCAGCATTTCCAGGACACACTTCATCTACAGAGGTATATATGGTACCTAAGTATACGACTCTTCGTCTTGCATCCGCGAGGATATCATCAGCCGCCTTTTCAGCCAACATATACATCCCCACCACAGGAAACAGCCCCCTATATCAACTAAGATTAGCTTTCCACATACACACGCACATAAGAACGAAGACTTACGGGATCTTCGGGAACACTGACGCATCCACGACTCTCAACCCATCCACTCCGCGAACGCGAAATTGACCATCCAAAACAGCCAAGGGGTCGCCATCCGCACCGATCGCACAAGTACACGAAGCATGATGACCCCACGCCTCGTCGCGCGCCCACTGCTTCAAGTCCCCGTCCGACCGTATCTCAGCAGGCCGTCACACGCGCTCAAACGACTCGCCGGTCTCGAGAGGTGGAAGGGCGTCGAAGACTTGGATCGCTAGACGCATGCCGTCCTACAACAACAACAGCAGTTAGCAGTTTCTTCTTTCGGCAGGTAAGATACTAGTCTGGGAGGTTGGGTAGGTTGGTAGGTATGCATGTCTCGGTAGTAGCTCCTCGGTTATATTGATTGATTGAAGTACCAGTCCCCGAGACAGGCCGAGTAATGTAACAAGGGGCAGGGGAGGAGGAGAGAAAACGCGGTGCTACATACCACCACAGCCTGCAGGTCCTTATCTGCATCCGCCGCGCGAGACGGGTCACCCTCGCCGAAGCTGCGGAACGTGATACGGACCGTGTGCTAAGGGGTCGGAGCTTCGCTGCGTCCATGTTTCGTAGCAGGGGTCGTCGGCTGTTGTGATGAATGTGCAGTTTTTGAAGAGCGCGAATTTACTCGACGATGAGACTGTCACACCAGCTTCGTATCGGTCCTGTAGGTTACCGCCGACGCCGGGAAGGTCCTTGATAACCGGGATACCGAATGTTTCTAGCTCCGCGGCGGGCCCGATGCCAGAGAGCTTCCAGATCTGCAGCGTGTTAAAGGCTCCTCCCGAGATGACAACCTCGCGAGTCGCCGAGACGGATCCGGGGGTACCGGATTTTCCGGCTGGACTAGATCGAGGGTCGGCCCGGTACAGGGCCTCGCCATATAGGTAGTCGACACCGGTAGCCTTAGGTTTATCGCCCGTAGTATCGAAGTCCACCTTCGTAACAAGAGTATGCAACGAGATGTCTTAGGGATACTTCTTCGAGCAGTCGGCGTTCTTGGCCGTGGCTATGTCGTAGATCCAATTCCGTGGCGTCGAGCGCTCTCACTCAGGGGAACTAATAGATAAGGGGTCGCCGCACTGGATAGCCCGAGTGTTGCTATCAGCTTCATATTGCCTTGAGGCTAGGTACGATCAATAGAACCATATGCATCACTTTCCAGAGCATAGGCTTCCGGGCGTTTGTTAACGTAAACCCGAAGGATAACATACTGGAGTTTATTGAAGGGTGGTGTTCTATAAAGGGGGTTGATCATGAACTACATATGGTAATACCAAGTCCAGAAGACGAATCTACGAGAGCTAAATTAGAAGGAAGAGACATGATTCCTACAAGATCATTTACGCCCATCTCGCTTCTGGTATGTTTTATACCGCGCCGTCTTATGATTGTGCAAGCGTCAGTATACTTGGGAACTATACTGAAACATTGCGATCCGAGTAGGTAAAATTAGCGATAATTAATTGATATTCCATTAGTATTTTATAGAACGACTGCAGGTTTAACACAAATACGAATTTTTATTGAATTAAATCAAGCATGTCGAAGTGGCCGTTGCCATCATGTATCATCTGAGACAATGGCTGAGATAACGGGCGCTGGAGCTGAACATCCTCATCAAAGGAGTCTTATCATCCTGCTCTCATAGCAGGTGGTTGTTATCATGGGACTTGAAGTGAATAGGTTGAAAAGGGGAAAGGGGTCAGTAGTTCATGATTGATGCATAGCACCGACCTCTTCGGACTGTTCCTCCGGAACAGACATTTCATCGGAACAGCATGCATTGTAGTGTACCTAATGCTTAGGTACCTAGTTACACTGATCTGCACAGCTGACAGGCATGCCGTCTAGATGGAGAAATAATTTGTGAGGGGCTTCGCGCAACGCGAGAGGCCATTGAATAGAATTGTTAAGATGGGGGTTTAGTTATATTAGTGACTCGGGTAACACGAGTTTATATTCTTGGCTATTGCTGGTTTTGTATCATCTCATCAACATCAATCAGGAACTCTCGAGTATCTTAAGAATAATATTCGAGAAAGATTTGCGGATACTGTATAACTAAGGTATTGACGTAGCATAGCCTATAGTATTTCGTGGGGAAACCAAACTAAAGAGATCCATAATCGAGGCGGAGTTATTTGGGCTTCAACAAGCAAAGACTAGGTTAGTGCCAAGTACTTATATCGTTGCGACTAGAGATAAGTATAGTTAGCGCAATAGTATAGCATCTTTGTTGTTTGGCGGAGAGTCCACAGAAGTTGCGTGGCCGTGAAGGAATGTGTAAAGATGTGTGGAGGTTGGTAGGAAGGAAAGGAAAGAAGGATGACGAAAAAGTTAAATTTAGAGTTAATAGGTAGGTACCTACCATACAGTAGTGTACATGGCTCTACCCGCTTTCCCGCCTCCTTGGCAAATCTGCTTAGAGCGGTTATATTTGAAGTTACGGTCTACCTAACCTACGCTTGCTGTTACGAAGTATGCAAATGACTAACCTAGGTAGGTACCAGGTAATTACCTAAACCAAGCCTTTTTCTTCTCTTCTTCTTTTTTCCCTCCGTCTAAGCCCCTCGTGATGGCGGAAACCCCGAGACCGTGTTCAGCCAGATTCGGTCATATGAACACGGAATACGAAGCTTACCCCGGCGGCATCGAATAGTTGCTTACCATCTTGCGACGTGGGCGGCTTCTTGTCTGTTTATTATTCGGCGACCGCCTATGCAAGTCAGCGCATCTATGCATCTTAGTCTTAGGCTACTTGACAAGTACAAAAAAAAAATAAAGATTTGTTTTACAATTCGAATATGGGATGATAGGAATTCCTGCGTTGTTGTATAATAGTGAATAATAAAGGGCTGTGCGTCCAGGTCAGGTTTCGGAATTGTCGCGCGGTCCCAACGGAAGTAAGTATGGAGAGGGAATCGGTGGATTGATTGACACAATCGGGGGCTGTTTCAACCATAGTGTCGGATCGATATCATAGGTCATAGGTAGCACAGCACAAGTCATAGTCGCAGGGCTGCATGCGCCATCTTTAACGCACGACCGATCGGTTCTCGGTCTGTTTGTGGCGTTGCTTGGCGGTCTGGAGGGGCTCTCGTTAAAAAGATGCCAAAAACAACAACTGGTTGATATTTGTTTCGCGCATTACATTAGGTGCCTACTATGTAACAATCTCGCGTGGAAATTACGAATCACAGAAGTACTATACCTCATTGATATTTCTGAAAAATCAACAAAACTACCTAACCTAATACTATTTTATAATCGGGCTGTAAAATGCGAATGCAAAACAAACATGTCACAAATGCAAAAAAGATGATCCAAGTCAAGATCTGCGAAGAAAAAAGAAAGAAAAAATATTTGATTTCGTCCAGGCTCGAACTGGAGACCTTCAGTGTGTTAGACTGACGTGATAACCAACTACACCACGAAACCGTGATGGAATTTTACACAAAAGATAGCAATTATATAATTTCCTTACAATTTACCCTGCCAAAGCTGTGAAGCTGTCAAGCTAAAACTGTCTGCTGCCAGCTAATTATGCGATAGGCTATTCCTGTGTGATCCCTGCACTATAGCGCGCATTTCATTTGTACCTGACATAAATTACACCATTTTAGGGCATGGTCGCTAGAAGGGGGACCCCTTATGCAGGCTGAGATTTGGCGTGGATTAAAAGCTGCAGCTGAACCCTAGGCTGGTCCCAATAGCTGCCGTATAACCGCAAAACGGTTGGTTCCAGAAACCGCCGCGCCGCAGCCAAGAGCCGTATACACACCCAAGGCAATGCATCTTTAAATAACATTAAGGCCAAGGTGAGATGAAAACGGCTATTGAAGTCGATTTTTTGGAGGAAGGATGTACATATGTATTGTTACTTAGGTAAGTAGTAACCTAACCTAGTGTAGTATTGAACAAGAAGGTTGAATATGGGGAATGGGGAATAGGGAATATGGGGCTGTAATACCCTGTAGTCTTGGGAGGTAGTTTTTATTGCTACCTCGGGTTTAGGAATTTGGGAATTTGGGAATTAGGAAGATGGATTCGGGCGTTAGGTATGTACTGGCAACTGCTTTTCTGGGTCCGGATCAATTAATCTAAGATGATGATGGCTCTTTTCATAGAAAGAAACCTTCCATTCAACTCCTGACAAGAATTCAATAGATTCAAACTTGACCCAAGAAACTTATGGAACCCAGAACTTGCGGCACAGCTTATTGCTTGGTTCCGTACATAGTGTCGGCGTTTCATAGCCTTTTGATTTAGTACTGCGTGTACTATGTAAGTGTTAATAGCGGATTTTGTCAAAAGCCGAATATTAGGCCTGTCCAGTGTCAGGTCAGGTCAGCACTGGACTTCGCCGAAGCGACAACGACATCCTATATCCACTTCATCCCCGGCTGAACGGTTACACTAACATGCGCAACACGCATTGATGATTAACAAGATGGCGAGATATGTCATCTATCGCTTTGCTCTTTGACGTTTTTTTCTTCTTCTTTTTGCTCATCTTTACCATATTTAGTCATCTGAGCAATGTGCGCACAAAGGTCACGATCATTGTTTAACCGCGATGCTATAGAAGCTGCAACGTCACTTTCTTGGGATGGCGATGGGGTGATACGATCTGCTCGTTTATTATTTTTTATTTTATTTTTTCCTAGGCATGTATGTATGTACCTACTGTGACCCATGATAACCCCTAGGATATGTACGAACAGGGGATTATTACGATGAGAGATGATGGGGCGCAGCCAAGGGTACCCCCTGTCACTTTCTAGGACCACCAGCATTTTAGAAAATTGATTGGTTCAGATCGTTCAGCAGAGCCACAAATCTGGAGCACTCCCTGCTGGGCAGTCTCGGTTCTAACTGCCTGTGGACTAGTAGACTTGCCGAGTCTGGACTTCCTAGACCCATCCCAGACAGGGGAAAGAAGAGGCCTTACCTACCCAAACAAGCAGGCTCGGGGTCCTAAAATGATCCAAGACAGGCAGTGACTCGTGTACAGAGTAAGAACGAGAAAGGATATTCAATGGCAAGAGCTGGTTACTCGGTTGTTAACTCGTAAATAAAATCATAGCCGCGCCCACTTCCCTGCAACAAGTCCCCCTTTCTTCCATTATTCCCACACCTTCGTTTACCATACAACACATTCCTCTCTACAGCTGTCTGTCTGTCTTACTGTGCAGCGTGGTCCGTTCCACTTCGTTTTATTAAAATCAATTTCTGTCTCTCGTTAAAACAGACCCCTTCAGCTAATACTCAATTTTTTAATAAATCTACTCCGGTCTCCCCTTAACCCTGTGCTCTTCTGCTCATCTTTTCACGATCGCAGAGACTTGAGCAATCGTAGATACCCACTCGCTTCAGCACCGACCAAAATGTTCTCCAAGCTTTTGTCCACTGCCGCGGTGGTCCTGGCAGCCACCCAGCTCGTTTCAGCTCAGACCTATACCGCATGCGATCCCACCAAGAAGAGTGAGTTCGGCTTCAAAATGTCTAGGAGTATCGTTTTGATTGCTAATTGAATATCAGAGTGCCCCGATGACCCTGCTCTAGGCTCTACCGTCACCGTTGACTTCACCAAGGGAGAGAACAGCCTGTTCAAGGTTGCTGATGGTACTAAGCTTACCTACGACGGCAACGGTGCCGTTTTCACCATCAACAAGGAGACTGATGCTCCTACCATCACCAGCAGCAAGTACATCTTCTTCGGCAAAATCGATGTTGTGCTCCAGGCTGCCCCCGGCACCGGTGTAGTTACTAGTTTCGTGCTACAGTCCGACGACCTTGACGAGATCGACTGGGAATGGCTTGGTGGTGACAAGGCTCAGGTCCAGACCAACTACTTCGGCAAGGGTGATACTACCACCTATGACCGTGGTGCCTACCACGCTGTCGCCAACCCCCAGGACGGTACTTACAAGTACTCTATCGACTGGACTAAGGACTACGTCCGCTGGTTCATCAATGACCAGCAGGTTCGCGAGTTGAAGTATGCCGATGCTAAGGGCGGCACTCGATTCCCCCAGACTCCCATGCAGATCAAGCTTGGTACTTGGGTTGCTGGTCGTTCCGATGCTCCCGAGGGTACCGTCCAGTGGGCTGGTGGCAAGACCGACTTCAGCAAGGCTCCCTTCGTCGCTCACTACAAGTCTCTTACCATCCAAGATTACAGCAACGGTGTCAAGAACGCTGAGACGTACTCATGGGCTGACGGCTCCGACGGTTCTTACCAGAGCATCAAGGTCATCACTGGTGACGGCAGCAAAGATGAGACTACCACCAGCAGCTCTGCCGTCTCCAGCTCTGCCCAGTCTACCAAGACTTCTGAGGCCTCTTCCGCCAAGACCTCTGCTAAGAGCACTCTAGCCACCGTCGTCTCTACTGCTAGCGCCTCTGCTACCGCCACCGCATCTGCCTCCGCATCCGCCTCTGCTACCGCCGCCGAGTCTGCGGCTGCCAGTGGTAGCGATACCGTAGCCGCTCCTTCCAGCAGCAGCAGCACCTCTGCCACTGCCCCTCCTGCCAGCGTGCCCACTACCGGCGGTGCCATGAAGGTTGGCTTCAGCACTGCTGCTATCGGCGCTTGCCTGATGGCCGCTTTCATGCTATAAATGCCTTTTATGTCAAATTTTGCGAATAGCGCCCTTTTAGGCATTGGTGAATTGGTGATCTGTGGTTTCCACTACTACGAACCGGCCGTCTTTATTTCTTCTGAACGATCCTTTTGTACATAGCTAGAGCTCGATTGCTCTCCCGTACGCCTTGTAGAAGGCAACGGGAAAGACGATCCGCTTCTTTGCATCCAAATTATTGCTTATAATTACGGTTCACGTGGATTACCCGGGCTTGACGTCCAACAGACTACCGGCCGCTGTGGCGCTTCGGCGAACGGGATGGGTCAGTCATCGGAACGATTAATTGCATGCATATGGAGTTGAAGATACGATACGTAAGCGGAGGTTATTTGGGGACGAGTTATATATATAGGATCGGGCGGAATCTTGCAAGCTTAATGGCTGAGCTGCCATCCAACGCATGATACCAGGACGTACAGACAATATAAATGTTCATTTTGCAATCATTCTTATGTTCTGTATTTGTGATGTTATTGAAACTTGATGTATCAATTATTGACCAAGTTGCAACTTGAGTTTCAACGTTGAATTTTTCACGGAGCTTTTCTGGACGTCAATACATGACTATGACTGTAATTAGAAATCTATCTAAATAAACTCAATAACCTCTTAACTAGGATACTATTGAATCATTCCTTAGCTCGGCCAAGTAAACTCGGGCTTGGACTTCGTCAAGCTCGTTAAATCGAAGTCTTTAATAGGGGTTGCTTGCCTGTCTGCTTGGTTACTGGAGGTTAGTTAGCTCCAGCGTCTCAGCAGGAAAGTCGCCTCATTATGACTTAACTAACCTACATATTTAGGTGCCTGGACACGTAATTGATCTACGACGACGGCGATCCTTGGCGAATAATTAGGTGGATTGCAATACGAATAGATGGGCAAACGGGTACGGTCTCGATATTTGATTCGGGTTTACTTGGTTTCGCCAAGTTCTTGTATTCGCTTGGAATACTTGGCTGGGACATTCGGTAAGCTGGGACGCGTGGAACGAGTTGGGAGGGATTGGCGCAGAGGTGAGTGGTAATTTCATTCTCGGATTATCTACTTGGGACTGGGACTTTGAGGGGCGGTGTGGAATGTTAGTGACTAAGATGTATGTTTTTTTTTCCTATATTGACTGAGACTCCGGCTTGTAATGCAGTTGGTACACATGGTGTTGACATTGTCGAGTCTTATTATTACTGTTGGTAGGGATGTGATAACTTGCGTGTAAAGCTATTCATCGCAGTGAGTGCTAAACTATATTACGGCAATGCGGAATTATTATTAGTCATAGTCGAGGAACTATTTGCATCTATATCATGCCATGTTGAAACCGTAGAAGCCTGATTCAACAGGGCTTGAACAGGGTGTTGATGAGCTCTTGGGATTCTCCCTCGCTCTTCCCTATTAGAGCAGAGTTGCCGGATGAAGAAGCGTATGGCTTGTTTTTAGCGTAGGCATGCTTCTCGTTCAAGTGATACCAGAGAGGGGCTGGTATGTGTTAGCTAAGGGGAAGGAGGTTGGTAGCTATGATATCTGATGATGCATTTCTTACGTCTCATGTCTTATGAGTTGTACCGAGTAAAATATGACATGGCGTACTATATATATACTTGTTAGAAGTGCATCTAATTATCAAAGAACGAAGCGTTTTCCTCTATCAACCTACGTAGGAGCAAGTCCTCTGATGTTTAGGCTGATGTTTAGGCTGATCCAGCCGGGGAAGTAGTCGAGTATCGAACGCCTTAGATATATTTCAAGACACCCCTTGGAAGTTCCTAGACCTTGTCGTTGTTAGAAGATATATTCAAATGATGGTTTAGGAGATGTATGTTTTCTTTGGCTCAATATCCAAGGTTATAATCAGCCTCAGGTCTCCTCTCTCGACATATGCACTGGTCTAGAAAACCTATGGAACTTCTATAACTGTAGGGACTCTAGATTAACATAAGTAGATGATTATTAGAGTAAAGACATAACTCATTTATGAAGAGCTTACGGTTAGGACAAGCTGAGTATACTGTCACAAGGTGGAATTAAACAGTAGGGAAACAACTTCGTTGTTCCGCGAGGAGCTCTAGTCTATCTACGAGGATCTATGTCTATACATACCTACATAGTAAACATGGTCTTTGTCCTAGATGTCTCATCTAGAATCCTGACATATACATCACGAGAAGACAATAGGGAAATAAGTATAATTTTTACTTAGATATGAACTTTATCCCTATTTTCATTTTCACAGTTGACCTTTGCTTAAGTTTACCCCTGAATTTCAATTACGTTCTCACGTAAAATAAGATGGTAGCCCAAGCAATCCTGTTCTGAAACAATTTGGTACCTGATATATTTAAGAAATCAGTGCTGAGTGGCACTTGAGGTATTGAATTAGAACTCACTGGAAAGTAGGTATGGCCTTAAGTTTTGTGAAGCTGTACTGTCTTTATGTTAAGTCGTATCTAACTTGGTAAACCGGCCTTAAACGGTTATTCAGATAACCTCTACGACTGTCGGTCAATGCTATGGATTTTATCAAAAAATGCAATAACTTTTAAATCTGAGGCACGTATATATACAAGCTCTAGGAAACTTGACCGCTAGCCTCCCAAGTCGAACGACTTAGAAATACTTCCCACCGCACCTTATCTTAAGGGATGTCCTCTTTTAGGCTTGCAGCCCAAATTGCACCAAAAGATACCGTTAGTAACATCGAACATGTTGAAAACACTTTACCGAAATGCTGGTTGTCATCAGCAATGAATAGTGCCACGACGACGAAGATGTTCAACGGGATTCGTAGGATACTGTAAACCTTGGCACGAACATCGTCGTCTACTAGACGTCCTTTCAAGTAGCCGGTACAGGGCCAATACATACCAACGCAAGCTTCGAAAAGGCAGAAGAGCCAGAAAGTAGCATCCTCGGTTTTGGGGCCGGCTAATTTGACAAAGCAGAAATTGGCCATTAGGAGAACTCCAATAAGAAGGCGGGAATACTTAAAGAGCCGTTTTTGCATGAGAATGTTGAATATTAATGCTGCTGCCATTGATGACGCCATGAAGCTGGAAAAGATGTAGCCGTAAGGAAGCTCTCCTGTAGACATCTGTACGGACTTGATGGTTGGTGTCCAGTAGAATACGAAAAGATACATAGATCCCTCGAACATGGTCGAAGCAAAGCCGAGAGCTAATATTGATGGTTGTTTCAATGTAGACCAGAGCTTGGATGTCTTGGGTTTGTCTGAAGACTCGGAAGGCTCTGAAGCTTTTGAACCAAAATTTTCGACCTGCTTGCATATTAGTCTTGAGGCTCAAATTAGTAGGTTAGAGAAATATAGTACGTACCCAATGAGCCCAGATGAGCTGGAGGGCTAGCCAAAGTAGAATAGAACTGAGTAGAAATGGTGCCTTTTTGGTACCAGTCGCTCTCACAAGCCCTTCACTGACAATTCCGCTCACAATTGCCGAAAGGCTGTTGACGATACTAGTGGTAGCATAAGTCCTAGATAGGTCGCATCCATGTTCGACTAGTTTACGTTCCCGGAAGTTGGTTACCATCCAGCTATCGAAGACACTGAAGAGGATGCTTGTGCTGATGCCACCGAGGACACGTCCTAGAAAAAGGAATCCTATGGACGGAATGACGGTAAAAAAGCACGACATGGCGTAAAGGAGGCAAAATATCATACATATTCTCTTACGGCCATATCTGTCTGCTAAGGCCCCGACAAAGTATGCACTGATGGCGCTAGATAAGAAACCTGTGGCGAAGAGAGTAGATACTAAGCGTTCAGACACGCCGTGCTCATCGCGGTACAGGGAATACAGGTACGGTCCCTATTAAGGATCCCAAATTAGCTAATGGAAAGTGGCATACGAGAAACTCATTCCTTTCTAACATACTTGAAGCCAGTCAGCGCCCATAACGAGGGCGTAGGCCTTGTACCAATTTGTTTCAGGATGTACATCATATCGCGATATCTGCTTTCGCGATCCGCCAAGCTTCTTCAACTCGTTCCGCCGGGTGGGCTGAGAAGCAAGCAAGCCTGCACAGAGGGTAAGTAAGCCGTAGAAGCTGGTCTCGTAATAGCCCATGTTGACGGTATTAGGTGTACCTGATATACAATCTACCAGGATTCCGTCAACAAATTGGTTATAACTTGACGCTAATTCGATATATTAAGATGTAAGATATAATGTTGAGAAATGATACTACGACTACCTCTCTTTTATTTCAAGAGATGGCGCATATAAACAGCTACGAAATTGACACTTGTTGTTTGAAATTACCCGGAGGTGAGGGTCGAGCGCAACGCAACGGTGCTGCGACGAGATACGTTCGAGAAACTTGAAAATCTGTTCCATATTGGCGGGTATGCTGGATAGGTATACCCGTGGTCTGATTAAACAAAACATCTAACCTAGGGAAGGATGAGACGTAGATCGCATACGAAATGAGACTCTATTCAACCGGTTATGTCCATGTGTGTGCGTAGCGAGGTTGTAGTGAATTGTTAACTACATGTACTATGTAGAGGAAAGGAAACAAACACTGATGAAGAAATGAAGAAACATGAAATGGACCCCGGAAAGCCGAAAGAGGAAATACGGGGAAGCTCTCGGGCGAACCCCACGGGCGTTAGGTACATATGTAGTACATGTATGGATATATAGTACGGATACATACATGGAACATTTATGTACACTACGTGCCCTTGTACCTACCTACACTAGGTAGGTACCTAGGTACATAATGCATTTTATGTAAAGTACCTACATAGGTACCTAGGTACATACCTGAGGTATACCTATGTATGTAAAATGTGCGCAACGTCCCGCTCTCATGTCCGTACCTACCTTTTCATAAACCAAACCCCCCCGCGTCGGGTTGATACATATGTAGCTACCTCATACCTTAGGTACATACTAACCCTCGGAGTGAGCCGGTCTCTTTAGGTAGGTACTTACTTACTACACGTGGTAATTTAGAAACAAAGCCAATCCCGTCTACCGAGGAAAGGGGATTCACCGCCACTCGTCGAAAATAAAGACGTCCCTAGTAATCGGTAATACATTTAATTGCGCCTATTTTAACTAAATCATTTGATATACCGATGTTCGTTTGCTTTTCGAGGCGATACCTACTGCATAGGTAAGTTTAACGCCCTGTACTACTGACGTACGAGGCGTTAGGTAGTGGAATTACTTACATGTACATGAGGTAACCTGCATGATGTAAGTAGAGGTACGGAATACAATTGGATAGATGAGAGATGAGATACGTCCATATCTTAGCTTAACGCCAATTCCGGATCCGATGATCGGCCCGGATAGGTACCTAGGTAGGTATGTATGGACCTACTTCCATAGACTCAAAGCGAATTCTATCGTAGGTGGATATTTCTAGTATCTCTAGTATCTCTAGTTTAGGAACCGGTCGAACCTTAACTGGGTCTAACTTCTAATCTAACTTAAAGTCATTGATGTGAACAGTGCGTCGTAATTATTTCTGGGTAGACATCAATCTTAGATAATTCACTTTTCTTTTTCTCGATCGTCAAATTGTCAAACTGTCAAATCGCCAAATCCATTACTTCGCAACATCCTGCGTATACCCATACCCTTAATATTCGTCTTCACCTTTCCCTTCTGCGCAGTAATTGTTTGGCAGCTACCGTGGTAGCGGTCATAGCTTGCCATCTTAATACATTGCATTGCATACACTGCACGTTACTTGATCTTCCATCCCGCATATTAATACCATCATTTCGTAATAGCTATTCTCATCCAGTTATCCAGCCGACTTGGGATTATCGAACAGCCCAGACAAAAGAAGCATCTAACCTAAGACTTGTCTGTTAAGCCACATCGTTCATTCCCCCGCCGACACATCTCTTGTCAAACCAGGTTCGAGCCAGGTTTGCAGTACAATCAATACGACTGTACATAACGATATAACGATATAACGACATCACGTAAGGACCTACATAAGGACGTAAGGACCGGTACCAAACGACGGTACTTCAGTACATCATACAACCTGCGCATCTTGCGTTGTATTCTACCTGTGTACGACAATACCCCCCCAAGCCATAATAGCCAGTCCTTCTACTACTCTTACCCATCTTTTCTCCAAAAATCTCAGACCTCCGAGACCTTATCCCCGGACACCCCCTCCCCCGGCCGTCTGGCTGTACACCGACGAACACACCCACGCCCACTTGGGCAGCTGAACAGTTCTGGCTGACAGACGGAATCTTGTCATAGGCGCGACTTAGCAAATTGCATGTACTATGGCTAAGGATAATGACAATTCCGCCGCAAATCCCCCCCAATCAAAAAGGCCGCCAGTCAACCGTCATGACAGCGATTCTCAAGTCAGCGATCATGCATCCCACCAACAACACCGATCCAAACCCCCAAAACACGTTGTAGGAGCCACTGGACGCTTTCATCCTCGCGTACCCTCGTCTAAAACTTTACACAAATCCACATCTAAACTGACACGACGGCCCCCTTCTCCTTCTCCCGAGCGCGCGCCTGTAGCCGCCCAATCACACCGTAACTCCAATTCAGATGTTAAACTGCAGCAAGACCCGTCATCCTCCAATATCAGCAAGAATCCCTCGCAGTCGAGTTTGAAGCGCAACCGTTCGCACGTCGAAATAGGAAAGCGACCCAAATCCACAACAAGCATCAAGCGATCTTCGTCCCACAAGGACGTTGATAAGTTAAAAGGCGCAAAGAACCAGGTCCATTTCGATCTCGGTAGCGAACAAGAAGACGAGTGGGTTGATGCGAGCACATCCGCATCGCCATATTTGTCAAGACGCGGCTCAGCTGTTAGTAGCGACGGAAAAGCGCCGCAAAGCAGCGATAATTCACGACCTCAAACTCCTCACGAAGATATATCAATTCACAAAAAGGAATCTTCGCCGCGTCGCGAAACTGCCCAGCACAGCCAATATTTGACTTCGCGACTATTACAACGTACGCCTTCTTCAGGTGCTCCGCCCCAAATGTCCACTGAGACCGTATCCGTGCGTCATCAATCAGGCTCGCCCGAGTCCCAACTCAGCCGCGGCCAAACAAGTCTGTACGGGACACCTAAGAATACCGCTGTGGTAGGTAGTGGGCAGGAAGAGCTAATTTCTCGCTTTGTTAACGGTTCCGGTCCCGGCTCTGGTCCCGGCTCTGGTCCCGGCTCTGGTCCAAATGTCGAGAATGGGGGTTTCTATCCGCCAACGCGAAATCCGAGCCACCGTCCTGAGGGTGTACGGCGACCTCAGTCACTCGGTAACCTAAACCAAAACTATCGAATCTCGATAAGCGACGATGAGACAGACAGTGCTTTAGCTCCTCGGACAAGAAAGACGATGTACAAACCCGCGCCGGCAGAAAAATCGCGGACGCAGCAAAAACTGAACCTCCAACGAGCGAGCTCGTCTATCGAACCACCGCAACCAGTCGGCGGCGTTGGGGTTGTGGGCGTGGGCGTAGGCCCCTTAGCTAGCGGCTATAGCTACGACAACCGGGACCCGCGCATGGGCAAGCTACTTGAGCGTACGGGTATGGAATACCTTGTGGTCAGGCGGTATCAGAATCCGATCGCGCGTTCACTAGCGAGGTTATCGCATCTACCCAGCGCAAAAAAGAATCAGCATATACCTGATCAGAACGGAAGCAACGGAACAGCAAACGGGAAAAGAGCATCAGGCCTAGGTGGTGCAAGCCGTCTTGGATTAAGTCAGAGCCTTACGGATCGTGTGAAATCGAGACCTACCACGCCGTCACAAGGGACATCGATACGAGTGAACGGGGTGAGTTCTGGTTTTGAGGGTGATGAGGAAAGACTCCACGAGCGGATAAGCGGGTCTAGTTACGCGGATGGAGAAGACGACGGCGTCGCAGGCATCTTGCGAAATCTCTGGGACAAGAGCATGGATCTCAGCGCGAGTCAGGACTGATTTGGGTTTATTGGGGAGGCGCTTGATTCCGGGTATAACCTCGAGCCGGCTGGGAACGCGATGAGACTATTTACCTTAAATTACGAGACGATTCATCAAAAGTGGATTATAATTGGTAATGCTATTTTTCCCAATGTCTGTTGCCCGCATTACATGGGATGGGTCATTATGTTCTTCATTGACCATTTTGAGCCGCTCACTTTTCATGTCATGCACAAGGCGTGTAGTGTAGGCTTCTACATCTGAGGCATAGTTCAAAACGGGTTCGGCTCAAGGCTTATTGTTCGGTTTACCCGTCGATCATTGAATATGGACATTCTACATTGCGACTTATCTATGAATTATTCCAAGCTTAGCTGTATTAAAAATACTAAATACGCATTGCGGTTCGACTAACTAGGGGCAATTTATACTGATCGCTCTTAAGAAAGAGACTAGCTACGAATTGGGATATATCTCTTTTATAGGAGGTAGATATCCGCTATTCAATATCATCAATAAACAGGATAGCCCCAGTATGACTTTGGTCGTCTGTCTCCATCTAGAGCCGAGATATCGAGATAAGGGGCTGCAAATTCCGCAAAATGATAACCGTACCTAAGGCAAGCCTGCACTCAAACACATAATCAGCTCAGTACCACACGAATGTCCATGCAACCGTCCTCACGAATTTTCTCGCACTCATTCCTGGAGCGGTATCGAGCCAGTAGGCGGTTGCAAGCGCGTATATACATAACGAGGTCGCAGCTAGGGAGCCTACCCACATGGCGAACAGTAGCTGAGGATCCCTGTGATTAGTAGTAGAAATAAGGACGAAAATATTGCGATGATATCACCGCCTCCCAAGTCCGAAGCGTATGGCGCGGCGAGGAATAAAGTGCTGACTACCTGGGAATATGTGCACGATGATGAGGGAAGGGATTCTGGCGGCTTTGCGGAAGTCGTTGCTGGATAGGGGGTGGTGGGCTGTCATTTTGGTGTCTATACGTTAGAGGTGCGGGTGTGAGTGGATAGACTGGTACCGGGGTGATTATGTTTTTTTTTTCCACGAGTTCTTCGTGAAGATTCTGGTGGTTCCGTTATGCCGTACTTGAGAGATATATTGATCGAGTGGGAGTAGGAGTTGTTTTGATAGTATGTACTATTGTTGTATAGCAGGAAGAACTTTGGCTGATAGGGGTTGGAGATAAGATCTGTATACTTGCCGTGGCAGTTGCTTGGACAAGGACGGGTTTCGAGAGCGGTGACCTATTCTCGGATATAGGAGGTGTTCCCTCGTAAAGTTTCGACGAACTGTTGGTATTTTAGGTAATTATGTCTATGGGAGGAAACCTCAAGGCTGGATACGTAGGTATACTTCAGGTTTATAATGTTTGTACTTGGCTTGAGTCTTTTAGTACCGTCAAGATTGTTAGTTCAAACTCGTTAGACTATTAACACTGAATGGGCTGTTAGGAGTGGTGGCACTGGTGATTAGAGGAATATGCAAGGATGCGAATAAAATATTAAAAATTTTCTTAAAGTACAAGGAACTATGAATTTAGCTAAGACTAACTAAACTAATGATATTGTTAGGAGTTTTCTATCCAAAATATCCCAATGGTCTCTAAGCACCTGGCGGTAACGCTCAGTATGGCTACCTTGAAGATATTATCCTAAAGATGAACAGATTTAATATGAGGTAGTTGTATATAATTTTGTTTATAGTATGATTTGATGCAGATATAGGGGTTGAAGCTTTCGTTTGAAACTTTACATAGTTACTTGATATTTATAGGGGTTTTCATACGAATGGAAAATACAACTACTTGATATCTTTCTGGATGGGAGGACGTTGACGTACTCTCAAATTACACTATCATAATAAGCGGTCCTCTCAAGTAAGTTTGAAGGGCTGTTAATTTGACTATATGCTCGTTTCGGAGAGATGAGCTGGTTATGTTAAGCGGCTGGGTTTAATATGACTCTATTAACTAACTATTATTGTAATGATATAGTTGTAGAGAAAGGGTTGTAGTCAGTAAGTATTTAGTAACACTTAAACTTCCTCTTAAGCGGCATCATACGGTGCTGTTAGTATTGATTCTTCTTTCTTGTAAATATACTTTACTTTGGCTATGTTAACTTTAACCCCTTTTCACATGGTGTAGGATGATAAATTTCCATTATCAACCGGTATCTTAGAAATGGTTCTAGATGAAATTGGACTCAGCTATGAAAGGCAATATATCATGATTTAGGTACTTAAGACACTATTTTCCTGAAGACCTAGCATTTATACATATATTGACTAGGACTATTCACCTTCCGGGCGTATGAAATTCGCGGAGGATAGACAATGTGTTGAGAGAGAGTTTCTGTAAAGTATCCGGCTTGCTTGACCGATCAAAGACTTATCGTAAGCGACTTCAGTTAATCAGACTCGCAAGTTCTCATGTTGCAACTTTCTACGCTCTAAGGGAGAGGTCGGGAATAAACAGAGAGATAGGATAATGGGAATATTTCTCTCAAGCAGGGCTATCCCCTTCACTACCACTCGCTTATTTCATCTCTGCTAATGGCATCTATTATATAATAACATGAGATATATAATAACATGAGATAATGGTATGCCTTGAGACCGATACATACCAATATACATAGTCGTTGAGTAGGTAGTTGATACGAAACCTGGTAAAGATCACAACCAATGACGACAATTGAGACAAGCCATTAGGTCATTCCATCGTTCATTGAATAATTTTCGCTTCTTTAACTGGCTGGAAAAGATTCCGTGTGGTTCGTCTCTCGTTTGATTTCCACAAGCGCGCATGGGGCTAGAAGTCGACATCTCATATCAGTATCTGGTTGCTGAGGAGGCCAAGAAACCCAAGAGATGGCTCGACCGTCTCTGAGTATAGATTTCGGCAGCGGTGGCGCGCGTGGTAAAGTGATCGCGTCTGATGATTTGGAGACGGGGGCTTAGTAGATCCTTATAGGCTGACGGTAACCAACGTTGCCAACGTTAATATGCACCCCACGAACATACCCCTAAGATGATCAGTCATTCTAGGGACTTTACCGATCCAGAAGGTCGCTGTTGCCAATGCGGAAATGACGGACCGGCAGATGTTCCCATGGATTGCTGTTATTGGAAGCATTTGACTAGCATTGGGTTATGACTCGTAGTAGTAGTAGTAGTTGCAGTAGTTATGACATTATTGCACATGTGAGCCTCTTTATTAATTCGTCTTAAATCGACGTGCCATCATGCCATCATATCAGCATGCCAAAAAAAATAATCAGGCTCGAGGCGTTTCGGATTCCCCACCGGCGTCAGTACCTGAGTGCCAAGAGGCTCTGCGGGCATGGGTCGAGGATAAAATCTCTTTACATACATACCTTAGGTACCTAGGTAGGTATTCACCACGACGTACGTCGTACATAGGTATGTAGTAACAGCGCATCACGAGACAGCACAGAGCCGTCCGGTACCTCGGCGGCGATGCAAGGCCTATGGAGTAAACGACTCTTTTAGGTATTAACGTTACATGTGGAGTCAACCTTGTCTCGCCCTTTTTGTTATATGTATGATAGGTATGCTACTAGTATATGTATTTGTATATGGCCACTGCTCATTGTTCATTAATCAGATATGTAGGTAGGTACCTACCTAGGTTATGAGCCCCGCGGCAGAGGATAGGTTAAAACAAATCTGCGCCGGCCTTCGCAAGCCACAAGCGGGATCGCATGCTGGTCAGACCGGGTTGGAACAGGGTTAGAACTAGGTTGACACGCGGGGAGAAAGATCATAGGCCGGAGATAAATAAAGATGGTGGTTGATAGTGGATCGTGGGGGATAAGTCCAGGGCTGTGAAGGTAGATCAGTTTGTTTAAAGGATGCTAGGGATGTTAGGTACCTACTTATTCTCCCTCGCTTTTACTCTTTTACCGACGATGCGGTGATGTCCCAAGAAAACGCCATGCCTTATTAGGCCCGAGACGGTGACATAATTTATTCATGCCTGTAAGACGCTAGCATTAGGTTCATTGGCTCTTCCGACAATGCAACCGAATCCTCCGGAAGCCAATGCTTGCTGACTTGCAGCCGATGGAAGCTCGTGATGAGTGAGAAAAATAAGAAGGAGACAAGATACGCATGTAAGTCTTGGCTGCGTATAGGTGTTAAGATATTTCTTTTTACTCGATGCCGCTTCTATAGTATATTAGGTAATTTACTAAATTTATAAAGTCAGGAGAAATGGAAATGTTGAGGTTATTTGCCTGCATTGTTTGTAGAAAACCATGTAACTATTTGCTATTTGTTTCTCTGTGATAATTTTTATTATTCAATAACAGGCTTTTACCCCGCCATCAGATCTCTTATACATAGAACCACTTAATATAAGCGTAAGAGATAAGCGATATACTTTTTATTTCTTAATATCTTATAACTCTATAATGTCGGCGACAATTTGTAATAAAAGATAAATACGCGGATGCAGTCTCCGACCGGGTCCGAGCTTTGAGCTGTGGCATGTAGATTGCGTAGGTACCTAGGTACCTTATATACATTATATACATGGCACTCTAATCCGTAAAACGTTATCCTTTAACAATTGACAATTCCCATATTCCCATATTGTCCCACTTGTCTGTTGTTCTTCTCACCCAAGGAACCCTGCAACGACTTGGGTTCAGTCGAACGATTACGTTACATATATTCGGGCAGCTAGCTCGTATTCCACCAAAGACATCTTTTCTATTTGGTAATGGTAGTGAACCCGAGCAGGCTTTGGCCTGTCTCTGAGCTTCCCCTAATTTCTAATTTACCTTTCTTTTTTAAACCCTAAAGCATACCTACCTTAGGTAGGTAGATTAGATCAGTGTGCATAAGTACCTAGGTATCCTATACAGAGAAGGTACGCTGGGCTCCGATCCCATGTGTCCCATGTCAATCGCAGCTTCTTACTTGCCAGCTTGCTTAGTACCTACCTACATTGCTACAGCTGCTCAGTTGAGGCTGTCCCTCCTGCATCCAAGTGCCTTCCAAGTACCGTTTACCTTGCACAAGCTAGCACGGGTAGGGTGCATGGCTCTGCATGGCTCTGATCTAACATCATAGAAGCTTTTCCTAAAACTCTCATCATTACAATTTATTTTCTGTCATTCGATCAAAGATAAGATTATCTCTAGGTTATCAATTACTCCATCATAATTCGCCCGTTTGTTTTTGTTCTCAAGCTTAATGACAAGTCATTTGCTTTTCCTGAACCATAATCCAAACCATAAGTCCATAAGCCCACAAGTCCACAAGTCTAATAAATGGAATAGCATCACTGCGGACTACGGATAATCCTGTACAACATCCACCGAGTGTACCATTTGTGTACCATTTATGTACGATTGGGCGTACCAAGTTGGGCGGTAAGCGTCAAAAAAGGCACGCGACTTTGATCGATCGGTCTTCTGTTGTTCTTCGGAATGTGGATTAAGATCAAGAAAGAAGAAATATCCAGTTCCCAATGACAAGGCTAGTTGCAACTTGCAAGGCCTTCTGCTTTAACTAACGTTGTCTGACCCGCCTTCAAAGTCCACCTACCTAGTCTGAACTTCGCTGCATCTTACCCGGCCGGCATTTACATGGTCCACGGTCTACGGCCCATGGCCCATAGCCCATAGTCCATGGTGTCTGTCTCTTATTACTTCATACGACCTCTTGTAGATAACCTTCCTCCTCAATATCAACTCCCTCACCTTAAAGGCACCTTAAAGGGCTCTTCAATGACGAAAGTAGGCCAAGCTTATTTGATACTTGCGTCCATCATCACCTAGTATCACACAGCGTCGGCAACCCGGAGCAATTGTATCGTCATATCGTTAATCTGGCCTATCGCGCGGCGGCCTTCCCAGATTCTAGGCCCCTATCCCTTAACCCTTAATCGGAAGAATCACGAATTGCATGCGCCATTTGGGTCTGCATGCGACCTGTATCTAGCGGTTATTTACTAGAAACCGATAGGTCCCAGCCTTAAGGTATCTCTGATTTCCCCGGTCTTTCATTTCGATAAATCAGATCCCACCAGACCGGACCGGACTGCTGACTGCTGACTGCTGAAGCACGCGGGAACTCGCGTGGGCTTGCTTAATCTGCATCGCCTTGACGCCTTGACGCCTTGACGCCTTGACGCCTTGACGCCTTGACGCCTTGACGCCTCCCGTGCCACTAACAACAACCTTATCTCCCCAACACCCTCCCTTATCCCTTATCACACATACCTTAAGAGGCTTTCCTGGAGGCAGTGGAGAGCTGTCTGCAGAGATCAGCGTTACTTGCTACGATTAGAGGTCGTACTGTGGCAGAAGACCCTGTCTCTTTTAGAAGCTACCACGGACTGCCTAGGTACTCGGCTACCCTAGCATCCCCTTCCCCTCGCTCACTCACCGTCATTGGGCATCTAGGCGGGCCCCGATAGTGATACAGCGAGGCCGACCTCAAAGGAGCAGATAGCGGCGTTGTGTGTAACCCGCCAGCCCGCCCAATATTTTCAGTCATGTCCAACCCTGGCACTGTTCCTAGGACGGCTCCCATTGCCATCGCGCCTAAACCCTCTCAGCTCTTTTCTAGTCGCCATCCTATCAACGACGCATCTCTGAATAGCATGAACAGTAATGATTCAACCGATTCAGATTCAGCTGTAAGTGCAAACTCAACGCCTTGTGAATATTGTCTAAGAAGGCGACTCAAGTGCGTTGTTGGAGATGACGACGACAGCTGCGTATCTTGCCAAGCCCGTGGGATCCCATGCTCTTTAAATCACAGCCCTCAGCCTCGTAAAAGAAAGCTAGCGCGTGACTCGACCGAAGAGAGAAACGGGAAGAGAGGGTGAGTACTCACCGATATTTTCATTAGTTGAACCCCCAACCTTACGTTATTACCTTGCAGCGTGGTCAACCGACGCAAAGGAGAGAGAGAGAAAATCGCTGACATACTATTGGTTAATGTAGCTCACCTGGCAGGTCTGATAACAGAAGACTGCGGCAACGTCAAGCTAGCCTGTCAAGTACAACTGCAAGCACTTCTTTAATCGAAGAGATGGCTAATTTTGGCGCTTCAACTTTACTTAAGCGCACGCTTGGTCTCCAGGAAGACCGGTATAGCCAGTACATTGGTCCGACCACTGACTTTGAGCCGTCCTTGATCAACCTCTCCCCATTCGACCCTCAAGATGAGAGCCTTCTCGCTCGGGGGACTCTTAGGAAAGTTAGCGACAATGACATCTTTTTGATGTTGCCTGATACTGCGACCCCTGGTCACGAGCGTCAATACGACGATATCGACGAACTCGAGCGACTTGTGACTCCCCACGGCCGCAAGTTGATTGATCTTTATTTCGAAGTTGTACATCCCGCATTTCCGATCATCCAGAAGAACGTCTTCTACGAGAAATACGATCGAAACTACCGGGATTTCTCGCCGCCGCTGCTCGCTGCTGTTTACATCCTCGCTATTAATTGGTGGGATTACTCGGAGGAGCTATCCAAATCCCAGAGACCAAACGTGCGAGGAATTGAGAGGGTGATACGATCTTCTCTGGCTGATGCTATGTGGCGCCCGAAGCTCTCTACCGTGCAAGCCGGACTATTACTCTCGCAACGACCCGAGGGTGACCAGTGGGCCCCGACCGCTCAGATCGTGGCGATTGCTCAAGAACTCGGCCTCCACCTAGATTGTACGCACTGGAAGATACCGCCTTGGGAGAAGGGACTTAGGAAAAGACTTGCTTGGGCTTTGTATATGCAAGATAAATGGGGAGCTCTTGTTCATGGACGGCCGTCACATATCTTCAGTTCTAACTGGGTTGTGCAGCCTCTAGCATCAAATGATTTCTCAGAGACAGAATTAGACGAACAGAATCAAGAGGAAAAGATGGATATAGAACGAGGTCGAACGTTGTTTGTTCAAATGATCTATCTTACACAGGTGCTAGCCGAGATCCTCGAGACGTTCTACACGCTCGAGGCTATGCAGAACGTTACGGATGCGGGACCGCAAGGTACTCACCTTGTTCTGGGCCTGGCGAAACCCATACAGCTTAAGCTCAAAGAGTGGTATGCTGCGCTCCCAGGTGTGATCCGTATGGATTCTTCTTTCCAGTCTGGTACCGTTGCCCCCGCCGTTGCATCCACGCGACTGTCGAGCATCGGATATCTGCACCTGGCTTACTTCGCAACGGAAATCACCCTCCATCGCCGGATTATCCGGTCTTTAGAGACAGATTCGCGGGCGGTTGACCCTTACGTCCAGCACATTTGCCGTAGCGCTGCGAAAGCCCGTCTGATATCCGCCATGGACTTTGTTAATCGGCTGACGCCTCAACATCTCAGATCCTTCTGGTACTTCGCCTCAAAGACCAATTTTGCTTTAATTGGCACCTTTGGGTCACTTCTCTGGGCTACCTCTCCAGGACGCGAAGAGGCAGACTGGTACCGACGCAGACTTGGAGAGTATCGCTGGACGCTGAGCGTTAGTAGTAAGCCCGGCGAATCAAAGGGTCTCACTGAATTTGCGATGGGCATGCTTGATATATCGACCGGACTGTTGAAACAACTCCCCGAGAAGCCGGAACTGAGCCGTAGCGGAAGCGCTATCGAATTCGAAGCTGGCAGGCGTCAGAGCATATTCTCCATGGGTATGGGCATCACTCTGGGAGAGCACTATAGCAGCATGGCCGGCGCCGACATCAGCAGCATCCAGAGTCCCGAAAGTCAAATGGATAGTAGCGACGAGGATTATGATACGTTTGCCCCAATGGCTGGGCTGGCAGGTATGGGTGACTGAGGAAGCCACGCAATCATTTATTATCCTCTTTTTCTATTTTCTAGCTTTTTAAATATCATGGTAGAACGGGGGTCTGCGAATGAAGTATGGATAGAAAGGACTGGGATGAGGCAAGGTCACGCCATAGGCACGAAATCTGACGACTAACCGGGTTCGTGGATACTCCATTATATATCCCTTGGGTACGGACAATATCTTGGAGAGGGGTTTTTATCATACTATTTCCTTATTTCATTTGATCCTGTTTCATATCTTGTCGTCTCTGATACCCTATCTAGAGATCATCTGCTTTGCATTTGTTAGGGGCCGTTCGATATTGTCGTTACTGGATACCCTGCATCGCGAATCGGGTTCGCCGGCTGGGTCGGGGTGCTGTCCTCGACGGAAAAGCAAAATGCATTTGCGAGGTTGGATGGATGGATGGATGAATGAATGAATGAATGAATGGATCACGGACGGATGGTTTTGGGAAGACTGTTATGTAGCAGTGAGCAATCAATTGGACTTGTTGACTTCATATCCGTACTGGCCGAGATACTGTGTGATCCCTGTGGTAAGCTTACTCGACTTTCGCTTTTCTTGAGATTTGCTGACGACAGATTAGATATATGCATTTTCGGTCACATAGAGAGATCTTTTGGTAAAGATGTGATCGTGCGGCATATATCTCCTAGTGACAGACAAGTGTTGCATTATTAAAATGTTATTCGAAGTTTTCTAGGTTAACCTCTCACCACTACAGCCCCTTTCGAGGATTTTTATATGCTGACATTATAGTTTATTTAAGTCGCAAACAGTATATATCAAGCTTATTGTAAATGTGTTTTTAACATCGAAATATGTACTTGGCGCAGTTTTAATCAAAAACATCTGCTGCTAAACTATATACAAGAAGGGGTTGGGTTCTAACAATTACACTATCCGAATTCCCGGTTATTGTCTTACATGATCTAATATAAATCGCTGATATGCGCCTCTAGGTTCGAACTGAAGAAAACAAGGAGAAGAGGAAGGAGAAGGTGATGGATTTCAATCAGGCGGCTCTACGGACCAGAGCTGATGACCAACGGCACACCCGGCAGCGTGCCGCGATCGAAGCTGCACACGTTGGCGCAATGGGAGTACCGCGAGGGCTCGGCAGTATTATTATATATGATTTCGATCCACTGGATTTGCAACTGAGCGCTCTGCCCAGAAGCCATGGAGCCGCTCCAGCCGCTGCCGTCAGACCAGGCGTTGAAGAGGATGGTGGCGGGGTCGACGGGCGCTTGGAACTGGTTGGTGTTGACGAGCTTGCCGTCGACGTACCAGGTGCTGGTGCCGGGGGTCCAGTCGTAGCGGTGCGTGCGCCACGAGGTCCACGCGCCGGGGATCGTGACCTGGTGCGTGGCGTTGGGCCGCATGACGCCGTCGACCGTGGACGGCTGGTTCGTGTAGTGCACCTGGTTGGTCGCGTCCGAGGTCAGCATCTCGATGTCGGCTTCCTGCACGTTGGCCTCGTTGGCCGAGTCCCGGTACGTGAACATGGCTGTGACGCCGCCGGCGGCGCCGCGCGTCCGCGAGTACATGCGCATCGACAGGTACTTGTAGTTGGGCGAGATGGACTGGATCTCGGCCGAGGACTGGAAGTTGCCGGCCGGGTGGCGGTACGTGCGCAGGGTGAGGTAGGTGCGGGAGGCTGGGTTGGCGTCTGTGTTGCTCTCGATGTAGACGTCGTTCTTGGAGTAGGTGTTATAGATGGTGCCCGAGTCGATCCAGTTCTGTATCGACCACGTGTTGGTGAAGTTGGTGCTGTTGAAGTAGGCGTTGGTGACCGGGGCGTTGGTAGAGCCGTCCCGGTTGTTGATGGGCGGCGGGACTCGCGGGTTCGCTATGTTGCGGAAGTCGAAGAACTTTTGGTTGGCGAAGTACTTGGGGGACGAGCCGTTGGTGAGGTAGCAGTGGCAGTTGGGGGCTGCGGCGGCGGCGGCTGCTGCTTGAGGGGTTAGGGACGATAATATCGTTAGGACGGCTGCCCAGAGGGAAGTCTGAGAGGCAATCATGGTTGTTTGGGATCTTGCGTGCTGCCTCGAGGAGAAATATGTATGGAATTACTAATTAAGGGGCAACAGAATGCCTAACCTAGGGTTGTTGAGAGGAATGTTCGAAATTATCGATATATACTCAGAGCAACCATTTTGAGACTCTTATATATATACCTTAACTTGCTCCCTAGTCTACGACGGCCATCCCGTTGTAGTAGGTTGGCCATATTAGTGACGTCTATTCGACCTATGACACCGCCCTGAGAACTAGATCGAGACATTTCGAAGCGGGCGATATTCTAGGGCGATCTGACCTACCTAACTACGATACTAGAAGCTACATTCTACGACTATAGAGCCTTCTTCTGGCCCTAGTTTATGATATATGCGCTTTTCGTGCGGCGATTGGCGATGCGAGTCAGTCGTTATGGCCACCGGGCAAGAATATCATGGCTAATACCGGCGCGCTAGGGATAGCTCATAAAACAGCCGTAGCGGCGATTTTAGATTCTTCACATCTGCGAGGTAGGAGGTTCGGTCTCTTATTATCTCAGGATGTCCCTGTTTGGCCATCCCTTTGTGGGCTGTTTTTTACGGCATGGAGGGATTGTTGGTGTTAGGAGAAACAACATTCAATGACGAACGACATACAGGGATAGCCGCGTGTACTATATCGATTTCTCATACTAAACGCTACATGAAGATTTACTTACTCACGCGTGAAGCTTGAATCCTTCGTCGGCTCTTCCCTTCAGAAGCATCCTTCCCTACCCGTCTCTCATAGCTGAAATAGGCTGCTGTGTCTCACATCCCAAACACCTAGTTGCGATACCCGCCGAAGCCGTTTGCGTAGGGATGGACAACATTGCATGAAGCAAAATGATGCCGGTTACGGAATATTACGGCCAGCCGTACCGGGCCAGCCTCAGGGCCTTTTTACTATGTAGCAATTTAGCCCTACGGCCAGAACAATATCACCCAACTATGCATCTACACATGATCGAAATTTCTCTAGCACCGCTCTACTAGAAAGAGTTACTCTCGAGTCTTGACTACAAGCTTTGCCTAGGCGGTAGGCGGATCATGCTTGGCGACTGCATAATTCTTCCGCTATTGTGATCTCGCGACTCGTCATACGTCAGGGACTTCTCGACAACAGCACTAAAAGCACGACGAAGAGTCCAAATTGGTACTAAGAAGATTCCAAGCGCTGGAATATTTTCCAATTACATAAGAAAGTCCTCCGCTAAACCTTGAAGTGAAAAGAAGGACGCCGAATTGCGAGTCTAACGCGGCTCTAGTTGAAGAAAGATAGTTGGGTTATTTTAGACTGCGGGCTCTAAAATAATTGCCCGGCTGGTTGAGTGGGTGAGTTTTTTGGTAGGAATTGCCATTTAGGACAGCTGCAAGTGGCGAAGTTATTAACTTCGGGTGTCTGTATACGGTAAGAAGATCGAGAATTATATCCAATGATCCTGAGGTAGATATTCGAGTATAACGGCACATATATTCAGGGGGGACTTTACTCATAGGCTGACTGCAAATACCTAAAATTGGGACGTTAAGAGAAATAGATTAGAGGATGTCTTCTTGCAATTTTATGGAAGCAACCTTTAGACATTCCTCTATTAACTATTGCATTACCCTTGCTTGCGATCGCTACCCCTTTCTGTCGCCAGTATTTCATCGCCTGCTTACCTGTCTTATACCCCCCCGAATTCTGCCTTATGGATAGTAAATAGTCGGTAATGCCGGTGAAAGGATGCTCTAGGCGAGTTGATGGCACCCGCAGATATCACCTTCTCCTTGCTGAATAACTACCTAATTAGGCTCTTCACAGAGCGACACATTGCATCTCGTCCCGCCTAGCCTAGCAGCTTACTCTTATCACCGTCGTCCAGCCGCCTGCTGGAGAAGCATTTTCTGTCTTTGGGCCTCGGCGGCCAACATGTTTTGGTTCCGTTGCTGCTCGAGCTTCTGCCGACCAATTTTTTGCTGGAAACTGAGCTCTAGCTGCTGCTTGCGCTGCTGCTCGGATTGGCTGATGAACATAGAACGAGCTTTAGACTGCTCGGTCATGACATTCTTCTCCGCTTGCTGATCTACCTGCCTTCGATGCAGCAGTGCGATGTTGTCCCGTTTCAGAGCGGCCTCTTCACTCTCCCATCGTAGCTTATCCTGATGCTCCTGCTCGCGCTTTCGTCTCTTCTCCGCTTCCGCCCGTATCCTTCTATCCTCTTTTTCAATGTCGTCCGGAAGCCCAATGGCGCCTTGTGGCTGTTCCGCCCCTAATTCTGCATAGTACCGGTCTACGCAATGTTTCGTTCTCAAAAGCCCCTCTAGCTGCTGATAGCCGCTGGTGTGTGACTGGTAAAACTTCATGTACATGGTGGGCGAGAAGAAAAGACGCGTCCCGTTTTGGTCCCAGTCTATGAAAACGTTGTCCTCGTGGTTAATGATAGGCCACATGACAACGTCAAGAAGGGCAAGGGTGACGGCGTATGAATTTTCGAGTGCGAGGAATAGCGGATTTTTGCCTTGCCATTTGTCATAGGGGTTGAGCTTTCCTGCCTTCAACGCTAGAAGTGTTGGTTCTATCTCGGAGGCGCTTCTCATCCCATCACATTTGTACGCTAACTCCTGAATCGGGGTTCGACCGTCGTGCTCAGGCCTGCTGCTGGGAAAGTTGGTACTATACCCTGCCTTTATGAGCGCAGCTACAACATCATCATGGAGCTCTCTAGCCGCTTCGTGGAGACTGCCGTCAGTATGTCTGAATTTTGCCTTCAGCAAGGGCTTGACGGTCTCCAAACTGCCAGCTTGGGCGGCGCAGTATAAGGCTGTCCTGTCCCAATGGTCACGAGCAAGAGTATTGGCGCCCGCTTTGATGAGCTTTTCCACCACATCTCGGCGGCCGTTTATTGCGGCCAGGATCAAAGGTGTTGCCCTGGAAAGAGGTGCTGCAGCTTGCACGTTTGCTATCATCAAATGAGTCATTTGGTCGCAGGGTAGGGACTGGGGATTGTTCTCACCTTTCGCGTCAATCAGTGCCTCGATGGCAAGAGATGATACCGGACTGTCAGCTTTCAAAGACCACATGAGCACGCCGACTGGTTCGGCATGCTTGAATAAGACGGTGTCGCATTTAGCCTCCAGGTCACATCCTAGCTGCGCTAGATGCTTCACGAGCTTCACCGATTCCGGATGTGCAATCAGGCATTCGATGATAGGCGGGGATCGACCAGGTAAAACAGCAGAAAAGTCGGGACGACATTCTGCATTCTGACCGAGAATGAGTGTATTGATCAGACTCAGTACTGTATCCTCGTCTACCTCGACCGCAACCGCTTCAGCAAAAGCATATGTTAGGGTCTCTCGAGTCGCACCGCTGGTAGCGAGCTTCTTCAACAAGCTCACGTTTCCAGCTTTAGCTGCAATCTTGAGTGCTTCCGCCTTGCTGTAATTTACGTCGGCCTTCCCAGATCCTAGTATCATGTCGATGAGGACCTCCGAAGAGCGTCCTGAGACGTAAGCCTGGATCGCTCGGATAAGAGCAAGCATTACTGTCTCGCTACTTGGACCCCATTCTAGTAGGAGCTCAACGAGCCAGATGTTGCGGTCGTCGGGAGCATGCCAGTCATCCGAATGCTCTATTAGACCCTTCAAAGCCTGGTCAACGGCAGCTGGACTGACTGACGTCGACAACAGTTCAATAGCGTCGCTCTCAAACAGCCTCACGGCCTGACAGAACGCCTCGTCAACCAATGGACCGGACGCCCCGTGTTCGAGGAAGAATTGGACAATCTCCAGACCCTCTGCTTTGAAGAGATGATCCCCTCCCGAGATAGCTTCAGCTAATCCGGCGTTAATGGAAGGGATTGACACTCCCGATTGAACTAAAAGCCCTAGAATGTCAAGGTGTTGGAATCTCGCAGCTAATGCAAGTGCTGTAGCCTTCAGATCATCGATAGCCGAGGTATCTTCCCTGGCGCCGGCAAGTATCGACTCGATTATTCGCATTCTCAATGCAGGATCGCCTACTCTCATCGTAGGCTCTAAAGCACTCCTGAGCGATTTTACATGCGGGCGATAGGAGATGAGTAATTGGAGGATTCTCGCCCATCCTTCTGCCGCCGCAAGCGCGAGGGGACGGCCGTCACAGGAGTTGACATCCGCACCCCCTTTTGTTAGAAGGAGGTCGACTAGTTCATATCGAGACTTCTCGTCGCCAACCATCGACACACGATCGAGGCTCCGAACCAGCATATCATTCAAATGGTCGCCGCGTAGACCTGCTAGTATCAGGGGTTCAACCGTTCGGCGTGCGACTTGAATGTCGCCAATTTTTCCGACCTCGTGGAATGCTGTTGATATCGACGATTGGGAAGGATTACCGCAGAAAAGAATGCGTAACAGTTCCGGTTTCCCGTTGCCAAGCGCAAATCTCAGAGCTTCAGCATCGTTGTACTCCACCGAGGCGCCATATCTCACAAGAGTCTCGGCCAATTCGTGTTGCTCCCTCCGTATCGTATGGACGAGCGTGAGAGCCGTTCCTGGTCCTTGTGCACCCGCCTTAAGACATTCTTCAAGGACCCTAGGTCGCCCGTAATTATATGACTGTAGTACGGCCTTGTCGAGCAATTCGGGATGCGGCGATTTTGCTTGATGAGATATTATGATCATGGCGATGGCCTCCCAACCATCCTCGATGGCTGCCGTCAGGGCCGCCCCGTTTCCGAAGTTCACGTCGGCGCCATTATCCAGCAGAATCTGAACCATAGATCCGGAACCAAGCTTTGCAGCCCGAACAAGTCCATCATCACGACATTTCTGGCATGCACCCTTGAATCCGGAAACCAACGGCTTTACCACCCCGTTAACACCAGAGTCAACCGAGCGGAGGAATTGTTCACACAGGGGCCCTGCGTCGGCGCCCTTTATGCGAAGCATCGTGACTTTCTCCTCATCGTTCTGGTTCATAGCGATGGGCAATGCTCGATCTAAGGCTAGCTCATCGGCTTCCATTATGAGGGGACGCAAAATGCCTGAGGAGCAGTTCAGAGTTGCCCTCTCCAGCAAATTGCTACGGATATATTCTTGGTTCCTCCCCAGCATCTTTTTGAGGAGGTTTGAGCTCTTTCGTCGCTCGAAGCAGACACTGGCATCGTTGTCAAGCAGCGCCTGGACCAATCCGGGGGTAGCGTTCGGCACAGTTCCGTCAGCAACCCTAGAGAGTGCTGCAGTGGCTTCTTTATACCCGAAAACACCAGATTTTCGAGCCGAACCGGGGTCAGAGCAGTGTTCAAGCATGAGTCTATCGGCCCACTCGTAATCTTGCTCTGAAGGTTCCCACGCGAACTCGTTTGTATTCTGGCTAGGTCGGGCGAGTGGTTCTGAAGAGAAATAAGACGCTGCGGTCGAAATAGTAGACATGGTGGTATTTGAGTAGTGTGAAAACAAAGTCGACGACGAGCTCGGTGGCGGAGAGCCGCAAGCAGACCCTAATTCGGGGCTCAAAAGTGTTGCCATGGTTGCGTGATCTTTTACACCAAGTATCTTGGATTTCATCAAAAGTCAAGTAATGATCAAGAAGTTCAGGTATGCTGGGAAAATTCCTCTTAGTGGTGTTAGGGGACAAGGCATTACTAGATACCTAACCTAGGTAGGTTGGTCAGGTGTTTTGCTCTCCTACCATTCCAGCATCTAAGGGCTGACCTACCGAGGTTTGGCCCCCTACATTAAAATAAAAGGAGGCAAACCACGAGCTGAAGCAAGACTGTCCATTTTGAGACGAGGCTCTGCCCCTGGTCAAGAGGTCAGTGGAACAGAAGCATGCATATAGGAAGTTCAGAAATAGAAGGCTGCACTAACCGGGGTATGCAGTTGATACCAGTTAGTCCGTTTCTAAGCCTCTCAGCATGACGCAAATTCCACCAATTGATAGGTGCATTATTGAATACTTGAGCGTCATGTACCTTAGCTCGGCCCCGAACGGGGGTCAATGGGGGTCAATGGGGGTCATTACAACATACCTATTTGCAGGCTACGACTGTCAGAATACAACAGCCTTGTATACTCTGAGACGTGGAGGTTCGAATCCTAAATTTAGACAATTATCTGCTTGCAGACCATTTTCCGAAGTCATCCGGTAGAATTATACTCCAAGCATCATCTACCTCTAAGATGTAAGGTAGGTAGGAGTACGTAGTTCCCGGTCCCGGCGAGCTTGGTATTATACATGACAACACCAAGGCCAAACCATTTATCTATCAACTTATCAAATATATGTCTACCGAGGCAACCTTCAACTTCATGAAACCTCCCTTGCTCATATACCTCTCAAGCAGCGACCAATCAATATGACAGAGTCACCGACTCCTACCAGTGCGCCAGGAGCCGCTCTTCCAGGTTCAGCCGAATGGTTGTCGACCCATTTGACTGGCCTCGGCTTTGGATGCAAACACTTACAGAAGTATTCCATCCGTAACGAGCAGAGCGGGCTAGTTTTTCCTAGTCGTCTTGGGTTCTTCTATGCTGCCACCGAAAGCAATATAAGAATCAGCTTCCTTGACACGAAAAAGCTTTGCATCAACTGCCTGGCCTCAGTTGTGCCAGACGGGTACAATTGCTGGTTGACCTGTATGTGCCCACCAACGGGACCACAGCTTGGCAGCTCTCCCCTACTACGACTCAACGCTTCCCCATCTTCAGACAACTTCCCGTTATTCTTTCAAGCGGGGACTGAGGGGCTATTCGATCTTCACGGCGTGCCTCGAGCCGCAGTAAAGTTAGGTCTTCAGGCCACTGCCCCTGTCATAGTTCCCATACCTCAGATTCCCGGACTCAAGGATGCTTGGGACTGGATTCAATGCCAGCGGAAACCATTCTATATCGATCAATTGCATCTCACCAAAGGATGGAGCAGCCTTGCACAAAGGGCAGCAGAGCGCGATTGCATCATTGCACAGAAGCATGGGATCGCATATACCCCAGTCGTCCATATAACTTGCCCTAAACCCGCCACTGATACGTCCCATCCGTCGGATGAAAGCATTCCTCCCGCCGATAAGTCAACGGGGGGTGCTTCCACCAACAAGCGCAAAGTGACGATGAAACCACCGCATCGAAAAGAGCCCATGAAAGCGCCAGATCCAGATACTAGTCTTCTCGAAACCTCCACCAGTATATTGATCAAGAAGCCTCCTAAGGTAGAGAATCCTCTGTCGAAATCTCTTTTGAAGTCCCAGACAACTTCAGACCAAACCAAGGTCATCAATGTACCCACAGCTTCGTTTGGCGATGTCACGACGGGATTAGTGGCGAATGCGGCGATAGAAGCTGGTCCCAAAAAGCCGAAAAGTGACGCCAATAGGGTTCATGTACTGGAACCCAGGGGAACAATCGATCAAGACTTCCCAAGTCATGAGGTCCGGTCACAGTCTTCGAAATCTACCACTAAAGTCGAGAAGAACGGACTTTCGACCATGGATAAAAACACCGAACGGGCTATACCGAACTCGCTATCAATGAAGAATTGGTGCCGGCATGGTCCTATTCCTTTTGACAGCCCTATTTCCACACCGAAGTTATCAGACTTCATGCGCCGAGCGGAGGCTGCCGACGAAGAGACAAGGTCGGTAGCCCATCTTCCACTAAGACACATGCGTGGAAAATCTACCAAGGTCGATGACAGCACCCCACTAGCAGGTCCAGGGTCGACTGCCACAACAGTCGGCTCGGCGATATTCTTGGCTCTGCGCGGTGAAAAGGGGGGTGCAACGCCGGTAGCGAGCTCAAAGTTCATTAAGTCCACCATCCAGGCCTCATCGGCGGAGACTGTGCGACAGCATCAGCAACAGAGAAGTGAGATGCACAATAGCGACAGGGAGATTCCGAAGTCAGTCAAAGAAAAGTACACGCAAGACACATTCAAAAAAGAGAAGTCTGTAGCCACCAAGGTCAAATCCATCGACCCCTACCCTCCCGAGGTGTCCAAGAGTCCCAAGAAAAAGAGTGAGAAGGTTCAAAACCAGAGAAGGCCAAAGCATCGTGGAAGATCTCACCATAAAAAGAAAGAACACCAAGATAAGAGTGAAGATTCGGATGGGCCTGGGACATTTGACTTGTTGGGAACCGCCATAAAAGTCGAAGCTAAAGAAGCAAAAGACCGCATAAAAGAGAAGCTTGATAACCACAACCGCAAGAAAAAGAAGAATCCTACGGAAGACAACCATTCAAGTGAGATAAATGGCCAAAACCTAGACCAGAATCAAAGCGACCAGGCCCCAGAAAACCAGAATCCAGATGGCCAAACCCCGGAGGATGAGGACTCAGTTGACCAAAAACCAATCAACCAAACTCCAAGCAACCAAACTTCAGGGGATCAGAACTCGGACTGCCAAAATCCTGGTATCCAGAGTCCTGACAATCAGAGTTCTGACACGCAGAATCCAGGTAACCAAACCCCAGGGGACCAAACTCCGGGGGATCAGAATCCAGACCCTCAAAACCCAGGGGATCATATACCAAACGACATGAACCCAGGTAACCATCCCCTCTGGGATCATAATCCGAACGACAAGAATCCAAACGACCAGAAGCCAGGCAACCAGGAGGCAGAGAATCCAAGCCCAGATGACCAACATCCACACGGCCAGAATCTAGGCAGCCAAACTCTAGAGGATCGAAACTCGGACGACAAGAATTTAGACTCTCAAACTTTAAAGGAATCTCTCAAGGAGGGCGATTCTAAGGAAGCGGACGTCAATGAAAAGGGGTTACAATTGGATAACCAACAACACGCTAGGGACGAACAAAAGCCAGGGAATGGCGGAACCGATTTTGATCAAGATAATTTTGGAAACCAAGGACGAACCCCTGACCCCACGCCCACGCGGAGACAGGAAGCTGAAGCTCCTTCACCGCTCCAACCTCCGAATCATGAGTTGCGATCCCCAGGCAAAACTTCCATACCCGATACTCCTTCTAGCAGTGCCAGCACTGAAAACATGGCACTGGAAGCCTCGCAAAGGGTAGGACACTCAGCCTCGACGACCGAAAGTACTCATGACAGAGACGAAAAAAGGGACAAATTACCGGGACATTCGCCAAAGGAATTCGAGAACGGAATCATCCCACCTCAATCTTCCAAAGATAATCTTTCCACCCAAGCGTCAACTGCTCCCCAACTCACTCCAAATCGTAATCTGATATCAGTTGACAAGACTGGAGAGACGCCACTTGCGCATGGCTCGAATGCCAGCATCATCTCGTCTAATCCGAACAAGCATCTTACATCAACTAACAATAACTTCCCGGTCGCCGGAGCTACTGCGGCAGCAGTTGGTTTAGCTGTCGGCGCGGGGCTTGTGACAGCTTCCGGACTTCTGGATGAAGGGAACGATAGAGATCCAGATCCCGCATTACCAACGGCTAATGGGGCCGTAGATAACAGCGTATATGACAATGACGCTGACAACTACACCTACAACCACGACAACCCCATCGCTTCCGAAAACATAGCTGATGAGGCTGACGATCCACACCAATATTACTTTGAATTTGACGAAAACCCCGACGACTATCATCACCACTCTGAATCCGAGAATGATAACAAGGAGATACCATTCAATAGTACCGACACCGACGCGTCGAATGCTTTCATCAATCCGAAGAAAGATAGCAACAACGACTCCGAAGATGAACGTAACGCTCCTTACCATAACGGTTCCGGTTCAGATTTGGAATCGGACACCGGCGGCAATGACTCCGAAGATGGCGAGTTGTCCAATGATCATGATGGTCTGGGCCAATACGCCGACGACGCATCTAATAACAGTTCATTCTATAATGACAATGATGACGGAAACGGATTGAAGGAATATAACTCGGATTATGAAGACAACGAAAGCGAAAAAGAAGAGGATGGTGAGATTGAAGAGGAGGAAGAGGAAGAAGAGGAGGAAGAGGAAGAAGAAGAAGAAGAGGAAGAAGAGGATGGTGAGATTGAAGACGAGGAGGAGGAGGAAGAGGATTATAGTGAAGGCGAGTATTCTGGCGGTGGATATTCAGACTAATTTTTTTCTCCCTATGAGCCTCCGAATAGTGGCATGGCGGGAAGGAGGCAACACGGCGATTAGTACAGAGGTTCGATAGATTGATGTTAACAATATGGGGGCGATGGAATATTGGCTTCGAATCTGCGGAGACAGGTCAAGATTAGATGAAAGGAGAATATAGAAAATATATTGCCTTAATAATGATATGAGTACGTAATACTTCCACTTAGCCCTTATAATTATAATGTAAATACCTCCTGCCTTCCTCTTATGCTACTTATGCTACTTATTACATTGTACCGGCAGTACATGTGCTTATCCGAGAATCCGGGGTAGAATTGTAGACCGGCAATTGGCTAGATTGCATTGGTTGCAAGGGGTAGTATCACGTGTATACTCCACATATATATTAAGGCTAGATCCTCCCCTATTCCGTACACAACTTAGACAATACAAAATCAATATAATACCATTATATTGTAATAGGTAAGAGTTCTTTACCAGGTAGGTAGCTTTACAACCTTGATATCAGCTATGAAGCTCCCATACTCCCCCTAGTGCTTTCACCTGCCGCCTTTAAAATCCCTCGCGCCCGTATCCGCTACTCCGTCATGGCAGCGTCCAATCAATCATGGGAAATTGCGGCCACCTATAACTGGTCTACCCGGCGAATCATTTATGCAACTTTATGAATGGTCTATAATCGCCCTTCTCGTTACTAATATATAAAACTAGAGCCAAGGTGTAGGTGTAAAATACAAGTGTAAAGCAAAGCAACGCAACGCAATTCCCTCCGTTTTATCCCCAAGCTCCTTCATATATGTTCCGTTCTACACTGCCAGCACGGCAGGGGGGGCACTAAGGGCAGCGGGGGTAGACCGTCGCCTCGTGCCCTTCGTTTCTTCTCTTAACTCCTCTAGCATCCGGCTTGTCATGACGGTATCGCGATGTGTCTTGCCCAGCACCTTCTCCTGCACCTTGCGCGTGGCTCGGAGCAGCTTCTCGGCGTCGCCGAGCAGGCCCTGGAGTTTGTAGTTCGCAGCCAGCCGGCAGGCCGTCTGGAGCGTGGCCGGGTCGTCGCCCCCGAGTAGCCGGACCTGGGCGTCGAGCACGTTCTGTATCTCGGTGCCCGCCTCCTCCACGCGGCCCATCCCCTCCAGCATCAGCGCCACGTTCTGCCGCGTCATGAGCGTCTCCGGATGGTCGAGCCCCAGCGCGTTCCGCTGGCCCGTGAGCACCACCTCGAACGCCTGCTGCGCCGTCTCCAGGTTCCCCTGCTTGCAGTATATCAGGGCCAGGTTCGTGAGCACTTTCAGGAGCTCCGGGTTGCCCGGACCCAGGTGGCGCTCGCTGACTTGGGATGCCTGGTGATATAGCGCTGCCGCCTTCTCGTATTCATGCCGGTCATCGTGCGCGAGCGCGAGGTTGTAGAGATGACGGGCCGAGTCTATGCTGTCCTCTCCGTATGTTTTCACGGACCAGTCTAGCGCGCGCTTGTAAATAGCCACCATCTCCTCCGAGTCACGGCTCTCCCCGTTCGCTAGTCTAGAGGAGGCGAAATCGTTTGCCGCACGGAGCGCATCCGGATGATCTTTTCCAACCCTCTTTTCCAGTTCTTGTAATTCCTTTCTCGCAGCAGCAGCAGCAGCAGCAGCGTCGTGATCACTTGACCCTCCCTTCGGTCGTTTCGACTTGGATGATTTTATCTGGCCCCTGGCTTTGTCGATTGCCGCCTTTGTCTGCTCGAAGAGTCCACCCCCCTTGTTTTTCAAGTCACCCGAAAGGGAGAAACCTCGTTCAAGATACTCAAGCGCATAGTCGGGCCTCTCTCGCTCCATGAGGTATTCGGCAACCCTCAATAGTAACGTCGCTAGGTAGAGCTTGCCTTGTGCTTCGGCAGGCTGGAATTCTAGCGCGGCGAATGTGGAGGGTAGGAGAGCCTCGAAGATGCTCGACTTCGCGTCGACAAACTTTTCATACAAAACCGATAAAGTTTGCACCTGCACCGACGCCTTTTCTCCGCTTTGGTCGAGCCATGTCTGGATGCACTGTCTAATGATAGGTGTCACAGTGAAATGCACCTGGTTGGTAGATGGCTCGACCATGCCGTAATCAACTAGCCGTGGAATCTGCTTGAAAAGTTCCGACCTCTCGAAAAATACACTAGGAACGCTTTGCACATTGAGGGTACCCATGAGCAGCAACAGACGAGCATCCTCTGGGTGCCGCTCCTGTATCATATCGAAAAGTAGCCGCCAGGAGCACATCAAGCTCGATCCTACTCCATCCGACGACAAGGCCCGAAGTTTACTCTTATAAGCCTTCCAGCCGGTGCCATCTTCCTTTTCTCGGATCTTGCGGTATAGGTAGGCCAGGACCAGCGTACCAGCTGACCCCCCGAGAGTCTTGGAAACCTCGATACTATCCTTACGCCTAGCTTCGTCCGTCGTACGTTTTCCGAGAAGGACATATGAGGCGTCATCGTCATTGAGTCGGGAGATATCGACGATGTATTGGCCTTTGTTCTTCACCATTTTCTTGGCCAGTAGGTTCGATCGAGTGGTGATCAGAACCCTAGCGTAGTTGCTGCTAGGAACTAAGCCCAAGGGGGACTTTCCGAGGCCGGATGATCCTGTGGGATTCAGAAGGCACTCATCGTCTAAGCCGTCCAATATCATGAGCCAATGGCCGCTCACGTCCTTTTTCAAGGCGTTGTGGACTTCTTCCACAATTTCAGCATCTGTCATCGTCTCCTTTGCGAGGCGAAGAGTTTCGGCAATACATTTGTACGAATGTTGAAACTGGGCGGCGCTGGCGGCATTTACCCAATGGACATGACAGCCGGGATGCTCTTCAAAGTACTTGTGAGCATATTCCACCGCAACATGAGTCTTTCTATCCAGTGCCATATTGGTTAGCCCTTAACGTTTCTCGTCGGGTGAACTGGGAGTTCTCTTACCCATTCCCTGAGCCGCCCAGCAGAACTACATTTATCGTAGACCTAAACCTCTCCTCGATTGTTTCCAAGATCTTCCCCCGAGGCGCGAAATGTGTCTCCTTCGCAATAGGTGCCGGTAGGGACGGCATACGAGGCTTAGGACCTGATAATGCAGATTCTATGGACATTGCTCCTGTGAAAAACTTTGTATTAGTGACCACGTCCGAGAGATGCATCATTACCGGGTGAACTTTTCTTCTTACTCAGATTCCGCTTCTTCATCGTCTCCTTAGAACCTTCTGCCATTATTCTGATCTCTCTGGAAACTGATTTATAGTTGTCGTCGCTGCTATCTTCGAACTTGTTCATGCCGGAGTGGTCTAAGCTGAGGCTCTCTTTCAAGATGCCTGTGAGTGTCGCTGAAGACTCGCTCACGACGAATTCCTAGAACACTCGTTAGAGCCATGCGAAGATCGGTCTTAAGGAAACGCGTGATCTTACAGGCGGTGCGCCAGAAACCATACATGTAATAGAGCCGACCTTGCTCGCCTTTGACTCGTAGAAGCAATAAAGCTTTGGCCCATTCTCATTCGCGCTGACCTTCCTTGTGAAATCATGGACTATGGACACAAGCATATCATTATCCTGGGCCATTGTTTTTAGGGCATTATCTTGAATTTGGGTGGTTGATATAACGATGAGGTCGTATATTTGACCTTGCGTTTGGAGCTCGGATTCATTGCGAACGCCATGATGAGGAGTTCCCAGGAAGACGATCCCGGTCACTGAATCGGCTATACCAGGATAGTCCTCGTGATGGAATGTCGCCGCTGTATATACCTGGTAAGGACCATAAGGTTAGTAAACAACTTCAACCCAGATGCGTGAAAAGCGGTTGATCTAGGCAGTGCATACCTGCTGAATAACCAGCCCACCAAAACAGTGGCCAACAAAAATGATGGGCCGGTGAGGGCAATGCGTTCTCGCGTCGCAGAGGGCTTTCAAGAGTTTAGAGGCAACTGCTGGGACGGATTGCCTGATAGCATCATCTCCGAACCAGTACGATTCGTAGTTGTAGGCCATGATACGAGCGTTGGGGACTTTAGTTGGAAGCATAGCTGGATCCTTTAGCCAATGCTTTTTGGTCCCGGTGTGTACCCAGGCATCTTTCGGGTGTATACCGATGCCATGGACCGCAACGATACTACAACCCACGCTGTCATTAGAAGTTTAAAATGGTTAGTTACATGATAGGTAGCTATACGCACTCGACGTCGGTATCTTCGCCTTCGGCAGGCGTTACAAGGATCTTAAGACCTATATCTCGTGGCTGGATCTTCTTTGGCCTGGGAGCCGTCACGGCCAGGACTGGGTTGGCTGGTTTGGTACTCATTGTGGAATTCGTCGATGTTGATTCGCAGTCAAGTTATAAGTCATGACCATGCTACTGAGGTAAAAAGAAAAAGAAAAAACGAAAAAAAGAGAAGAAAAAACCAGCGAGCTTGAAGAGACTGGCATTGATTTACGGTCGACTCGACATGATTTTATGGCATGTAAACCGATATCCTACCCTCATATGGAGTTTGTTTCCAGAAGATGCGGCTTATTGAAGAAGAGAATAGGAGGTACATACTTTCGAAGTACTGTACCCCCAACTGTTCCCCCATATTCCCCCATATTCCCCCATCCCCATCCCTCGTCGCCACTCATAGGATAGGTATGCAAGCTTTACATGTTTAGAACTGCCACGTAGCTATGAAATATGAAGAGGCTATGCATGGTGACTGCATTAATAAGGTAACTGTCGAATTTACAGCCTTATAGCCTCACTTCCCCTGTCTTGGCGAGACAACTTTGCATCTCTTTGTGGAACATATGTAGATGCAGGCTGACAGTGTCAGCCTGACATTTGATATGTGATATAAATTCCTGATAACAGTCACATCGCGAATCTCATCCTTCGGGTTTACTACCGTTTCCGTCATGTGCATGCGTTATGCATGCGCTATTGATTCTGTCTTACCCCCAAAAGTGCAGTATGTATGTATGTGACCGCATTGCAGGCGGGGAAGATTTCTCGGCCCTTATTCGTCTATACCAAGTTGAATACAGTTTCGTATACTCATGCGCCATCGATGATGCCTTGCCTGAAAGTGCAATATAGCTACTATCTTTAGATGGGCATGCCAAATCTGACAAAACCATCCTACAGGAATTAACACCCCATTGCCTTGGCAATTCAGAATGTTAACGAAGCGTTGTTTGTTACTAAATCAGCGGCTAAATATATCTCGTCGTCTAAAAGCAACTAAATGTCGGCAAACGCAGCCTGTTACAGACCTCCTACCCCGATAAGAAGCTCACGTGGTGAAGGTCAAGAAGTAGTAATAGTAGTAGCGTTTACGTCTATTAGTGCTATAGCTAGGTAGCTAGAACGAGCGCATCAATGGCGCTGTTAAGACGTCTAGAGTACCTCCTTCTTATAGGGAGAGACAGAGCTAGAGTTTCGCCTGACATGAGAGATCCTCTACTTCCTGCCTATAGCATTATTCTACCTGGTTAGCGCCGGCGCCAGGTAGCTAACTTTTGATCAGGGGGAAAACCGTCGAACACGCTTTCTTATAATGGAGATGGAATCACCCTCAGTGCCTAGCATTGCCCAAGGAAAAACCTGAAGTCGAACCATTTAGTTAACCACGAAAGTCAAAAAGTGAATTAGTAGATCAGATATAAAATCCACAATTCAATGATTCACCTAGAATATATTGAAGATAACATGAGTATAAAAAGGGAAGGTCTTTTTGTATATTTTAGGTAGTTATTCGGTTTACAGCTATTAATTTAACCCTAATATTTAATATTTAACACATACTTAAAAAAAGACATTAAGCTTTTATCGCATATAATAAGTAATAACATTTTATGACATTACAAGTTAGGTACCTTTTAGTCAAGTGGATAATCTAACAGCTTTTTTAACGATTATTTAATTATTATTTACTAATATGGCGTGGGATTACGTAATTGCCAGCTATACTGAAAATAACTAAGCTCATTAATATTAACTTAACCTAATCAACATCATTTTATCCCCTCACTACCTTTGACTTATATTGTTGCTATTTACTTAAAATCAAAACTTAACTAGCATTGTATTTTAACGTATTTAAGTATAAGTTCGTCACACAGCTTTATATTTACAACAATCGAATTTAATCTAAAAGTAAATACATAACTACCTTAGGTACCTAAGTTTAAATAAGCCACGAAGAGGGTTGCAAGAGGGCACTTTTCAAGGCATATCCGGATTCCAGCCTCTTTAGTTTGTTGGAATTCAAGCAGGCGGGTACCAGAGATATGGGAATAACAAATGAAAGCCGGTCCATCAATCGCCGAAGTTGGTGTTCACGAATCGCCGATCAGCAGCAGAGCTTGTAGTTCTTGATGTTGATCGATGGCTTGAGGGAAGCTTCGCCACCGGAGGCACGACGCTGCACGAACAGGCCTGCGATGCATAGCTGGAGGACAACAGACACGCCGACAACTACCCATTGCAGCTTCTGTAGCAGGGTATTCTGTGTGACAAACACGCCTTCTTGAATCGTGCCGGTGTTATCCTGGGCGGGAAAGATCAGCGCCCTGCATGCTTGCCACGTTGTAGTAGCCACAATGAAGCCAATGGTGAGGCCGTAGGAATTCAGCAGCGCGGTAACGGCAAAGACGGCTTTGTATGTCTTGCTGTGGTTCGAGGATGCGAGCAGAATCCAGAAAGAGACGATGCTGAGAAGGTAGATGATGATGAAGCTGATGGGCACACCAGCTGGGAAGACCTTGCGCCGCAACTGCTCTGCTACGGGGAGGATCTTGCTGAGCGATTCTTCGATGGCGGGGACTCCGGTGTTGTCATTTTCCTCTCTCATCTCTTCCGCGAACTGTGATACTAGGGGCTCATCGTCGTCGTATTTAAGATGTTGGACGCAGGCGGTTTTGGTGGTGTTGGAATGGACATCGTCGGCATTGGTATTGGTAGAGACGCAGGTACCTTTACGATAAACCGATATTAGCGACTGAGTTGTAAGAAGGCCCTGTAGCACAGCAGAAAACTCACCAAAATATCCTAGTTGAACCTGTACAGGAGTCGTGTCATTGCTGTGAACTTGAACGATGTACAACGAGTTACCGTAAAGGCAACCCGCAGCAATGTAGACTATGACCAGGTTAGCTACCTAGGCTATGACTAAACTTAATGAGGTCGAGGGTTTCTTACTACTGATAACCGCAATAATAATCCACAGCATGAGCGAGACACAAAATAGGGGCAGCAAGCTCTTAGGCTTCTGACCTTTCGTCGGTCTATTGCCGGCTCTTTTGTATGCTCTCTTCGGGGCCATATTTAGCTGTAAAGGTAGTAATCTCTACTAAAAAAGTTCAAAAGTGATTTGAGATAGAGCAAGAAAGCGTTTAGCAAAATAGTGAGAGAATGATGTACACGAACGATGTATACCTACGTATCAGGTATGTTATACGTATCTAAGGCAAATAACTGCGATGGCCTCACATTTATAATTACTGGCTGCTTTGAACTTTGAACACTCCCCGCCAGACTTGCACTAATATTATCCCCTAATCAACTCTATACCGAGTCATATTCATGCATCCATCCCATAATAGTAAATATGCGCTCCAGGCAGGGCTGTGAGATGACCATGCATTATGCACATTGGAAACCCCTTTTCATCAGGCGCGGGGGCGTATGGCGGCATTTGATCTTTTGGTTTATTGCACTTTCAACTAGAAGAACCTCAAAAATGATACTCTATGTGTAACCATCGCAATGCAACGCCATGCAGGCTGCAGCCTTTCTCCTTGTGAGCTTAGAGTCTCGAAGGATGATTTTTTTTTTCTTTTTTGCCAAGGAGAGCTGGCAAAGCATGTCAGCAACCTCGCAGATCACTAAATAAAAGGCACCTAAGCCTCAGATGCAAGCTATGTTACCTCGCACAATGTAACAGCACTATTACTTCTCGAGTTGGTTAGGTAGGTATGTACCTAGGAGGTAGGCATTTATCTTGCCCAGAACGTAAGATTCGGAAACAGGTTAGGAATACCAGTTTCAGAATAATGAGACGAACAGAATAGCGAGGAAAGAAGATATGTTCTGGATAAGATACTACCTTTGAGGCCCAATACAAATTTCATCTTCACACACACACACACACACACAAAGTACCTAACCCAAGGTTCTACATGAAGTCTATTGGTCTATTGGATCATTGGAGATCGTCCTCAATTTTACGTTTAAAACCGCTAGGTTTGTAAATATAACAGGATGAAAGGCGGCGGGAAAAGGGAAAGTGAGTAAATATTAAAAGTACTATTAAAGTGGAATAAATGTTATATTAAGAAAGGTTTATAATTAATGGGCTTCGCCCACTAATTTTCAGTATAGCCAGTTAGTAATTATGTAATCCCTCCCACAGTACGAAGGTTGGGTATTTTGTATGTTTTTTGAATTATCGATACTGTATTAGCCACACGTTAAGCTAAAAGTTGGATAGTGGCCTATCCACTGTATTCGGGTGGCTTACCACTATATTTATAGCAATACTAGCCATTATAGTTTAAATAAAACCGTGCAGTCTTTTTTTATTCGCACGTGGCTTTGCCAAGCTTTATAGATGTGCGAAACTTTTGGCCCCAACCTTCGTACAGTGAAAAGCAACCTTTCCTCAACTCTCCAACAACTAGTTTTCTCGGCACATCATCTTCTATATATCAATATTCGGAACGCTCATATGCCTGATCAAGATATCGTACATTTAAAACTACATAGATCGTAGATCCCGCGACTTGGGCTCGTTATGTACATATCTTTCACCTGCACCCAACAGCCGGAGCCCGGGTTTGAAGCCTGTCGCGGTGGTCTCCCCTCAATCTTGCGGGATCTTTCTCGACTTAATCATCTTCAAAATCTCCCTAAGGACTGACCTGTAGTTATCGTCGTCGGAACCTTGGAATTTGTTCATCTGGAAATGATCTAGGGGTAAGGGCTCCTTCCCGTGCCCGTCCAACGTGCCAGACATCTCCCCTACGACGAATTCCTGGGCCCAGAGTTAGGAAATAGTCCAAACAGATAGATTCGATGAACGATGAAATATTACTCACCAATGGGTGGTTATCAAGACCTATAACGCGCCCAATATGACTCCCTTTCTGCTCGTAGAAGCAGCATAATTTTGGCGCGTTGTCCCGTCGGAGTTCAACAATTCGAGTGAAATTGTGCACTGTATTCACGAGGATATCGTTATCCTGGGCGATGGTTCCCATGAGCCCGTATTGGACCTGCACCTTAGCCTCGATAATGGCCTTATATATCTGGCCCTGGGTCCCGAGTGCAGAGCTGTCTGGGACGCCGTGGTGAGGAGTACCCAGGAAGATCATTCCTACAATGGAATCCGCAATTCCAGGATGGTCTTGATGATGCAGTGCGGCTGTATTGTAGGCCTATGAATGATTATTAGGTGTTAGATTGTGCAGCAAGATATCAGCTTCTCTCACCTCCTGAACAACAAGGCCTCCAAAACAATGCCCTATGAGAAGAACTGGACGACTCATGCAATCCTCCCTTTTATCAACAAGGGAACGTAGCAGCTTGATAGCTACACCACTGAGCGACTGCTTGATGGCATGTTCGCCGAACCAATGCGATGCATAATTGTAGGTCATAATGCGTGCTTTAGGGAGTGCTGCAGGTAGCATTGTTGGGTTAGTGAGCCAATTGACTTTGCTCCCTCTGTCTTCCCAAGTGTATTGAGGCTTGGCGCCCACCCCATGAATGGCTACGATGCTATAAACGTATCGGTCAGTTGTCTCGTCGATCTTAACAGACTCTTAACACTTACTCAACATCGCAATCGTCGGGTTCAACTAGAATTTTCAGCCCTATCTGCTGCGGCGTGATAGTCCAGGCACCCTTATCTTCTATTGCCCTTTTAGAAGCAGCCGGCGTGGATAGGTCACCACCCATGGCTCCGCGACCCTTATCCTCTGTCTCTTGATCCCGTGCCTGTTGGACGGTAAGGGTTGACTGGTTAGTACCCATGGCTCCTTGAACTTGCGAAGGATTGACCTTAGACTCTCGAACAATTAGACTCTCGAACAAAAATGAATAGTCACAGGAGAAGTGAAGCAGTTGTATAGAGACGAGGAGGAAAGTTATGTCCGTGTTAATTGGAAAGTAGCAGCATGAGTCATCTCATATAGCCCTTTAAAGGCTACTAGTATCTTAGAATATCTACCAGATATCCAAATCAGTACATTGCTAGCAAGGCTCTACTCAATGCACTTCGCCTCTTTCTTCCACTATGAAGTTGCTTAAACGGGCTTCACCGAAAATGGAATATGGAGGTGGCGTTCTGGCGTCCGGGGGGATTGGGGGCTTAATTTAGGCCACTATATTGCTACCTCACAACAGCTGTTTCATTGGCGGCGGGGATGCTGACAGGCGCATGGCGATGAGGAAATTCCAGATCTGACAATGTAGCCCTACAATTGTTTCTAACTCGACCACGTGTTCGCTCCTCTTAGAACTCTACTCAGGTAGATGCAGTAAGGAGAGATGTAGTATGATTCAACCTGACCGACACGGCCTGGCTTAGGGTTTACTCGCACCTAACTTCGATTGAAGAACTTCAGCTCCCACCTATCCGTGACAGATTGTTGAGCTCCAGTGCTCAAGCCCGGAGTTGTCTTCAGTCTATCTAGAAATTACTACTTGGTATTTAAATATCTACCTTGTATATATGATCGTTCTTAGGTTATTATTCCTGCCATGGTTCGCATAACGACATAACTGCTATAGAAACCGCGTGATCTAAGTCATCAATTAAGTATATGAGATGGCCGATGCAACCGATGTGGCGTCTGCTATTGTGGGAGCTCTCAGCCTAACTATACAAGTGGCTCAACTCACTCAGGACTATATCTCGAGAGTATCAAGTCTGCCCAACAATCTAAGTCTGTACCTTGCGGAGCTCGTGTCTCTTAAAGCGCTGCTTTCGGAGATCCAAGATTCATTGCTGGTCCAATCCTTTACACCAAGCTATATTACTTCCGCACACGTTTCTTTGTCTGCAGAACTCGTGCTTATTCGTGCTGAGTTGGAGGATCTAGATCACAAACTTCGAGATGCACAGCTTTGGAAGGCTTCATTTATGGCCAGGAAGCTCCTCTGGCCGTTCAGTGAGGACGAGACCCTTCACTGGGCTAGTCGTCTCGGTCTCTGCAAAGAGCGAGTCCAAGCAATGGCACTTATAACGGGACTGTAAGGATCGCATTCCCCGCCTTCGCTGTCTTTATTAACGAGAATATACCAGACGGCTCCAGCTATCAACCTTGAGCGAAATCAGGGAGCTGAAGAAGAAGACTGAAGCAGCTGAACAAGGTTAGAGAACCATAATTCCCGAGGTTTCACGATTTGACTATCTAACAACTCATTCGTTTTACTGACTAGCTCGTGAAAAGCAGCTGATTCTGGACTGGATATCCACGGATGATTGGCGGCGAAGACATGCGGACCTTACCTCAACACATCATCCTAACACAGGACAGTGGATATTCGATACAAGTGAATTCCAAGACTGGATGAGCAACAACTCGCAAGTTCTATGGTGTTATGGTGCCCGTGAGTGCTATACGGTTTCTCATCCTGGATAAAGCTGACTCGTAACTAGCGGGTGTCGGCAAAACTCAACTCATGTATGTCGATGCTCGTGTCAGTCTATAGTTGCACCAAGCTGACTCTTTATAGGGCATTGATTGTTGACCATCTGGGCAAGATTGGAAGCAAAGTGTCTTACTTTTACTGCGACTATCGTACTTCTGGTCATAAGAGCATCGCCACCGAAATCGCCGCAGCGATCCTACGACAACTTGTTGAGACGGAGCCTACCATACCTGCAGCCCTCAAGAATACTTACCAAAGCTTAGATAGCGGCCGCAAGAAGCTCAAGCTAGACGACATCACCACCTTAGTCAGGCATATCTACTCGAAACAACCCGACTATTTTGTTATCATAGACGCCCTTGATGAATGCCACTCCCAGAAAAAGCAGGTCTTACAAGTCCTGAGAAAGATTGCCGATGCCTCGGCTCGGGTACTAATATCAAGCCGGCCGCATATCAGAGAAATTTCTCGTGCCTTTAACTCCTATTCCCAGCTTGAGATAAAGACTAACCCCTCGGATATCAGAACCTTCGTGGAATACATGGTAAACACGGGCGGCGAGCTATCAGATTTCGTACCAAGAACCTTACGGCAAGAGATTGTGCAGCGAGTAACAGACCAGTCGTCACCTATGTATGGCCCTTCCTCCAGAAAAACACAAATAAGTTGAAATCACTTACATCGAGCACAGGTTCCTCATATCTGCGCTGCAGTGCAATCGTCTCATCCATGCTTCACGCTTGTCCGAAATTAAGAAGGCAATTTGTGAACTACCCATGGGGCTCGATGCTCTGTACAAGGAGTCAATGGACAGAATTGAACTCGAGCCCCCTGATAGGAGATCCATTGCCATGAGGACTCTATCCTGGATATATCACTCCAAGCGTCAACTCTCCACGGGGGAATTAATACATGCGCTCTCCATAGAGCCTCATGAAGATATCCCCCTATATGAGGATGTAGTGCCCCGAAAGGTCGTCTTGGACGTATGTGCCGGCCTGGTTGTGATCAACGCTGAGCACGATACTTTTCGTTTTGTGCATCAGTCGCTCCACGAATATTTCATGAGAACCAGCGAGACTTGGTTTCCGACAGCACGATTGGATATCACCAAGGCATGTCTCACATACCTGCGTCTATTATCCCCAGAAAGGGGTATTGTGGATTTAGTCTCGTCGTATCCGTTTTTAAAATATGCGGCACAGCACTGGGGAGGACACGCGAGGGACGAATACAGCGAAGGCCTTAATAACATCGTCCTAGCTGTCTTTAAGAACAACTCCACGGTGACCATGGCATCGATTATCCTGGACGACGAAAATGGTACACCCATGTCCTCAAGCCCCAACACTGCCATCCAACTTTGCGCTCGGCTTGGCGCACTGCCGATCATGAATGTTCTCATCCAAAACGGCCTCCAACCACACGGAGCGGATTCCAGGGGAAGGACTGCTCTACACTGGGCCACCAGAGGAGGCTTCGTGGATGTTGTTCACCATCTTCTCCAGTCGGGAATAAAAGCAAATCTTAGGACGGAGAGCGGCATGACTCCACTCCAATGGGCTGCCAAGCATGGTCACACGAGAGTGGTCGAAGAACTGCTCTCTGTGGTTCATCCAGACGAAACAACCCTCGACGGAAGAACAGCGCTGCATTGGGCATGCAGTCGGGGACACCTCTCCGTTGCCAAGCTCCTACTCTCCGACGCACGGGTCGACATAGCTCGCCAATGTCAAAACGGCTGGACAGCCTTACACTGGGCGGCGTGTAGTGGAAACCGTGCCGTAGCTGCCCGTGCAATTCAAAGAGATACAGACGGCTCGAATGGGCCGGCTGGACTTCTCCCTGGCTCCTATCCTATGAACGGCGGAGAGGCTCAACGGCACGAGCAGGTAGTCAGCCTGCTACTTAAATCTGGAGCAAACTCCAATGCACGAAACAAAGACCAACAGACCGCTTTACACTGGGCCGCGGCTTCAGGCAACACGACAATCGTCTGCATGCTTCTCGAGTATGGATCAGATATTGGGGCCCGAGACGTCCATGGCTTCACGCCATGGTATTTTGCCAAAGAAAACGCCGTGGATGACGAGGTTATCAAAATGCTGGACATGTCACACAACTGATAGTTACGTGTTATTAGGGCCTTGATATGAGGCCACATTGATGATGTTCTGATCGTTGGGAGATCGTGGGATCGCGTTATTCACCGCTAATTATATGAAATTAGGGAATCTAGGTCACCTAACAGGGCTGATACGGTTGACCATAGGACTGACAGTAATAAAACTCTTGTAAATTCCATCTTTGAAAAGGAAGAATAATATGCTTTCGGTATGCTTCCTGCAAGATATTGCGTACAATACAACTTTGTACTCGCGTATTTCTACTCAAAATTCATTTGCATACCCGCGAGGATTCGGGTCGGCCCTAGTATGTCTTCTCACTACTGCACAACGATTGAGTTAATCTATTCGGCACCGACTAGATTTATGTATGCGTGTAAATTGCGTAGGTCGCTACTACGGGTACTAAAGATTTCCCTTTCTGGGAATAGAGGGAGGAGGCAAATGTGCTCCAGCTGAATGCACACGTTGTAGTCCTGTTGCTAAAATCGTGCAATGGTGGACAGGTATGTATCATATAAGATTGGGAGATGAGGAGTAAGGAATGGTGAAGATGCTAGTAGCAATATATAATTTGCTACTCATATACGTTATAATTATTCCAGTCCGTTTATGTACTTAATCTTTTAAGGAAAGTTGTATTTTGAATTTCATGCACGATCCTGGGCACTGTTATAAGAGGACCCAGATATGTCCTTGTATAATCGGGACTATATTGGCTATACAGCAGGCCTTGTCACTTGATTGTTGATTCAGAACATGGGTGGCTGATCGTACTTCTCGGCCTGCAACTGAGTGCTAGCTGCCACCGCTGCGTTACAACCGCTCGAGATGGCGCCTGGTATCACCTTATATGGCGTAATGCAATCACCGGCGGCGAAAACACCACGAACGCTAGACTAGTGCACTGGTGCGTCTGCCTGGATATCACCCATGGGCGTAAGGGTGATCCCAAGCTGGCTGACGAAGGGGCCCTGAACACTGGTTTGAGGGTTGTGAACCAAGAACTTCTCCTCTTTGCTGGACCCGTCCACGAATTCTACAATAACTGAATTGGCTTGGGCGTTCTCTCGGAGACGTCTGATTTGGCGAGGCTCCACTTTGAACTTGGAATTGGCGATGGGGCTGAGCTGAGCTGCCATTTCATCGTTGCCATGTGTATACAGGGTGACGCTGTCACTATGCTGAGCCGCGTTTTCTGCCATATGGACAGCCATAGCGGCAATCGAGATGGGAGAAACGGCGAGCACGCCGGATTATGATGCACCGCGATCTTCATAACCATGACAAAATAGGCAGTGAAAGCTAAGAGGTCTGCTATCAGCAAACAGTCGATATCCAACGGGGAGAAAACCTTGCTCACATTCGCTTGGCCCATAGCTGTGCATAACCTTCGATGTCTGGATAGGTATCGGACGATCCGACGGCAAGTATCACTTTACGAACGTTCCACTCCTTCCCCTGGCCGTCCCAGACCCTGAAGTGGGAGTCGCTCTCCTTTTCGACTTTGGTCACTTCGACGTCGACGAACTGGATATTAGCGGAATAACTGGCCACGATGTCATTTCTTGTGGCGCTGCGGAAGTCTTTGGGGTTCCTATTCTCCCAACCTGGGACCATGTGCATCTGGGATGCCTTCGCGTTTCGACAAGTTTTGGAATCGAAAACGACGGCAGTGTGTAACTGACGGGCTAGTGTTGCTGCGGCAGCCCAGCTATGTAGTCCAAACCGTGCTGCCAAGTGCTGACGTACCTGTGGGTGTGACGTTTATCACACTGGTCCAAAATCTCAGTTCGTCGATCTTTGTGGCTGTGGCACAGAGTATCCTATAAGGCGAGCTGCGCTCTCATCTTCAGTCCATAGTTCCCGATTTGGACACCTTGCTCCTAAACTCAGGTGTCGGTGACTTAATATCTACGCTACCTGCAGAGAGCCAGGGGGCAGCAATTGTGGCTTACAGCCGCTCTCTCATACTGACACTTTACATTTCGCTAGCTTTGAGTTGCGCGTCTGCCGTGGGGGCTTTGGGGATTCGATGGGGCTCTATGAAGAAAGGCGCGAGTGAAGCTCTTAATGGTACAGAAGTTCAAACGATCGTACAGCAGATAATGGCAGAAATAAAGAGTGAAGAGCGCCAGATGAACAAAACTAATGAAAACAAGTGATTCAGCAATGCCAAGTATTAGATAATGCATCTGTTTGTTAGAGATGGATATATATGTTCTGAATAGAGTCATTCGATATCTTGGTTAGTTATTAGGTTGCCTCCCTTAACCAACTTAGAAAATTTGTATCATCTAGTTACATTTCCCTATAGTTACATTATATCCATGGTATGTATACATCTCCATATGTTTGACGCCGAGCCGATAAACGGCGTATTATAAAATCCCGATTCGCTAGCACGCCATACAGCCGCCGGATCACGCCTATCTCCCACCTATGTCTACACTGATTGTCTCTTATGTTTGACTACGATGAAAAGAGAAAAGGGGCTCTTGGAGGTTATAAATCTAGGTACATAACCTAGGAACTAAAACGAGTATAGAGGAATAACAAATCACAAAATGGCGAACCTCTCCTCCCTGCTCGAAGCTCGGTACGGCACCACCAGCAGCGGCAGCGCTGCTCCTCCTACGGCCCCCACCGCCGCCAACTCAACCCTAGAAACTCTCCTGCAGCACAAATCCGTCCGCAATTTCCTCCCGGACCCCCTAGCCCCAGGCACCCTCGAGCTCCTTACGGCCGCGGCCCAAAGCGCCGCCACATCATCCAACCTGCAACCCTGGAGCGCCGTCGCCATCACCACGCCCTCCCTCAAATCCCAAGCCGCCACACTATGCGGCGACCAAGCGTTCATCCGCGCCGCGCCGCTGTTCCTCGTCTTCTGCGCGGACCTCGCGCGCCTAACCGCCACGTGCGCACAGCACGGCACTCCCGGGACCGGTCTCGAGTTCCTCGAGATGTACACCATGGCCACGATCGACGCATCGCTTGCCGCGCAGAACGCGTGCGTGGCCGCCGAGTCGCTCGGGCTGGGCGCGTGCTACGTAGGCGCGGCGCGCAACCGGTCGAGGGAGCTGGCTTCCCTGCTTTCCTTGCCGCCGCGCGTAGTCGCGCTATTCGGGTTGGCGGTCGGGCGGCCGGACCCGGGAGCGCCACCGGCGTCGGTCAAGCCGCGGCTGGCGCAGGGTGAGGTGATGCATCGGGAGACGTGGGAACAGGCCGGCGGCGGTGGGGTGCAGCAGCAACAGCAGCAGGAGGAAAAGGCGGCGAACCTGGCGGCGTATGATGAGGCGCTGGCCGACTTTAATGCGAAGCAGGGGCGCGGCGATGCGCCGGCGTGGACTTATCGGTCGGCGCATCGCATAGCAACGGTAGAGTCGTTGCACGGAAGGGACATCTTCCGCGAGGTGCTAGAGGAGCGAGGTTTTGAGCTGAGGTAGGGAATAGACCGAGGCAGATGAAGTTGGTAAGCTATGACACTCGATATATAGATTCCCTGAATAGATCCTTGACAGTTATCATCATGATTTGGGCATGGAATCGCAACAATTTCATCGCACGTTAGGTAGCGACGAGGGGGAAGCCCTGGAAAGCCCCTGATTTGCATTCATACAAGGTATCTATATCCCATCCCTATCAACCACACTGATAGCATTCTCGCGCTATACTTGCTTCTCGATTCGTTCCTAAGATCCTTCCGATGGTACGCAATCTTCACCATTTCCCCTCCCGATACCGCAGTTGTAGGACCTACGTAAGAATTGATTGTGATGGTGTAGGTTTTCGTCAACTGTTAGTGCGTTTAGGTATATTATACTCGACTATGACCTTTTAGTTGTTGCCCCTTTATGCTCTGGCTGCCAAAACTAGAACCACATACTAGTTGTATTCGGGTTCAATAATAGTGTGTTCTCTCCTTATTTTATATTTACACCCTAGGTTGTCATAGGAGCTTTTGCTTGAGCTGATTCCTCTAACCTCCCCTATAAGAACTTTTATCACATTAACTAAAGTAGAACATAGAACCGTCGACCGTGTGTTACACAATTAACTGATTAGAAGTGTGTAATTTTTCTCTAGTAATAACTATTAAACGATATCAATATTATAGGATGTGACATTAACACAATGTGGCTAGCCTGCTCTCAAACATGTGCCCCTAACTAAATCCATTCGGTCTGGCCATACGATTATAAATCAAAAACCGGCCGATACTAACTTCTTTATGTCCGCTATATATAAAGTCGGGGTTGAGATGAGGAGTATACCCGGCCGGCACCGGCCCAAGGGCTATTGCGTGATTCTGGAGTAGTTGTCGCCATCGGGGTTACCATACCGGTGTGTCCGTATAAAACACCATACCTGTACGTATTTTCTTAGATCTTATCTGATATTTAGAATACTGGAATCTCCGGACGTGATAATCAAGATGCCTACAGAATTCATCAGTTTGACGTTCCCGAACCCATCCACGGAGCTCAACCCGCTCCCGAACCCGGCTATTGACCCGGACTTCCTAAAGCGGTATGCCCGGAACCTGGATGATTATGAATTCAACTATACTCTTGTGCCGTACCACTCGTCGTACTTTGACCCTTTCACCATCGGCGCTACTATCGCCGCTGCGACTAAAAATCTAAAAGTTATCATTGCGCTTCGCCCAAACACATTATACCCCACGGTAGCGGCCAAGGCGCTAGCCACTCTAGATCAGCTCAGCCGAGGCCGAGCCGTAGTGCACTTCATCGCCGGTGGCAGTGATGTTGACCAGGCAGCAGAGGGTGACTTCCTGAACAAGGAAGAGCGCTATGCTCGACTTGAAGAGTACATCAAGATCCTGAAGCGCGCATGGCAGTCCGCTGATCCCTTTGACTGGGACGGCAAGTATTATCAGTTTAAGGGGTTCAGCAACCAAGTGCGCCCCGTGAACGGAACCAGTATCCCTATTTCAGTCGGCGGGTCGTCAAACGAGGCGTACCGCATCGGCGGAAGTCTGGCTGATATTTTCGGTCTCTGGGGAGAACCTCTTAAGGAAACCAAGGAGCAGATCGACCGCATCTATGCTGAGGCCGAGAAGGCGGGACGCACTGACCGGCCGCGCATTTGGGTTACGTTCCGGCCCATCGTCGCCGAGACGGAAGAGCTAGCGTGGGCCAAGGCGCATCGCATACTCGACGCCCTAACCGACAACCGGGCTGATGGCAAGAGCCGGGTGCCCGCCGGTGCTCCTCCGCCGCAGAACGTTGGTTCGCAGCGGCTCCTTGACATCGCGAAGCGCGGCGAGGTGCAGGACCGTGCGCTATGGTATCCGACTGTGACGGCTACTAACGCGCGCGGCGCATCGACAGCGCTTGTGGGTTCGGTACAGACGATAGTTGACTCGCTTCTTGACTACGTTGATTTAGGGGCTGAGTTGATTTCTATCCGTGGTTATGATAATCTAAACGATGCCATTGACTACGGACGTTACGTGTTACCTAAGGTGCGCGAAGCGTTGAAGGAAAGGGAGAGTCGCTCTAATGGAGCCAATTGATAGCGGCAGAATATATTAATATATCATGATGAGATAGTTGCTACTATTGCTATTCAGTATCTATCTTAAATTCTGAACCCTTAAAGGGTCAAGTGACACATGTTCTGGCTACAAGTATATACATTAGGTATACAAGTTTCAGTTGCAGATATCAACAACTCAAATATGTACCTATATGTAGGGATATATTCATCATATAACACGTAATTATAGTCTAGGTGTTGAGTAGGGTCTCTTATGGCAACCTATAACAAGAGCATGTAGCCTTACATGTCTTTATGCATATTAGTATTTGTCGATCTTGAATTTGAACTGAACACTTACTTCGGTACGAGAAACTAATGGTGGTATTCATCGCTTGTACCACTAGGATTATCGCTTCGCATCTCAAGTCCATCCTCGAGAGAACGCCCTGAAGGTTTTTGGTGTTATTACACGCTGCTGGACCTAATATAGAGGTGGTTATGTTTTATTGAATCGTAGACTCACCTGATTCACGATGCCTCTGAGCCTGATGGCGATAACATTCCCAGGCAGTCATGGCCGTGATTAAGAATGATAACGACATGCTAACAATAGCCACAATGGTTGCAATAGGAAGAGCCATGAGGTTAGCCGCACAACGAGAGTGTAATAGAATAGCAGGAGTTCGAGGCAACAAATGGGCTGGCTGTTGAATTATCTTTGTTCAAGTGAAGCATAAGGGAAATAAAGTGCTGGTCTCCATCATTTATGATGAAAAGCCTCTTCACTAAGTGTCTTCTGTATGAAGTTTATTGGCAAGATGCAAAATGGGAGAAAACCCGATACATAGTCATCAAAATTTACATGTCCAATTACATACCTTCCCGGTTGAAAGGTAATAGAGATGTAGTAGAAATGATCCCTGTCGTCATAGCTATCCCCTTTAGCATCTAGACTTAATATTTTGACAACGCAAGCACTTGGGGCGCAAATAACGTACTTCCTGGTTAATGGTGGCTGAGGGTTCTCATCAAAATGTTAAGTACCACCAAGTCAGATTGATATTTAGATATCAGCCAATGACTGCCTTGATATCTTCACCTGTTTACATGTAGTCTTGCATAGAAGTGTTACACAAATATCACCTCACCATACGTGTCTTGCATAGACCTGATAGCAGTGGCTACCATTTTCCCATCGCAAAATGCTACAAAGTCCTGACCTCTTGGCAGCAAAATGCTATGAACCAATCAAGAGGCGATTTATCTGCAGGCTGAGGGAGCCTTATGTTTTCTAATTGCCATCTTACCGTAGCTCGGATGTCTATATATACCTCACACGAGGCAATGTCTGATAACATTATCCATCATTGACAGCTACTTCATATTTTGCCTCGGCCTGTTTTTCTCAGTCTCGCTCGCCGAACTACAATGTCCTCCAAGATCACAGAGGCTCAATAGGCTGCTACAAAGCCAGATATCAAGTACCTCTATCTTACCCTCAATAAATCATTAAAGGATGTAAGGACGGAGATGATCCAGAGGAACTTCGAAGCTACGTAAGTGACAAGTCTTAAATTGGAAGCATGAAATTGACCATGAAAAGCGAAAGCCAGTATCGCACCCAGTTCAAGAAATGGGGTCCGAAATGGATCAAGAACAGCAAGGTCGAAGATACGGAGATGCTTTCAATTTTGATACATCAGAGAAAGAGTAATGGAAAAGAAAGCAATGTCTTCGAATGGGGCAAACTGCTAGATAAGGGGGAAGTAAAGAAGAGAGTCGCGAAAAGTACTCCAAACACTCTCCGACGATTAGAACTTATTGGTGAGTTGAATATACTTGTTGGGCATATGGATCTTGATGCTTATCAGAGATGAATAGGAAACCATCAAAAACTTCCAGCACAATTCGTTGTCCGGACGCCAATGGAGGACTGCACTTTCTCATTCACTCATGATCTTCCATTTTTCCAATTCGAAAGGTCTATCTGCGATAGAATGTCGACTTCTGATCTTGCTCCCAACGTAATGGCCAATGCCCAACTTCTCACAGACCAACAAAAAACCCCCGCAAACGCCCTGATTTTACGACAGAAGAGCATCGAGGATATCTCCCAATACTATAGTTCCAGGGGCGAGATATTTTTCACCACAAACACCACAGCTCTGAATACCTTGAATTGTATCATCCCTTGTACAATTCACCAGACAACTATCCTTGGTCCACCATTATACCGCCAAATCCTACACTCCGCCGGGAACAACTTCTCCGGGCTTAGCTCCTTTCCCGTTGAACAAATCTTGCAGATCCTTAGGGAAACCACTAGTACGGATCTCTACTCACTGATTCTTTCTCCGTCAAGACATTCCAGCCGCTATTCTGCTCGTTCTATCGCACAGAGTCTTCTTAAAGGGGCTATCGAAACAGGAGATTCGGCAACTGCAACAGCCATACTTTCGAACAAGTCTTTGGCAATTAATGTCAATCAACAGATTTGCTTCTTCGAGACAGATAAATACACACTCATTGAAAGAGCCTCAATGTTAAATCATAAAAACGTTATTAAGGCTCTACTAGACAATGGTGCAGATGTAAACAAGACATACCATTGCCTTCAGTGCGATGTTTATCCCCAACAGTTTCGGTGCAATTCGCATGGTGCATTAGAATGTGTGCTTAGGAGGGACTACGAATTCGGAGTTGATGTTGAGGTTATCCAGATGCTACTCAGAGCGGGAAGTTTCGTCGATTTGGCGACGGTTGGCGAACTCCTCAGACTGAGGCAAGATGATATTGCCTGTCAAATCGTCTCCAAGAATCTACTATTAATAGGAAATGGACTAGTTCGTCAACTAAGGCATGCTATCGGGTGTATCGATGATGATATCCAAGTGCGTCTTTTGCACATTTTACATCGCAATGGCATAGATCTCACGCACAAGGATATATTCATGACAGTCATCCAGGCAAGAATCCAGGCAAGATCCTTCGAGACGCGTTGGGAATTAGCTGAGACATTATTAGACTACGGTGCGATTCCGGACAAGACCATTCTGCGTTGTCTTATCCGGGGGGATATATATTCATACGAATTTACCGAAGATATATCTGGAGCCTCCCCCACAGAATGCATACAGACTCTCAAAACTCCAGGAAAGATGGCGGTTCAGAATAAGCTGCGTTCAAATAGTGATGTCTTGGCATACCAAGAGTCACCACGACACCTCGATGAGATGTGTACCCGATGGATAGCGGCAGTCGATAAGATTGACACAGGGCTTATCATAGAGCTGATCAAGGAATTGAAAAAACTGAATATTCCATTCACGACCTTCAAATTTCTCTATCACGCTCTCATGGAAGTATCAAGGATTGGAGATTACGAGGCCGCAAGAATGGTACTTGGTCACATAACGCAGCTTGGCCTACCAATAGGTGACCAGGTCTTTCAGGATGCGCTCTCTGAGGCTATTCGAGGAGGTAATGAAAGTCTTGTGCAATTAATTCTTGGGTTTGACTACGACCCATTTTCTGCGGTATTATAAGATTATCATAGGGTAGCAGCTACTCACTATATGCTCAACACCCCTTCCAACTCGAAGTCTCTCTATCCTCCTATTGAGAATACATCACTGCTATTTTGCGATACTAAATATCGATGTCCAGTGGTGTTTGCGGCTTCACTAGGTAAAGAGACGATAGTTCGGACTTTGCTAGAGTCGGGACGATATGGCGATATCAATATTGCCATAGAAGCAAATGATATATGGCTAACATCATTGCTATTCGAGGAACATTTAGATGTGTTCAACTCATATAGCCTTGAGAAGGCCATTCTATGTCGGAACCTCGATATGGTTAGGCTACTCATTTCCTACGGCGCAGATCCCCATGTATCATGTAGGGTCATTCGAAGAGTTCAATCGGAATACAGACCAATGTTCGAATTACTCTTAAAAGCTAACGATACATTTCACGGGGAAGGACGGCAGTCAATGTCGTGTGCGTTTTGTAGTGCTATTCGGAGTCGTGACGAGATTGAAGTAAAATACTTATTGGATCATGGAGTTGATCCAAATAAATTCCTCGCTCACGGAGTATGTTATACTAGGATATTTGACACTCATCAGGAGGCTTTGAGCCCGTTTGGCGAAGCGATTGGTTTAAGCCAAACTGGGAGCTTGTCTTTGGTAGAGCTATTCTTGAATGCTAGGTGCGACCCTAACGGTATAGTCGCGAAGTCGGTATCCTATTCAATGCGTAGGCTTACTAGAATCTCAGCAATCACAGCTTTCCTTGTAGCTATTTGTACAAGAAACATTCAGATGGTGGAATTATTCATGCGGAATGGTGCTATTATCAATCCAACCATGACCAGCCCTATAAAACGTACGCCGTTGCAGCAGGCGGCTCAGATTGGATGCTTTGAGATGGTAGAGTTGCTGCATAACTTTGGCGCCGACATTAATGCACCGCCGGCCGTCAATGGCGGCGCGACTGCCCTCCAACTGGCTGCAATCGGTGGCTATAACCGTATAGTCTGCTATTTGCTCAGTCACAAAGCCAAAGTCGATGCTCCGGCGGCTATGATGAACGGGATAACAGCTCTCGAAGGAGCTGCCTTTAATGGGAGGACGGATACAGTACATATACTCTTAAAGGCGGGCGCGGCGTCGTACGGTAAAGACCACTCGCAGCTCGAGAAAGCAATGGAAATGGCACGCAAGCAGGGCCATTTCCCGACAGCCGATTTAATCCAAGACTGGCCGAATCTACAAGACGATGGAGAGCTACGAATGCTTGATGATATGGAGGATGATATCGGAGATAATGAAATAGACGAATTCATTAATTGGGACGGATAATGCTGTGCCTAGGTAGGTACCTAGATAAACATCTGGAAAGGCTATCGTGTTGAAAGTTGCTGGAGTGTTGACGATGATTTTGTTGGTTCCGGCGTACAATGGGTTTTAGTTGGTGGATTCTTCAAAAACGCAGCGGAGAACTTTTGCTAAATATTCTGTATCTCAATATTTTTTACATTCAATCCTTAAGACCATTCATCTCCCGTTTCCATGAAATGGACTCGCTGAATCTGTCGTTCTCCCCAGAACGTTGCCCCTTTACCAGCTTCTCGCACTACCTGATACAATACTCATCTCCCCCGCACGTGTTGTGGATGTGTTGACGCCGTATATATACCAGTCAGATCCGTCGATTTTCTGGAGCGAACCTTTCGAGGATGAGCCGTCTTTCATCCTGCTTTATGGGTAGAATAGCAGTGACGCGCCTATGGACGGTGGTATTTTTCTTGATATGGTGATATATAAAGCCGTATGGCATGAATGTGATTTTCTGAATTTTCTACCCGCCCACCCATGGTTGCCGTTGGAAGTGTTACTTCAGAAGCCACTTGGGGAAACGGGTAGGTTTTATTGGGACACCAGACAGGATTCTATGGCTATGGCTATTAGACCCTGGACGCAGAACGATGTTGAAGAGGCTCTTACGGCCTGGAACCGACCTCTTTCCCTCTTTCCAGTATTGAGCTATGCATATCCTCTGGAACTGGGAACTCCTCACTGACTTGAGCCTTTGAGTTCCGAGTCGTTGACTCCATTTAACATTAGCTCTTTCGCTGCTGAATTCCTTACTAGAGTGTAATGGCCTGGATTCTCATTCATGGCGCCCGGGATGAGCACTTTTACGCTGGAATCATTCGCCGCTACATATGCAACAGAGGCATTTGAGTTGACGCGCTAGGCACGTTGATTGGGGCACTCTGAAGATGAGGTTTGCCTGGGCCTGTCTTGAGATACTAAACATGCCGAGGTTCTTCGTCATTGGGCATCGCTGGTTGAAGGTGAGACTTGGTCTGTAGACTCAAGTGGTGTTTGCACTGATCATGAGTGGCTCGCCGCGAATATGCATGTGGAATGTTCCGCCTAGTCTAGATTGATATCTTAGAATGCTATGCCAGCAATTATGAGACTGCATCTTGAGGAGCGAATTGTCGCTGGGCGTCTTTCAGGAAACACAAGAAGTCCATATGAACATCCCAAAACAGGCCGAATGGACTATTAAATGCAATAGAGGTCCGCCTAGAACCGGCTTTTCCTTGTTTGTTCCCTCTATATTTTGACTAATACGAACATAAGCTCGATAGCATGGCCAGATGTGATATGTTCCCAACGCGGGTGCGAGTAGGCGACTCGTGTTAGTGAAGCCAGGCTCGAAAAGAACAATAAGACATATGAGATTAGTTGATAATAGCAAGCCACCGTACTGGCGCAGGATGAGCTTTGCTGCCGTGTTGCATCCGGGCAGTTGTTTTTCTGGATTGAATATGAATGACAGAGCCGCTGCCGTCTCAACGAGGACATGTACGGCGAAGGGTAACTTGGTTAGAATCATTGCTACGGGTGGATTTTGGGCTGTATGTGATAAGTCGTCAGATAGTGGGCAGATGTTAGTTGAAGTACGTTTTGTTATGTACCTATGTACCTAGATGTAAATCTTAAAGCCGATTCTTCCTGACTTTAGAAGGGGCATTGACGCACGTGCATTCGAACAATACATGTGAAAAGGTTCTACGGATTGCGCTAGGTATGTACGAGCATATCCCCTGCATAAGCCCTGTCTTACATGTCATTTGCAAGGTGTCTAGATCTTAAGCGACATATACATTTGGTTGGGAATCTGTATTTATCTAGGTATGTACTATTTATGTATGTGCATTAGGTATAATCCACCCTAGCGTATCTAGGATACGAAGTGCTCAACATTAATACCTAGTGCTTATTACGATGTTACCCCAGAGTTGTTTCGAGTCTACAGCTCATCCTAAAGTCATCCTTGACTATCAACCCAAAGTCTAACCCGATTTGGCGAAAGCTGGGACCTTGAATCCAACATTCTGATTGGTTGCATTTGACGGGGTTCGCTTTGGGGTGAGCTTTGTACGACTTTAGGGTAAGTTTTTGGCGTTTTTAATCATTAGAATAGGGCTAAATGCCCTGTAATTACAGCGCATTATAACTACTAAGTTCCCTATATTATAGCGCTAAGCACTTAATATTAAGTTTTTAACGCGCTTTATCTAATCAATTCCTAATCGATTAGGAATTGATTAGATATGCGCTTACCTATTTTTTATCTTTTACTTATTTTAAAATAAACTTTTTATATTTAAATAAAATAAAATAAAAATTAACAGTTAATCGATTATATTAAATTTATTTATATTTCAATAAGTCTTATAATGCTGTATAAAAGCGTATATTTACATACCTAAATATAATGTTAATGAAATGGTAGTTGAGTTTTGGGTGCGCTAGTACTATTATGGTGTAAAATGGTCCACATATGCCTAATTGGGTTAGACTTTGGGTTGATGGTCAAGGATAACTTTGGGATGAGCTGCGCCCTCAGTTGTTTCTTATAAAAAAAAACAAAAAAAAGTATTGCTGTGCCGTCTCATCTCAAAGTAGGACGGGGCACGAGGGTTGTACATAAGAATTACCTAAGGCTCTATTTCCTTCTTTATATGTATAAATGTCCGGGTATCAACGAGGCAACCGGAGGGACTACGTAACTGCCTCGTTCTAGACCGGAGGTCACATGGATATATGTAATTACGGAAGGTAAATTTCTACGTACAATACCTAGGTAGGTACAAACATATGTACGGGCGGAGGAGCGCAATTCGCACGATGCGGGCCAAAATAAACATCTTAGATAATCTTATATCCCGTTCAAGATCGTCAAATCCGCAGTCTTATTGCCTTATATAGTACATATGTATAACTTAGGTAGGTATTCAATACATAATAGTTAGTTATCAATTGTGAAAATACTTCTTTCATCTCGTCCAGGTTTACGAGCTGGACCATGCTAATAACCACTAGCCCTCAACGTATGATGTACGTATGTAAGGTACTTTGCAGGTAGGTAGGTCCAGATAACTAAGCTAGGTACGAACTTGGCAACTGCTTGCCTTCCAAGGTTGTTACCTCGCTGCTACCACCCGCTATCCTCTGTGTCATAGTCGTTTCAAACTCGGACGTCATACCCTAATAGCCCTGATAGTGACCCTGATCAACCATTATACCCTTTAATTGTGCCTCGGGCTACGCTAGACATATTACCTGGGTACCTAGTGTATCAGTAGCACCTGTCGGACGAAACCCCAGACGCTTTAAAGTTCTATTATCAGTACTTACCCAATGATCGACTCTCTCAACTTTCTTCCTCTTTTATTTTAACCTATTATGTGTAAATCATTTACGTATATACCTGTGATATTTGTGGTTAGATTTCTTGGCGTCTCGTACTCTCTTTTTCTTCCATCAACTAGTTTATTAGCTTTTTAGTCTAGCCAGGGGATAACTTACACAATATCTTCGTTCTATATTCTACTAAGCCGTCGGCGCTTAGCGTGACCGCGTTGAAGACACGTTACCGAGGCTGGAATCTTAACCTACGTTCTTCCACTACCATTCGGTTGTTTTTACATCACGATAGATCTCAATACCTAATCGAACAAGAGACGTTGACGCACGACTAAGGGCAATGGCATCGTCCAATACGTTCGGGGAGCTGGGTCTCTCCATCATCGGCTTAGGAGCTCGATACCCTCCATACTCCCTCAAACCAGATGAGGTAGACAAAATCGCAACAAAATACTATCCTGACTCTCCTGCGTAGGTTGCCCCCGGAAATGAATGGTTTTATGTGCTGATAGACGGTTGCTTAAGCATGCAGAAGGTGCTCTCAATAAATAAATACACAGGTATCGACACGCGCTCATCTATTGGCACCTCAGATCATCCTTCAGTAAACCTACCTGAAGCACCATCAATAGCAGAACTCCACAGAATTTTCATGTCAGATGGTGTTCCGCTCGCCATTGAGGCTTCTAGGAAAGCAATTCTAGAAGCTGGCATCAATCTATCCGAGATTACTCATATAGTTTCAACAACATGTACTGACAGTGCCAACCCCGGATTTGATCATTTCGTTGCGAAGGGGTTGGGTATTACCCACCAAGTAGAGAAGGTCTTGTTGCATGGAGTTGGTTGTGCAGGTGGATTAGCAGTACTACGCACGGCTGCTAATTTAGCTTTGGGTCACGCAATGAGACGGAAAGCTGCTAGGATTCTATGTGTTGCTCTTGAAGTGAGCACAACGATGGTTCGCAGTGAGCTGAACAGCATTGATGAGCTCCAAGAAACGCGCATTGGGGCTTGTTTGTTTTCCGATTGTGCGTCCGCCTTGGTTCTCAGTAACGGAATCGGACAGCCAACAGCCGAACCAATATACGAATTACTTGGGTGGGAACACAAGATCATCCCCGAGACCGAGACCGATCTTGGCTTTGACGTAGACGCGGTTGGTTGGAAGGTTGTACTCTCACCTCGAGTTCCGAAGCTAGCAACCGAAATACTGCGCCCGAGTTTCATCGACCTGCTGGAAAATGTTTCTGGTCTCCCTGCCGAATGCAAAGAGGCATCCGACTTCGATTGGGCGATGCATCCAGGTGGCTTGACCATCTTAACGGGCGCTGAAAAAGTAATGGGTATCTCGTCAGAGCACATGCGCGCGAGTTACGACAGATACATGAATCACGGGAACTCCAGCTCGGCAACCATCTTCAGCGTGATGGACCGCCTGCGGAGTAAAGATATGGACGCAATGGCCCCCGGTGGCCAGGTCCGAGATCATGTGGTGGGGTGTGCCTTTGGCCCGGGAATCTCTATCGAGATGTGTATGCTTAAACGCAACATGAGACACCGCGGGGCTGATGCCGTCCTCGAGACAGATAGCGAGGCTAGTAGGAGTGAGGCTGACGAGGAAACCGACTGGGCAAGCATTGAATCTCGGGAGTCGATTCCAGGCACGCCTGGTTCCGCGAATGCTCAAGCTGAACGAAAACCTACACTAGGTGACGATATATTCATAAAAGAAGCGATTGCCAGCGTCGAATTGGATTAAGAACGATAAGGTCTACACCAGCAAATGACGTTAAATTATACCCACAGCGTATTTTGTTTACGTCTAATACACTATTTTCTTTACTACTCAAAATACCTACGCACAAGCGATGTTGTACTTTGCAGCGAAGCACAGAAGTGCCTTTCGACCAAAAGCTTGGTATATTAATTAAAACGGCTTTAAGAAATTAAAGCTTTAGAGGAACATAGCTCACATAGAATATATAAATACGGTAAATGCACATATTAATCTAGAAGATAAATTCTTCAAGTGTATAATTAGCCTAAGACGATGACTGAGTAAAAATATGAATGTAACGACTATGATTGATCGATATCGCTTGCAGGTCAATCGCAGGGGGGCATTCCAAGTGTCTCTTTTCAGTTGCTTTGGAGGGTTAGCTTGATGATACGACTGCCCCATCACCAAATGATAAGAAATTGGAGGAAGCTTGGCTGCTGGAACATTGTTATCAACTTTAATACTACATAGATACCTACCAACGTTGGTTGAATAGGTAGGTATTATATTTTGATGTTGATGGTTTCTTTGTTCAACAGGGCAGTGTCGCTCATTAAATTTTGGTACCTCATCCCGCTGCTTAATGGCCATGATGGCTCACCTCCGTGGAGTTGGGCTGACGTCTCTGATCGCCTGGTTGTCAACATCAATTGTCACCACATGCGGGCAGAATACTGACAATTCACCTGGCCTGCCGATGGTCATTAACACTTGGGGTGGTCCGTTTACTGCAGCTACGGATGCGGCGTACTTATCTCTCTTGAAGACGGAGACATCAGCTCTCGACGCTGTTGAACTTGGGTGTTCTACCTGCGAGGCTAACCAGTGTGATGGGAGTGTGGGCTATGGCGGCTCTCCTGATGAGAATTGCGAGGTAAGACAGCGTATAGCTACCTACCTACCCTTCGTCCGTCAAATGCCTGCCGTGCTAGCCAAACTAATATGAGTAGACAACTCTCGACGCAATGATAATGGATGGCACAAGCATGAAGTCAGGAGCCGTCGCCGCTCTTCGGCGCGTCAGGGAAGCAATCTCAGTCGCGAGGGCGGTGTTGGAACATACAACGCACACGTTACTTGCTGGTGACTTCGCGACTGATTTTGCCGTCTCAAATGGGTTTACTGTGCAAAACCTGACGACGGAGAACTCTGCCGCATCTTGCGAGCAATGGAAAGCCGAGAACTGCCAACCCAACTACCGCATCAATGTATCACCCGACCCTTCGAGTTCTTGTGGCCCTTACACACCACTTACTCTCGACTCAAACTCAACCGCATATGCATCGTCATTAGAACCGCGAAGTAAGCCCGAGGGGCACGACACGATCTCTATGATCGCGCTGCACTCCTCGGGCATCATGGCAGCGGGAACCTCTACCAACGGTGCCGGCCGCAAAGTACCCGGCCGCGTCGGCGACGGCCCAATCACGGGTAGTGGATCTTACGTCGATGGAGATGTTGGCGGGTGCGGCGCAACGGGTGACGGAGACGTCATGATGCGCTTTCTACCCTGCTATCAGGCCGTCGAGAATCTGCGGCAGGGTATGAGTCCGCAGCAAGCGGCCGAGGACGCTGTTCGGCGGATGCTGCGGAAGTACCCGGATGTGCAGAGCGGTATTGTGGTCGTGAATAGTAAAGGCGATCACGGTGGTGCTGGGTCAGGCTGGACTTTTACATATGCGTATCGTGGGGGCAGGATGAATGAGACGGTAGTGGTGAGTGTGCCGCCTATTACTGCTGAAGTGGGTGATTTGAGACGGTGATGAGTATATATGTACCTAGGTTTACGACATTAAGTAAATTACGATTATTATGAATCAGCTTATTATATGATGAATAAGGACGCTGGATTCTAAGATTTTTTTTATATGTTGTCTGTCTTTAATAGTTACACGGGAGTTTTTATAAGGTACCTAGGTACCTACGGTCCCACGGTATTGTACAACTGAAGCCAACTGGAGTAAGTGCGATGGAGGTGGACACCACCTAAAACACTTGAGTTCTAGGTACCTACTACCACTAGGACCCCGCAGTCTTCGAACCTACAGCACTATATTGAAGTCACCTAATCTTTACACAGTCTACCTAACTTGGTCCTTCTTCTCTCATAACTCATTGTCATCATCGTCATCATCATGCAATTGATCCAATACTGCGATATGGTTCTCTCATCCCTTAAAGCTTCCACGAACGCCTATTTTACCAGAATATTTCACATACAGCCTTACCTACGCCACAGCTTCCAGTGTTTGCAGGTTACCTTCAACAGTGTCGCCATCCAAATACAGCTTCCTCAACTCATCTTTCCACTCATCAAGAGACATCCACCTCTTCTCCACAGGCTTGGCGTCGGGAAGAGGTACTGAAGCCTTTGGAATTCCTTTATAAAAGCTTGCGTCGAAAGCGGGCACTTCGACAAAGGCATGCTCCTTCGTACACTTCAATCCTTTCTTCTGTAACCCGCCCTTCTTATGCAGCTCGTAACATTCGCTGTCAAGTTGAATTTGGCCTAAGCAGTCTGCACAGGTGTATAGAGGCACATCGACCACAGTCCACTGCTTGTCGCAGCCGTCACAGCTCACATACCAAGACGGCTTCTCAGGAGCTGTGGCGACATTGTCGTTGATAGCTTTTGATGGCGTAGGCGGCTCGAGCAGTACGCTACTAGGATTATCGCCTCCTTTAATCACACCGTCAATGGCCGCAGAGCTAGAGATACCGTTTATAACTGTGCCGTTTGGTGTATTAACATGATTGGCCGCCCAATCCTGCCATTTGACCAGAGCCTCATGCTGCGCCAAGTTGCGCAGATGCCACAAAATTCGAACACGTCTCGTATCCTCGATAGTAGTTAATAGGCGCTCTAGCAACCAGTATGCCATTTCATCGTTCTCCTGGTCTTCATCCGAAAGAAGTTCGATGCTTGTTCGTACTATCCTCTGCGTCCACTCCTTGGCAAGTTTTGAGCCGCTCTTACGCTTATGGTGGTATCGTACCAGGCAGCATATATTAACGTTGCTCCCCCAAATATTTAGCCTCTCGTTTGTGACATCTGGAAGCAAGTCGGCAATACGAGACCCGTAAAAGTCAACCTTGTCAACAACTAAACCAGGCTGGAACGCTTTACGCAAGTAGCTCTCGGCGAGAGAGTTGGTCATATCGTCTATATCATACCGAGATAAAGCATCGCTGGGGTGAAGCTTAACATCTTCAAGGGCCTTCTCCTGGATGGCGACAACTTTATCTTCCTGTAGTCCGTCGGCGGCGTTCGCAAGCGTCTTTGCAAAGCCGTGCCGGAGAAGGAACAGGAGATCGTGGTTTTCTCGTTTTACGCCCATATCTAACGCCAGGGTGAAGAAAGCCTCAATGACGTCCCAGCGGTTGGTTTCATCCGCAGCTTGGGCTAGCTTGTTAGGATCTGAATCGGTTGTCAGCTCATAGACGAATGCGTAAACCAACTCGTCGAAGTACTCGGCCCAAGTCTCGCTGGTCTTGTTCAACGTCTCGATAAAAGCAATAAACTCGGAAAATGCCCCGTGTTTCTGGTATCGAGTAAGGACCTCGGTATAGTCCGTGAAGCGGACGTAGTCGTACTCGAGACTCTCCCTATGGGTGCGTGCAGCAAGTTGATAGTCCCGAGACAGGTCCCACAGGCGATCTCCTAAATCCAACGTAATACGTGCTAGCAATGCTGAGTTAGAATCGTCCATAATCCAGTCTGGATCTCGAGCACGAATATTGTCAATTTCTTGTTTAGCCCGCGATAGTAGCTGCACTGCTTCTTCGTCGCCAGTGTTCGGCTGCTTTGCGATGAAATGAACCGCGTGCCAATTCCGAGGGTCAAGATCGACTGCCTTCCGTGCTCGGGATTGATAAATCTCGATGGCGCTGGCTTCGGAAGCACATAATTGAAATACAATTAATGCACCATGAGTCTCCCAACTCGACTCCGCTTCCGGCGTATCATTTGACTTTTGAAGCACTTCCGTTGCAAATGTCTCAATCTCATTTACTTGTTCAATAGTGAATTGTGCGCTTTCAAACTTGTCGGCGATGTGCACGTTGCTCTCCTCAGTATATGCAGATGGATCATTTGGCATCTGAGATGCCCTTTCTGGGTCAAGCTAAATAGAGGTTATCAGCTAACACTTCTCGCATGTTACTGACAAGAGGCTTGAAGACTCACTCGTGATAAATACCCGCGAATAAAACAACACGCACAACGGAAATGACGGTTAAGGAACTCCACACGGCGGAATAGATGGTCTGCCAAGTGTTTAGCAGCATACGAGAGCACTGTCTTGTGTAGGTTGGCGGAGCTCTTTACTTCTGCAACAAATGAGGCGCCTGGGTGGTCACTGGTGATGCGCTTCGTCACTGAAGAGTCACGCAGCCAGCGGGAGACCTCCTGGACTCCAGCCGTGGAATAAACCCATTCAATCCGAGTGTAGCGAATATCGACGTTCTCGTCGTCTTCCCAAGTTTGTTTGCTCACGCCCAGCTCGAAAGGCCAGAACAAGGAGTCAACTCCACATTCCTCTGTAAATAACTTCACGAGGAGTGGGCCAACTTGCGCTTTCAAATCTCGATCAGCTGCCGAGAGATCGACCTCTTTTAAATGGTCTAACAGCCAATTAATTGCATATTGACGGAGACCTCGGTTGTTTCTCAGTTCTTCCTCCGTAAGAATGGTCAAGCAGGCTATGGCGGCCTTTATATCAGCGTTATCGGGATCGAGGCAGATGTACTCCTTGTGTCTTGCGCCGAGCTTCATACGGAAAAAATGCTCGAATTCGAACCTTTCGTAGAGCTCGGGAGGACATACATTATTGAGAAAATGCTGGACGATAACAATTTCGGACTCTTGAATTATCTGCGGACCCGATGCGGCAACATCCATCGCGGCATTTGAGTCGGAACCTTTTGATGGGATTCTGTCTTTGATCTCTGCGGAGCGCCAATCGATATATCCTGAATCCTTTACGGCGAATATTGGGTACTTCTCCGCTAGCTTCTGGGCAAAAGGAAGTAGTGATATGGTCAGAGTTTTAGGGGTAGCCTCCTGGGCGATGCTCTCAATGTTTGGCGAGTCTGTCTTTCGTCGCGTAAGCGGGATAATGGGGTTGGGGGATTGCGCGACCGAGCTATTCCGGTATTTCACAGACAAGAGGTCTTCCATCATGTTGATTGTCAACCAACGTCGGCCAGTCTCGATCCATAGGATGATCTCATTTATTTCTTGAATTTCTTTGATGGTACGAGAGGTGTTGAGCCGCCGAAGTTCAGCATCTATCTGATCGACACGAGTCCTATCAGCATCCGCAAGCACCTCGTTGATATCATCAATCAAGTCGACCTTTGCAAGGGCATCAAGACTCGAGTTTAGCTTGAAGTAATCACCGGCACACTTGAATCGTAATGTCCTCAGGATCTTATCTCGCCACTCGGAAATACCTGGGCGGCTAGGATCTTTGAGGATAGGCATATTATCCATTCGAGAAATGATATACTTGTCAATATCATCTTGATTATGCTCGGAAATTGAAATCATGTTGAACTCGATCCCCCTTTCCTCTTCGAACCAATCCGAGACCATCTGCGGTCGGGTGGTCAAGAAGACTCGAGTCTTCTTGCCCATGTGTCCGGAGGTTAGTTTCTCGAGTAGTGGAACGAGGGTCTCGTCAAAGTTGTCGATGAATAAGAAGAATGCCGTATCCGGGTTCATGCGCTCTTTGTTGTTAATGAATAGCTGTTGCCAGAGGTCGAGCGAGCCATCAAATTCGGGAGTTCGCTCAAGGATTTGGTACACGGATTTAGTCATCGCTTCGTAGGCGATCGAAATCTGCCAGAGTAACGCCCGCGAAACTAACTCTAAAACAGTGCTGGTATCTTCATCGTCAGATTTCTTCTTGTCGACATCTACAAAGAAGTAAGGCGTGACAATTCGAGAAGCTGGTCCAACTTGACTTATCTTCCTTAGATATTTCATAGTGTTAGCCATCGCCGACGTTTTCCCAGAACCATTCCTGCCTCCCAAAACCATCACGGGCTTCTTAAAAGATTTAGAGTCCGTCCATTCCAGGAATACCTTATCTTCTAAGATCCACTTGCCAGTGTCATCGACCAGCATGTTTTTGCGAGCATCAAAAGTCTTTTGCCAAGATGGAATCGGCTCTCCGTCCTTGTCTAACGACGTAGGAGGGAAGCCTAGTGCTTTTGCAATGGCCGCCCTCCACTTCTTTGACTCTTGTTCCTTCTTCTGCTCCTTCTGGCCATCAAGTATTAACTTGATGTCTCCGGCGCTATCACTCACGATCTTGTAAGTCTGCGCGTTAACCAGAAGGGCTTCTTTATTATTGAGTCGATCCATGTAGCTAAGAAGGTCCTGAATGCCATTGTCATTCAAGAATAGCTGCTTCGTGAAGGCAAATAGCTTGTTGTGCTTTTTGCGCAGCTTGATTGTGCGATCGCATATTTCAACGAACAGTCGAAGGTTTTGAACCGCAACACGTGCAAGTCTCTTATCCATCTTTCCCTGGTAGGACTCGAGGCGCTCGAGGAATTCTGTACATTTCTCAAGCAACTCGGCAAGGTTATCAAAGATACCTTCATAGCCCTGCCAAGCTTGGATGACGAAGGTGAGTGCGTTGTAGCACATCCCCGCTGGGGCAAAGACCTACGAACCTCTGTTAGCGAGTCTTGTTATCGGTATCAAAGTCGATAGGCAAGATCATAGGCTTGCTAATATGAGTATACTCACGGTTGAGGCACCGTCGGCAACTATTCCTCCAACAGTATTTATACATTGTAACGTTCTATTGACTATATTTCTGAACGTGCCGAATTTCTCGGACTTCTTCTTGCTCGAGGCTTGCACGTCGTCAACGTACTTGAGAACAGCGTCTATGTCGAGGGTCCCTTGAACCCGTCTCGGATCCCCACCAGCGAGCTCGACGACCTTATTGTAGACTTCTTTCCAGATTGCTTCGATTTCTTTTTGTTCGGATATATCTGCCGTTTTTTCAATAGGGGAGCTTATGCTCAACGCACTAACCGAGGTTTGCAATGTTAGCGGTGCCATTTTAGCACATGCTATGTCGTTTATTGACGATATACACTTCTCTTCAGAACTAATGTTCCTCGAAAATAACAGGTTTCAGGTCATAATATATTATTCTACTCCATTGTTCTTAACCACCTTCAACTCGAGCAGCGGGACATTCGATACCCTAAAAATATTTGGACCCCAAGCGGCTCTTCACAGGGGTCCACATAGCCCTGGCTACCGCGATATGCAGTCAGCTCAGCTGAACTAGCCTACTTTCAAATCAGTCAATTCGCCGGGAAATCCCAGTTGGTTAGAGCAAGGAAGAAAGAAAAGGATGATGATTGGTATGTAGGGCAACGTCGCTTATGCACAGCCCCTTATCCCAACGGGGTATTTCGCCCCACGATACCATTTCTATGGGTTGATCGAGGAGCCTAACTACCCAGCCAGCCTAAGCAGCCCGAGGTAGAAGACCATAATAACTGCATAGGGAATATTCGAACACATAAGAAGGCTGAGAGGATAGGATGGGATCGTCTCATCAGCTTGCTTAAATTTCCCCTTGCCTCCCCGCACGGAAGGATTCGTTTGTCTGACAAATCCTTCAGATGTAGAAACATCTAGGGTCAGAGAGCGACTAATGAAACGACTCCCATCCCTCTACTCGGAACACGGCAGAGACTTGCGTAACGGTGGATAACGCCGGTCTATCACCTGCATCCACAGCGACACTTTGTTCAACCTTAGCTCATACCATAATTGACGATATTAATACCACCAGTTTCTTCGGTGAGCACTAAATCGAACTACCTAGCTTACATCCGAAGCACTTATATGTGGCGTGACTCATAATACCGGTATTTCTAGAATCAATAAGTTCTTACTTCGATAACATGATGCAAAAGGTCAATTCCACCACATTTTTCAACAAACACCCCTTAGTGGTCACATAGGTAGATAGGACTCGGTTACATTCAACTTTGTCTATAATTTCCTACTGGACTTATACACATTAACCCGCTTATTGACGGTCGGGATGTGTTTTTTAATGGCTGTCACATAGATAAACATAGATATGCAGGGTTATCTGCTTCCTATAGACCAAGCGGCTAATCAACACCCTCTCTTCATAAGCGACTGTCGCGCTATTTCGAGTCGCTCAATTAACATTGGATAACGGGGACGTTGCCGGGTGCGCTGTACGGCTTACCACCGTTGTCAGGCTGGCCAAGGGCACCGTAGATGTTAACAACGATGCTCGGGTCGTTCTTCTGGTAGGCACCGGGGAAGCTGACGGTCTGGCTAGGCGAGAAGTTACCGCTGCCGCCGACCTTGATCTGAGCGCACGATATGTAGAACTGGGCGCCGTTCGGCGACTTCGCAGAGTGCAGAGCTAGAGTCTCAACACGCATGAGGTAGTCTCCGGGGGCAATGCACTGCGGCAGTTGGAAGTTGACCCAGCCCTGGTTGGAAATCATGTGGTCGACACCCCACTGCTTGCTCGAGGTGTCGAAAGTGTCCTCCCAGATCTTGAACCACTTCAGTCCAGTCTTACTCGCAGTAGCCGCGTTGTCCACTTTGGCGAGCCATGCCGTGATAGGTCCCTTGTGCGACTTGGCAATCTATTACGTAGATGTTAGAACTGCTATCGTTTTTCTTTTTCCTTGGATAGGTAAGGTAAGTAGGTAGTTCTTACTGGGTTATCGGGGTCGTTAGCGAACTGTGCACCGCCGATGACGTGCCCGAAGTAGGCTCCTAGCTTATCGCCCGGAGCGACGCTGATGACCTTGTCGGAGGTATAGCCTTGCTTCTGGCAGATGATGTCTAGAGTGAAGGGTTAGTAATCTTTTCGAATTATTATCCCTATTTTTAATAGAAATTCCTAGTTATTAACTCTTTGTTGCAGCTCCCAGGCAGTCTTACCTTGTGAAGTCACATCGTAGACGGGGTTGTTGTCGCTTGGGGCTCGAAGACCAACTAGAGAGCCCTGCTTCTGGCCGTTGACTGAGACTTCCTAAACACATCATCATTCGTAAGTTATTGACCTTCGCAAGCTGCATTCAAGTTGTGCTTACTTGAAAGATGCAGTGAGCCTCAGCCGACAGGGCAAATGCCGCAACCGTGAACAAAGAGAACTTCATCTTGTCGTTGGCAGGTAGTTATGGGACAGGGTATGTTAGAACGACCCGGCTTGAGGTAGCGAGTTCGCTTTCTTTCGCCCCAGAGTTTCATCGCGCATATATATATAGATGGGTATATAACCCATGCAAGTTTGATGCGACTATATGCCGAACGAAATAAAGTAGAGACAAGCGATGCCGATACTAGCGAACCCCCTTCTACTCTATCTCCGTAACGCAGCAGGTCGCCTAAGCCTTCAATCAAGGCCAACAAGCCACTATTCAAGAATTCTCCGGCATAGGTTAGATCAATATCTGGCTCTGTCCAGATATTGGATGAGATTGTGGTACTCCCGGTGGGCCTGGGGTAATATAGCCGGTAGAGCCAGAGTTCATATCTAGGCTCCGACTGATTGGCTACGAGTCGATCAATATGGAATCAGGCAAGTTCCGTACGAGGACTCCTGGTAAAAACAGGAACGGGTTGGGAAATGGGTACGGGGAAATTATATTGCATCTGCATGGGGAATCCGGGGCGCATGAAGAGCGGACGGGATGACAGCCCTACGATCCGGACGCCAAGCGAGTCTGTCAAGCGCGTATGGCTGGGACGAAGATGAAATATGACAACTTCTTGCGTCCTAAGACATTGGTATTGGTGCGGTAATGGGGGTTTGGGGTGCCAGGTAGGCTGGGCTGGCGTGTCTTAGCTGCGCGGTGAGTATGATAAATACTCGTAAGGCCGAATCTATTCCAGTCGTAGAACTCCTACCCTATATACATACATATGACACAGAAAGGGCCGATTTGATTTGGAATTGCAGGTTTTAAAGCGCCCCTAAATCTATTATTTGTGTTGATGATGCGACCATGTTGTCTTTCGAGATGCATCTTCTTACTCCTCTATTATTTTTCCATGTCAGTCTTCGTCGCCTTGTTGTATCTATAGAGACGGTAATAAAGGCAAAGGCAAGATATGGAATAGAGAATGAGGTACTTAGGCATAACGACCAACCGTTTGGTATGAAGAGGTAACAGTGAGTTGGGACAGTTATGATAGATACATGCGTTATTTCGCCTAGACCACGTTTATCCCTTTCATTTGGGCTACTAAGCGTGAATAGTTCATATCTTGTGTAGTTTGTGCGATCCTAAAGCTTGTCACTAGGGAAGTCTACTAAGAAGTTATAGGTGATAGTTCCCGGAAACAAAAATGTCGCTCGTCTAGGAGGCAGGTGGGTAACTAACATCTACTACTGGGTAATCTAGAAAAATATATCGAGATATATGTACCTCAAGGCATTATATCAGTGTTATTAATGAAGGATATTATTCGGAATTTTATCTCCTAGTGTTGTCAAGGTTATTAGCTTCTCAGGTCCTATTCGCCTTTCACACTCTCGCTGGACAGGGCAAAGAACTTTGGAACAGCCATCAATTATACTTATGGTAGATGCTTAAACTCTATGCATATGAAATCTAGGGTGAGGATAGTCTAGGATGATAGACTTTATAGACCCCGAAGACCCTTCTTGTCTACCCGTTCCATGAACAAATCTAAAATATCACCTAGAACATTTAGAATAGAAAACTAGTAGGGAGTAGGAAGAAAGTTGGTCTTTAGTTATTTCTTAAATATTGTATTCGGCAAAGTGTTGTCGGAATCTTCAACATTGGGCATTTTCCTGATAAGTCCGTTTTCGACCTGACGTTGCCGATATCCGAAAAAGGGGTCGGCATCTATATTGGGATAGTGACCTTATAGGAGTTGGCTGCTTACGGATATTCGCCACTACCTTTAACCACAGTAACGTATAGAAAAGAACAATAGTGGGGATGGGATTGTTTGGCTGCACACTATTTATTAGACTCATTATTGATTATTATGATCTGGAAACATACGTGCAATATAGGCTATGAAGTAGAGCTAGGAGATCACGCTGGTTTGACGAAGGTACTCGAATAGTGCGATTATTGGGCTTGCTTATTTAGTAGCCACCCATATTACTCTAAAGGCAGAGATATGACTCAGGCCTGCCACAGATAAGTATTGGTTACCTAGAGCCTCCGGTTTATCTATGCTACATGACTCGGAAAGGATGGCAAAAGTGTATAGAGGGTGGTATGACGCGAGCAAGGAATGGAGAAATAAATCTGTCGCCTTACGAGAAATTATGGATTTCCTTTGAATTTACCTAAGCTAGGGCTGAACCATTGGCATAGCTGTTCATCGCACATATAATCCCTATTCAGAATCTGATGGTGCACGAGGACCACTCGTCATGGAAGCTCAAGTCCAAGTCACACTTTCTCGCGTCGAACCGTTGGCTGTTTGGAGTAAGAAGGACCGTATTAAGACATTTAATACGCTGTGAGCTCTTCGAGGCAAGCGTTTTAGTAGTCCTTAAACGAAATTTAAATTACATCTAATAAGGTATAATATTGTGGTCACCTGGGAGGTAGGTATATCAAATCTAATAACTCCTGGTCTTATCGTAATGCGTAAAATGAATGGCGGTAAGTTGGGGCTCATTGATAGTAAGGAATAACAGCTCTACCAATGCCCGTTCTTATCATATCCCTAGAATGTCGACCCCTAATATATAGCTGGAGCGCAATAGGCAAGCCACTGCCCGACTTAAACGTCTCTAACCCCCTGACGATAACAAATACGAATTGATTGGCTAACGAGTATAGAGAAGCTGTGATGATCTCCCTCGCGTCGTGAGAATATACGCTGGCCGAGGAAGGACCGCGATGGGATATCTACGCGTAAAGAAGGAGTCACTGCAGAAAGTAAAAAGAGCTATCATTTCAGAAGTTTGGCGTCGCTTAAATAACTCAGGGGCTAGCCTCTTAACCAACAACTCATCTCTGGTTGTTTCTTGTAATAGAAATTTCATACATCTCTCAAAAGTTATTTTGTAGATGTTAGTTTGTATAACTACCTAGGTAGTTGTAGATTAGTTACATGATTATACTGGACCATCCTCATTTACGCGTTGAGGTTCGAAATGCTCGTATTCGGATTTCTCAGCTGGGCACAATACAGTCGATTTAATATGTAAGACGTAAACCACTTCGAAATCCCATTTCTTGACTCAGAATTTCAG